CCTATGCATCATCCAAAACGTTACAAGCGTAACATGGGCCTAAAGACTTCAGAAGCTTTTGAAGCCAACAGGCCAGGTTCAGATTAATGGTTAGTAAATGAGTCTTTAGTCATGTAACAATTCATCATTTCTTCTCATCCATGACTTTAAATGATGAGACTGGGTTTCCAAAGAACGAGCCTGGTTGTGTGATGTTCTGTTTCTGCCTTACAACCCCATGTCAGGCTCCTCATCAATTACCTCAACATCTCAGCATTGGGGTCTTAATCTTCCGACAGCTTCTGAGCTCAGTAAACTCTTGCCTGCCATCGAGGCTTAGCCTTTTGAAGACTGCGGCTACCATGGAATGCCTCTTTCTGTATAAAACAGTCTCAGCAAACTGCACCATGTCAGTCACACTTTGCTGCCAGTGTTTACCGCAAATTGAATTTGAAGAGTTAATCTAATGCACGTTTCACAGAGATACCTACACAACCAGCGATGCTCAGATCAGAAATAAAAACGTGCAACATGAGTATGTCACAGTTATAAAATATCTGCCTGAAACATACGTAAGTGTTAAAATAGTTTGCTGCCCGCTCGAAATGGCCGGGGGCTGAAATATGTAATAGTCACTCAACAAGCTAACTAATCTTTGTAAGCATCAGACGTGGGGTGTCAGTCAGCCTGCCTCAGTTGGTAACACTCTCGCCTCCGAGTTAGATGTTTGGTTCAAGATCCACTTTGAAATCACAGTTGGTACTCCAAAACAGTGGTGGGGGAGTACTGCATTGGTGGAGGTGCCGTCCTTCAGATGAGGCATCAAACCAAAGTACCGCCTGCCCGTTTAAGACGTTAAAGATCCCATGGCATGACTCAAAAAGAGAAAGGAGTTTTTCCTGGTGTCTTGGCCAACAACCTCCAGGTAAAGTCAGTCATTCACTTCATGACTTCTGTGGTCTGCTCTATAGGAAAGTCAGAGTTTCTATTTAATTCTTACACCCTAATATGCTTCCACTGAAAGCCAAAGAAGTACGGGAGAAGCCTGTTTTAAGGCCTGCCAGTATAACACCACCTAATTCTTTGCACTGATGGCCTCTGGATCTGCTCTAACAAGTGGCATTATACACCCTATTCTCAGCACTGACCAGTCGGCTTGCCACACTACGAGATGGCCGACTTTCAGGTCATCAGGTTGCTGCTGTTGTCATTTCCTGTGCATTAATATACCCGGGAAGGGCAGCTGATGACACTTCAAAACGGAAGTGATATCAACAGTATTCCTTAGAGATATACTGCGGAGTCCTGTAGCTTAGTGGTTAGACTGCTCACCTCACAAGCGAGAGAACCCGAGTTCGATTCCCGGGCAGAGTGAAATGTTGGGCAAGTTTTCTTACTCTACACGCTTGTTTACCTCGCAGTAAGTAGGAATCAGGTTGTTTAGTCGAGTGGCGGAGTGCTTTTCTGGGGGTAATAATCCCTTCACAAAATAAATCAATTTAAAAATAATAATTTGTTCACTCAATCCACGACTGTTTGTGGGACACTGTTGTACGCAATTGGCTGCTGTGTTTCGCCCACAAAATACAGTCAATTCATTTTACAGTATATTCTATGAAGTGCTTAGAATTATCTTGAAGATACGATACGGCGCTAGCTATATCAAATGCAGGGATTATTTAGCTATCATGGAGGAAGTGATATTGATTTGACAACCTTGAAGTTGGCCTTTTTCCGTCCACACATACACATTTATAACATGGCTTCAGAGATTAGACTCAGAGGACCAAGCTATAACAAGGCTTGACTGTACCGCTCGTTTGCTCTGATACATTTTTTAAAAAATTACAAACCAAGTTTGAGAAACTATTTTTTCTAAACTACACCAGAGAACGTTCACATATCACTTAATATCCATGTCTCCTGCTCATCCAACTGATGGTTCAAACGTATAAATTACATCGATTTTTTTTATTAAAAACATTTGCTTCGCATACCTCATGCTAATGCTTTGCAGGAACTGTTCAGAAGATGCTATGTGTAAAAAGCGTGTGTGCCAAGGGATACAGGGGAAACACAGTGCTCTGAATGCTATTTGTCGCTGCAGTACATTCCGACTTTCCTCCCAGAATTGTCTTTCATTAATTACAAGCCACTTGAATTGGCAACAAGAGCCAGTTGCCAAGGCCTTCGAGATCTAAACATTTCTGTTAAGTTTTATAACAGTAAATGCTAGCGAACAGAGAGAAAGGGGTGGTGGGGGGGGGGCGAGGGAGAAATACTCCGGGCAAGTCTGGGCAGGCTGCAGTCCACTTTGTGAGCGCACTGCAAGGGGCATGGATAGAGAGAGAGAGAGAGAGAAAGAGAAAGAAAGACAGACAGGCAAACAATCACTGCTCGAGTGATGTTATGCCACAAACAGTAAACAGAGGCAGGAGGTCTGGCGTGCTGCTCTGCAGCTCTCTGATCAAACTTCAAAAGGAGAGGAGAAAGCCACCGTGTGCACCGAGCGAGCTTGGGTTCCTGAATGACTACTCGGAGGCCAGATGTGGCTGTGGACAGGCTGCGAGTACAATGCGAGTTTCCACCGACTGAAAATGGGGTGAATGTGTTATCAGAACAGAGTGTCACACAGTTGTAAACCTACCGTCCCAGCGGCTCTCTCTGCTCTCTCTGAGCACCAGCTTGCTCCATGATTCCCCGCCCGACCCATGCGAACTTTCAACCATTCTGCCCCCGTTCTCTGGTACGGCATCAAAGAGACTCTTGTCTCACCTTCCCACCCTCACCAACCTATGTTTAAAGCCTATGTTAAGACATTTGCTTTTGACTGCGCTTTTGGTCACCCCCCAAATCCCCACCCCCCCCCACCACCTCAATCCTCAGCTCCCCGATCTCCAGCCTGTTCTGTGAGGTGCATCGAGACATCCTCCCGATATGAAATTTGCTCCATAAATTATGGTCGTTGTTTTTAAAACTAATGCTACAACCTTCTTACATTAAATTGCTGCAGTAAATTTACATAGACACACATACAGTATATTGCGAAAATACAGAAAGTGTGAACTTGTCTAGTCTTCATTGGTTTGTTGGGAGTTATCTCTCTATTTACACTAGGCAGGACTAACTCAGGATCACCTGAGCAACAAAATAATCCTTTTTCAAGCTAACTGCTCCTCTCTTCAATTGTGAGCGTTGAATGTGCTGTGTAATTTATGTGGATAGCAACCAGTGTCTAGTTATACACACCAGCCATTACCAAGTCCTGACACGCCAACAATATCAACAACCAAAGGCTTGCACTGTCATTCCGATTCCAACGCCACATCCAACAGTCCGTAAACAATTCTTCATCACTCGCTGATAATATTAAACGGCCCACGGCGTGGCTTACATTGCAGGAAGAAAATGGCTTGAATTACGCTTTCAAAATCATTATCAAATTCCCCCAATTACTGTCATACAACTCTCCTTCTCTATTCTGTGCCATGTGCTTCTTTACAAAGTCAGTCAATGAAGCTTCCTGCAGCCAAGTTCCCAAGAAGTAGTAACATTATCGGTGGAACAATCCGCAGAGGGAACAAGCCTAGACATGCTAGTAAGACTCGCTGATATTTCTTGAGCTGGGAACAAAAACCCGTCAAGCCATTGCACAGATTTTTGAAGTAGGTGGTTTTCAAACTGTTCCTCCCCATTTTGTATTTGCCCTGAGCTACCCTGATTGAGTGAGTGAGCAGGTCACTGTCTCCAGCTGCTTCTAAAGCCTCTACTCGGAGGTTTCCAGAAATTCCTTGGCTGATCTGTCCTCCGATATCCATTCATTTCTACTTGGGTAGATGGGGTGTCAGCTTTGCTTAGCTGGTAGCATTCTCGCCTATGTTGGGACTTGAGTTCACAGTCTAAGATACCATTCTCAGAGCATTAGCCCACTACAATGTCACTCCATGTTTATGGTACACTGTACCAACAGGTAACTGGGTACTATGTTATGATCTCTTTCTAAGCAATCTGTTTAGGACGTAATAGACATACAACAACTTACAGGACGCCCTTCACACAGGATAGCATCTATTCTAGGAAACAACATACCGAATAGATAATGCACACTTGTAATAACCCCACATTGATAAATTAAAGCACAACCTTTTATAAATGGAGTAGAGAGCCCAAAAGTACATTTTATAGCACTTTAACAAACATCTTAAAAACTGCTTTGTAGACAAACTTGGTAATCACTTTGTGTGCAATATTATACATTTTTCTGTTATGATCATCACCTACGTTCCTTTGGACAAAGTTCTTTCTAGCAGCACAAAGCAGATTGAGAGAACTCCTTTAAACAATATCAACTGTTTTTTTCCATTAATTAAACAATTCAGTTGCAGCAGAAAACCTAACGCAATGGAGAGTTGAAATTTGACCGCCGCAAAAATTGTATTTTCATTACAAAGTAAATAGCCAAGACATTAATACGTTCCTTATGAACATATAACAAAGTCTGTTTGCTTTGAAAACATGCACAACACTACTACACCATATCCCATCCACATTCTTTTAAACACAGCCAATGTTGCCACCTGTTGTTCAAAGGCTGAATGGCAATTACTTTCTCGCACGGGATTCTAAAAATTTGCCAGTGAAATGCATAAACCCCACAACCTATCCTTTGCTGGAGAACTTGCTGCCCTGATTGATATACAACAAATGCCAATTCTAGATAGACAGCAAAACCCAACAGAGAGGGCATTAAATAGGAATGGTTGGTGGAGGTTGCTCAGTTAAGATCTCAACAACAACTTGCATTTATACAGCGTCCTTCAGTCAGGGAAGGATCCTGGAGCGCTTATCTTGACTAGGATCTTGAAGTTAATACAACTTAACGCTGCATTTGTTCGGATGCTGTTTTAACTCAATGAATAAACCTGAGCACAGTTTGAAAGCTTAATGTAAAACACGCAGTGGTGTGTATCCAGCGCTGACACAATGCAGCAGTGTAAACAGGGATGTGAAGTTTTACTCACTGAGGTCCTCCGCGAGCTGAACTCTCCTCCCCGTCAATAGCTCAGCTTTTTTCTTATTGTTCTCAGCAAAATCCTCCAACACTTCTTTCACGTTCTTCTCAAGGCGCCGCACTGGCGGGGACGGAAAGGACATAAACAGTCATTTTTGTTTTATTAATAATAATCCTTCCATTTGACACACCAGCTTATCAAGTCTTTGAGACATCCCAAAGCACTTCACGGGATATACTGTCAAGTGTAATGACGGTGCATTTCGTGGATTAAGTGCCTTTGGCACACTTTNAAAAAAGGGGGCAATTTTGGATTGCATTTGCTTACAACACGCACAGTCTTTTTACATGACAAGAAATCCGTGAAGCGGTTTGAGACACCCCTCCAACGTGAAAGGCGCTTTATCAAACGCAAGGCTTATTATTATTATTATCATCATCATTCAGCGATTAAGGAATGCAGTGGAATTGTTTTGGGTGAGTTGTAGAATACAGTGCAGCCTGCTCCTAGCATAGTCAGACCTTTCTATAGATAGCTGTCAGCGAACAGTTATCAAGCAATGAAACCATCACTTTAGAGGCTATTTTACATTCATGTACGATTTCCATCATGTATAGACTTTTTTTTAAAAAAAGAGTCTAATCCAGGATTTTCCTCTTTCACATGCCATACAATTTTTTTCTTTGCTTTATTTTTTTTACACCAAAAGCCCACAAAGGAATTCCTTCGGTGATTAAAACTCAAACCCTGGGGGTGAAGAGCAAGCAATTGAAGTCGGTAATTGGAAGACTACAGCACTTTTTTGGTGAGTTCACTTCCTCTTCATTGCCCCCGCCCTCACCCACACACAGCACAAGTAATCTCTGAAAATGGCAATCTGCTGAAGGGAAGACGTCCGGTCGGATCAGGTCCGGGTAATTAGCCATTTCGTTTTTGTAAAGTTTTTAATGGGCAGCCCTATAGACATTGAAACCATTTGATTCCGCTTAAAGCACAGGTGCTGCTCTATCCACGAGAACTGCCCTGGCTGGCGCCAAGCCTAATTCTTATCGGGTTCCTCTTGGCCTACATCTCTTCAGTCCATCACCTAAAATGTCTCCATGGACAAAATAACACACACACACACACAGAATTCTGAGTGTAGCACTCAGCGTTTCTAGCACATAATCTGTCCTTTTAATCTTAACCAGAGGAACTTATCAATAACATTCCTACTTCTTCCTACTCCTCATCCAGCAGTTTTATTGACAGCATCAGGGAAAGGAAGTGCGATTAGAATTCGAGCAATGCTGGTGAACTATTCTCATGCCATCAATAATTCTGCCAATACAGCTGCGGTGACGCCCTATCAAACAATAACTCTGTAGTGCAAGAGTCAAAGTAAGAGGATTCCTACCTACCTTCAGTGTTTGTTAGTTGCTGCCTGAGTGTGTTTGCTGTGATGCCTAGCATTCGTTGAATGCGCCAGAACAGAACAACATCATTGCATTCCAGCTGTGGGAAGAACAGTGAAAGAATTATATATAATAGTAATAATCCTTGCATTTGCTATAGAGCCTTATCATGTCTTCGCGAAGTCTCAAAACGCTTCACAGCATATATTGTAAAGTGTAGTGATTGTGTATTTTGTGGGTGAAACTATCTATTGCAAACCTATCAAATGCAAGAATTATTACTAATAAAGCGATCCACTTAATTTCAGGCGCAAACTGCAAATCGCGATGAGCCTGGTTTGCAAATATCACACTTGCAACGTCACGGTTAGAAACATAAAGGATTATTTTGTTTTTACACACCTTCTGTGAACATACCTCTGAGTCTACAAAGTGCCTCTGATAGTAATAGAAACCTCTTCTGCAAAGATTGCAATGGTTCAGTGCTTTCTTCAAGAAATGCTTGCGGAAAATCTGGTGCCAAGTATCTTTAATCTGGAGATAGAGGCAGAAAGTTTCAGTGAAAATGTTTAATAAGGTCAAGATTGTTCTGCTATACAATGGACGCTGTCTCTAGTCTGTACTGTTTAGTGGTGATTCACCTTGGTACTTTGCTGCCAAGATTTCAGCAGAACTCTGATTAATCTCCCCTGCGCCCCTCCTCACCCCCACCTCCACTCAGCATTTAAAAAGACTTGAGTGGTGGAATGCCCAGCCCAAGAGCTTTAAAGGGATCTTTTTTTGAGGGCATGAGATATTTCATGGATTCAAATCATTTTTTTTAAAGAAAACTTTGTAAGAATGTTTGATCAGTATCTTCTTAATGTACAGAAGCTGCTGTGGTGGTGGTGGTGGGGTGGGGGTGGAAGGACAGATGGACCATATTTTTTCACCATACTCTTCAGGAACACAAAAGCGTAAAGTTATCCGCCTTTAACATTATCAGTACCGTTTAAGAAAAAGATGCCAAAATTTTAATTACAAAATGCTAATATATGATAGTCGAACCTCACTGTAACTAACCCTCCTCGGGACCGGCAGAAAAGATTGCCAATATCAGGCGCTCACTGGATAGGGTTTGGCTGTCAATCAGGTCTTGGCGTTGGGATCGTTAAAATCGGGGGTTTGTTATAAGCGGCTTTCATTATAATGAGGTTCGGCTGCACATCACGAGAAAGTAACAGAATATCCAACATTTTGTTCTACCTCCAGAAGCGATAACAGTGGGAAATTTGTAGCTATCAACTTGGTGACAACCTTACCAGAATAGGGTCCACGGCTACACTCTTAGCCTCCAGGTTCTTACGGACTGTTGTAACTTCATCGTTAGCCAGGTAAGCCGTGTGCTCCTCATTGATCTTCAACAAACGCTCCAGTTCATTTTTGGTTTCATTTCGAACATGCTGTGGAGTAGAGCAGTTAGTTGTCAGTTGCAGACACAACCGTTTAATAAAATGAGAATACTTTTATTACTCCAAACTGCAACATTAGTTCCATTTTGAATGGACATACTAATGTACTGTTCATGGCCAGGTGGACCTTCAGCCACTCAGCCTCCACCCTCTGGCACTCCATCCCACAATCCCTCTGCCTCGCCCCCTCTCTTGCCTCCTTCAAGACCCTCCTGTTCGACCATGCCTTCAGTCACCCTCCTGCCCTCTCCGCCCTCCTGCTCCCAACTACCAGATTGGGCGCAAATCCCTAAATGTCCAGCGCCTTGGGATGTTCTCCTGACGTGAAAGATGCTATACAAATGAAATTTGTTGCTGTTGTTGCTTTTCAAAGCAATTCAAACTGTAGTGTAAGTACCTCATTAACAGGTTACAGGAATATAGCACGTCCTGCATCTGTTGTAACCTCATCTCACCTGCTCTGGGGCCTTTGATTTCCAGTAGAACCATCTTTCTTGCCAATCTGGACCCACCATATCTCGGATTACAGAATCGGCTATTAAAACAAGAATAAGGCACATTACACACATCAAAATTACATAGTCAATTCCCCTTAAACTGCGCTTAGACATTTCCAAACAGTGACTGCCAAACCAATTTAAGACCAATGTCACCAATGTCATTACTTGCTGAGCAATGACTGAACCAGAGCCTGCTCCCCATTCGACATGGAAGCACAATTTTAGATACTTGTTAAAGAAAGAAACCTTAATGTCAAGGACAGGAGGAAACCAATATTTTATTTAAAATAGTACAGGAAGATCAATTTTCTTACTGTTAAATCGGCACAGGATCACAGAGGTTTTGATGATTGAAATCTGGCAATATTAAACTAAGTCTAGAAAAAAGCCAATAGCCTCACAGACACATATCTCAGAGCAATATGATTGACTGCTCTACAGAGGATGGAAATCTACCCATGCGCACTGTAATCGGGAAACTAATGAAGCAGGACCTTAGTTTTCAAAACTTACTGTCTCTGAGGCGCGATTGCAGAGTGTCCTCCATGAATTGGATAGCTGCGTCCCACTGCTGTTTGTCCGATATTGAACGATCTTCTAAAGCATTGTGCTGGATGACTCGCTAGAGGAAGGCAAAAAAACTGAACGTTAATAAGGGTACCAAATATATCAAAACTTACATTCAATGGAGCCTGGCTCAGTTTGTAGCACTCTCGCTGAGTCTAATGGTTGTCTGTATAGTCTAGGCTAACACTCTAGTGTAGTGTTAGGGGGTATGCACCAGAGGGAGGAGCTTTCTTTTGGATGAGACATTAAACCGAGGTCCCCTCCTACCTTGGTTTAAACCTCTTTTTGTGTTCAAATCCCTTCTCTCCCTGGCACCTCCCTATCTCTCCGACCTCCTCACTCAACAATCCACCACCTGGCGCCTTCCCTCGACTGGCAGCGACCTCCTGTTTGGCCCTCGCACCCTCTGCCCCACCATCGGAGGTTGCCCTGCTCTCCCCTTTTTCAAGTCCCGCCTGAAAACTCTCCCCTTCGACCGTGCTTCCGGCCATCTCTCCCCTGTTCGGAGTCAGCTCCGCTACTTTTAAGTGCTGTGAAACGCAACTCTGTATGGAGCTATATAAGTGCAAGTTGTTGTTGTTGTCATCATCCCTCGTGCCTGTTCAGGTGGACGCTAAAGACCACATGGCACTATTCGAGAAGAGAAGGGAGTTTCTTTTGATGTCCTGGCCATCAATTGCTCCAAATAAAATCAGTCATTTACTTCATGGCCGATTGTGGGACATTGCTGTGGGCAAATTGGCTCCCACTCGCCTACGAAATACGCAGGCACCACATTTTACACTATATCCTGTAAAGGGAGCTACATAGTGTTATCAGTGATTATCATGCCACTATGGTCTCAAGGTAGAGAAATCTCGCCACTGTCAAGTCAAAATGTCCAACCTCATTTTGTTTTCGTTCTTTTTAAAAAGAACTTACTTTGGGCAATATTTTTGTTGCACCTGTAACGTTCATTACAAAAACCAGACTGTGCTGTACTACTCATAATAATGACGGCAAAAAACAAACAAACACGCTGTGCCGTACCAGACTATCTTGAGCCCGCTCATTCCATTTGTGCCGTTTGATGCTTTCGTCTTTGACAGCATGTTTTAGTTTGTCGAATATGTCGTCGTGGTCTTTCCCTTTGTGCTCGGACATGAAGCGAGCAAACTCATCCTCTAGGGCCTCCCAGGCAACCTGCAGGAGGGAAGCAAAAACGACAACAATAATTTGATGCGGCATTCAGCAGTCCAATACATATGTGTGTATGTGTGTGTGTGTATTGTGTGTGTTACTAGAGTGATCTCTGAAGCTCATTGCTATTTAATATGAGTTGCAGGCCATTTGTGACCTAGAATTTAGGTTCCCGACCAGAAGCAAAACTAACTTTCACATTTTAAACAAGTGTATCTTTTTTTCTTCCTCCAAATTGAAATTGTTTGCAAGAATTGTTCCTTTGTCAATGCACTGCACTTTGTTGAGCCATCAAGAGCAGGAAAGTCCAAGGTCAATCTCTGAGGTGTCCCAACCACTCTAATCTCAACAGGGATGGCATTTCAGGTGGTGGAACTGACTTCAGCATCAGCAAAGGCCCAAGACTCTCACTGCAGATCAATGCATTCACTATCCAGACAACCACTGCTCAGTGTGTGTGGACATCGGGAGAGGTTCAATGAATGATACAAGAATTGTTCTATCAGGCTCCGCCACTGTAAAGCACTCTGAGAGGCTGTCCACTTGAAGGACACAATATAAATGCAATTTGTCGTTGTTTTGTCTTGGCTCTTGCGTTATGAATGCCTGCTGAGGCCATTCATTTATTGATTATGAAGGGTTGCCATCATCGACAGAGTCCAATGCATTGTGAGAAGTGGCATGAGGAATGACATGAAAGATGGGTGCAGTGCAGAGGAAAGGCAGAGAGCAGGCATGGAGAAGAGAAACGAAAGCGGGCAGAGAAAGGGCTCCTTCTTTTAAAACTGTACTCCTTCCGCATTCTTTTACACTCCACTGATTGTTGAACCTTGACTTCCGTTCCTCCACTCAAACAATAGCAAACTGCTCGCAGTGCAAGCCAAGAGAAAGCGCCCGCTAGAGCTCAGGATCGCACCTCCAGGGCTTTGTGGGGCAGCTGCTTGTCAGTCCATTGCTTGAGCTTGATGTCCACAGTGGTGTTGAAGGTGCCAGCGTTCACGGTCTGAGCTGCAGGAAGGTAAATGTTCTCAATCACGTGAGTTGAGACTCGCTCCCACAGCTTCCGCTGAAGAATCTCTTCCCTGAAATAAAAAAAATAACACAGGGCAGTTCCCAATCAGTTTAAATGATTTCCAGCTGCATTTTACTGCACGGAATACAGTCTGACCCCATTATAACACAGTAGTTTAGTCCAAGAATACTATTTAACTGTACCCTCTCCCGAGCAAAAAACATACAGAATTTTTCAGCCATTAGGTTTTTGCACACTTGTTCAAGTCTGTAACCACAAATGCACAAAAAAAGCTGACGCCTGCCATAAGTGAGAAATAAGCTTCATCTATCAATGCTATTGATCGTTTATACATTTTTTTTAAGACTCCTGGATAGAAAACTATTGTGTGCAATTCATATTAATATAAACCTGAACGGGCCCTATACTCAGCCGCTGTGTATACTTAACAAGAGGTGCCAGGAACAATAGCAGGGACTGCACAATTCATCATTACATTGATTTGGCAACACTGATGTATTTCCTTCTCAAACCCTGGAAGTTGTTAATCTATCATAGCAGATTCCCAAAACACCCAAATAATTTCTGTGGAGGCAGATATGAAATGCTTTGCAATGTAATCAAAACACTGTACTACAGAAACTAATGGGAATTTAATTTTAGAGATGAACAACTTTCAAGAAAATGTGCAGATTTCTATATCTCAGTGTCCTGGCCAACAATCCTCCATTAACAATTGGTCGTTCAACTATGGCCGTACGTGGCAACTTGCAATTCCTCAGTGTTAAAATGCTTCACTTTGGTTGAGAAGTTATTTAAGACAATAACGGGTTTATAAATACTTTGTTCCACAGAGCAATAATTTAAATGCAATTTTCAATTGGGGATTGAGTAAAATGGCTATATCGTATGGCGATACAACGCTGGATTCAAAATTATTAACAGGTTATCTTAATCTTTAAGATCACAAAAACGTAAAGTTTCGTCCACAAATATACAAGTCAATCCACTTTACAGTATATCCTGTGAATTGTTTTGAGATGTCCCAATGATGTGATAAGGCGCTATATCAAATGCAGGTATTATTATTAATAAAATGTTCCTTACCAGTGCTTTGGTGTAACCTGGCTTAAGCTGATCACTTCGTCCAGGATCTCATTTTTAGCCTTTTCATATAGCTCGTTCTAGCAAAAGGAAAGCGTTAGTTAGAAGTAAAAGCAGCTAAATGGAGAACAGACAGCAACACCAAGGTTCCTCTACCTTACCCTGTCCAGTTCCCTTAGCCGTGGATAGTTGTTTTTCCATTCTGTCTCGAGGTTGAAGCGAGTAGCTAAATAAAGAAAAAAAATGACCGTATTTAGGATATATTGCACATTAAAAATATAAGTTAAATATGAGCATAACCAATCTGAGCTGTGAACATTCTCACATTTTAACGTTCGCTCCCTCGCTCCTTCCTTCCCTCCCTCCTTCTTTCCCTCTCTCCCTCCCTCCCCTCTTGCAAGGCACGTCTCAAAACGTACCGGCTTGACCCAGACGCTTTCGGTCATCTTTCCCTTCCCCAACTCCCTCAGTTCGGGTGTCTACCCAGCACTAGGAAGTGCTTTGAAGACTCCCTCCCGATGGAGAGGTGTTACATAAATATAAACTGTACTGTATAAATGATACAATCCAATCTGGTGATTTACAGCTCTGGCAAGTTCAGATTTTATCTTACTCAATTCCCGGAACACCAAAGGTGATTGACATACGGGGAGAGCGGGCGGATGCTAGGGTACTGGAGTTAAGAGACAGATTGCCCATTCACCACCAGTCTCAAAGAAAATAGGTACAAGTACAAACTTCACACTTCTGCACTCACGCACAACTAATTGGCGGAATAGTTGGAATTCTATTCTAGTTGAGAATCAGCCTTTTCAGTCACTAATTACAACAATAACAATAATAATAGGACATCAGGGCAATTAATACAAGTTCGTTCTTACTGGTTTCATTTATAGTACAGCCAGTGATTACTTGGGAGTATCACTTTTCAGTCCTTACTTGTGGATTTCTTGACTAAATTCAATCTTGTTATTGCAGGAGGAGGATTAATTGCAAAATACTCTCACTCACAAGTAAAGAGACTTGTTCCTAACTTGGCAGCTATTCAACTTCAGATTGTTAAATTGTCTGCTTTCTCTAAAGTGACGTTGCGCCGTGAACAATCCTCATCTTAATGACGACTATTGATCAACAGCAATCCCCTCTGAGATTCATTAGATCAAATGTTATTGGATTTGAAGAAAGCTTCATTTTTCACCTCGAGTAGACACCTTAGTAAATTGCTTATTTACATACAAAGCCTGCTGAGTTTTGACCAAGGGAAGATTGGGATATTAAACATAAGACAATCACTGACTGGAATATGCGTATCCTCGCTTTCTATAGTTATGAACATTTCATATACAGTCAATTCACTTGATAAGTCTATTCTGTGAAGCGCTCGAAGATATGATAAGGCACAATATCAAATGCAAGGATCATTATTATAAAGTCATCAAAGTTGTTGCCTTTTGGTGACACGGGAGGAAAACACGTGAAACAAACTCCTTTAGCAGCAGATAGAAATACTTAGCATTTCACAAAAATTTGTTTAAAAAACCCATTCATTAAAACATGCCAGTAAATGCATCATGTCCTGCTCAGCTATAAAAACACAGAAACATCTCAGGTCTAATCTCTACTTTGTATCAGCTTATCCTAGAGTGGCTTATCCTAGTGGCTTATCCTAGTGGCAATAAAAGGTGCCATGATTAGACTCTTTTGGAAAAAAGAGAGGACACACACACATCTCTGTTAAAGAAATTAAATCTGAACTGGTTGTTCAACTTCCCTCTTCTGCGTTCATCAACTTGTTGCTTTTCTTTCAATTGTTTTACACATCCTCCCGATGTGAAAGACATTGATAATGTGCTGTTGTTTAAACATATTAAATTCAGTTTATCTGAACCCCTTAGGGTCTGCTCGTTCTTTTCAAAGCTTCTTCGCTCCACTTCTTTCCATCGTAGTTCTGTGCTCCGATTCCTTTACACTTCCTGTTTCGTGGTCACTCTCCCAATATTTATCTCTGCTTTCCTTTCGAGGTGGTGGGGGAATGGAACTCTCGTTCTCAGCCCCTTGTCCGATTATTTAATTCATTCTCATGGCTCTTTTTATCATCAAAGTGATTTGAAGAGGAATGTTACGCGATTTTGCAAAACTAACAGGTGCAAATCAAACCAATTCCTCACATCAGTCTTTTGGTTAATAATAACTGGTGGTGCTTTTGCAGTAAACCTCCTCTTCCTACACAGCAGCACAACAGCACCACCTCCTGTCCTTGATAAGTCAAGCCTCATGCAGCCCTTTATGATAATAAGTACAGTACAAGAGTCAATAAGACAGCTGCTTTAATAAAGTGATTGTTCTCATCTCTTTGAGATCCCTGGTTACAGTACCCGGAGACAACTTGCTCAGACCTCTCTTAATGATGCCTTTGTTGCTCCAAGGTGCACAGTACAGTGACTTTCTCTGCAATTTTTCCTTTCCTCTGTGCAGAGATGGGCCGAGACGCTTCTCTTATCCCCTCACCCCCACCCCCCAACTCTATACAATTATAGGAGGTGCACACTTTTCGCCCGTCCTTCCAGCTCTTTATAGTTACCATTTAATTTGAGTTACCACACTACAAATTACAAGCTGCATCTCCCACAGGACAGACCTCATGCGACTATTAAGAAGCAAAGCCGGAGAGGGGAGGGGTTGCATTTTGCAGTATTGATGGAATCAATGATTTAAACTGTTAATAATAATCCTTGCATTTAATATAGCGGCTTATCACATCTTTGAGTCGTCTCAAAGCGCTTCACGGAACATACTGTAAAGTGAATTGATTCTATATTTCATGGGAGAAACGTGGCAGCCAATTGCACACAGCAGCGTCCCACAAACAGGCGTGGATTGAGTGATCAATTTTATTATTTTTTTAAAGAATTATTATCCCCAGAAAAGCGATCCGCCAATCGACTAACAACTGGGCTCCTACTTACTGCTAGGTAAACAGAGGCGTGTGGAGTAACGAAACTTTTCCAGCGTTTCGCCCTGCCTGGGAATCGAACCCAGGCCTCTCACTTGCGAGGCGAGTGCTCTAACCACTGAGCTACAGAACTCCACACTAATCTGGAAGATTGTGATACTGAATTACTGCAGTCTTGAATAACGTGACAATGATTATGCATTTACCTTTGAACGCATCTGCCTGCTGCTCCACAGACTCCCGGACCATTTTCCAGAAGCAGTCAGATACAGCCAGACTCAGGTTCTTGGTAGTCACTTGATGAGCCTTCAGCATTCCTGTCCTTTAAGGCAAAGGCACTCAATTAGTCCCCTGACCTCCATTATACACATGTAAAAGGCACAGTAAACATGCCTAGAATACGGAGTATCATAGGATCATTTCATTGTTGCACCAATGGCAGGCACAATAATCCCTGAATCTGAGGTAGCACCTATAATATTAAAGGCTTCAAAGCTCTTTTGAAGTTATTGGTGTCGAGGAAAATGACTGTATTTTCGTAGACAAACACGTCAATCAATTTGAGCCTTGCAATGTCCCAGAAATCGTTCAGTTTGCAAGCCATGATTTTGTTTCTTTTCATTTGTATTTTATCTCAAGTCCTTTCATGTTCTTCTCTTTCTCTCTCAATGGAGAGCTAATTCACTGTCATTCATATCCACTGTGTTTATCCTCCAATGGGTGAGAATTGCACTGCTCCTGAAACCAAGTGCTCTGTGCCCCAATGTTAAGCTTAAAACCTGGAAATAAGGCAACAGAAGTTGGACAAAAAAAACTTACTTCAATAATGTTGAATTCTGAAAGAAATCCCCTTCATAATCTTTTATGGAATCAATACCTTCATTGACGTTTCCTGTTTTATTCAAACAAAACACACACGTCAAGCATTCTCATAACAACATACAAAATAGGGGTTGAGCCATCAAGGGAAATTCACCATGTGATTTGAAAGTAAGGAAACTTGCCCAAGGTTTCGCCCTGCCTGGAACTGAACCCAGGTGTCTCGCTTGCAAGCCGAGTGCTCTAACCACTGAGCTACAGGACTCCAACTATGCACATGTTAACTTCTCTCATCAGTCTCGATCAGGACAGGTAAGTCTCTATTGCTGTATAACTCTTTCCAGCAAGATAAAAGTCCTAAGTAGCAATAGTTGGCTTAGAATGAACAATTTACGGAGCTTTTAAAATCGCGGCTTACCTCGGCCAGTGACAACAGCAAAGTAGCCCAAAGCCTTCATTGGGAAGAGTTTGCCTTCGACAATCTGCTGTATCTGTAAAGGTGCAACACGTTACAGCGATAGCACGTATATCTAATGGGCTACTCAACAGAATACTTTATACATTTTCTATGTACTGTACAATGTTCCTAATTGCATGGTAACCTAGAGCGTAATCATATACATTTTGGAAATAGGTAGAGTCCACAGAAAGGACGCAGAGAGCTAAGAGCAAGATAGCAGACGGACCTCATAGATGTATTGCATAAGTTTTAACTTAGTTATTACGCTCATACCCGACTGGGGTTACTAGCTAGGTTTTTCTCTGCTAGATCCACTTTAGTCAACACGAAGATAGTTCTCTTGCCGTGTGGGTCCATTTGACTGACCAGGTCCGTCACAATGCTACGTTCTGCATCAACTGATCCATCTGCAAGACACAAGACCACGAAAACTCCAGCTACATAAATAGCCAAAGGAAACATGCCGACCTATTTGATACCTTGAATAGTTTTTGCTTTATTGTAATTTTAGACGGTTTATGTGGGTGAGCACAAAGCAACGGCCATTTAGCTTATTTGCATCCGACTCAGTGAAAGATATCGGATTTGTTTTCAAAAAAATAATTTTGTTTCATAATAATCCTTGCATTTGATATAGTCCCTTATCACATTATTGAGACGTCTAAAACAGCTTCACAGGTTATACTGTAAAGTGGAATGACTGTGTATTTTGTGGGTGAAACCCAGCAGCTGATTTGTGCACAGCAATGTTGCACAAACAACGATCGAGCAAGTGACCAATTTTTATTTGGGGGATTTGTTGCCAGGGCACTAGAAGAAACAGTGCACCTAGCATTCGCACATCGGACATTATATTTTCTTCACTAAGAGTAAATTTGGCCTCAAAAGCAGTCACTGCTTAATAGTATCTCCCACAAAGCCCTTTGGGACATCCTCCTGATGTGAAAGGTGCTATACCAACCTAAGTTAATAATAAATTCTCTTTTATACAAGTGGCTGCCATTTACCTTGGATACAAAGAATGATGGCGTTGGGGTTCTGCATGTAGGCCTTGCTTATGCTGAAGATGGTTTCTCTGGTATCAGGGGCCATGCCCGATGTAACCGTCTTCAAAAGAAGAGAACAAAACAGATCAACACGACTGTAGGAAGCAGGTTCATCAGTACCCTCTAAAAGAAAAGTTTAGGTTTGTTTCTTCACAGAAAACCTTACCCTCATTTGATCAGTAACACTGTACTGACAACAGTTTCCTGATTGTCAGCTGCAAATTTCATGAATTGAATAGTTTATGGTACAACAATATTTCAGGGTGAAGGCTACTGCACAGAAGTCACACCTTGCAAGCCTGAACTGAATAAACTACCCGAAACGTACTTTATCCCAAGACAGTCACAAATCATTCCAGAAAAAAAGTGCATTGAAACGATTTAAAAACTATTATCTCAAATCTGGGTTCAGAAGTTAACCGTGACTTGGCATTTGTTGTTCAGAACTTTACTGAAAACCTCTCAATCAGATCAGCAATGTTAAAGATGACTCCTTGATAATTCGCTTGTGGGTGGCTTCTGCCAAGTAACCCCCATCTACAGGAGAGAGCATATTCCGACACTTACACTGATGACACCGGGAAGATCAACCAACACCATTCTCTGCAAGCCTGGACCCTTCACGCTCAAGGAGATTGTCTAAAAAACAAGTCAAATACAAAGTGAACTGAACCATTAATCAGCAACAAATAGCTTCACTGAGATGTATCATTTACAAAAGCGGTCACTATACCAATCCACAACTACGGCATTAGCAGAAACGTATTTGGTATTTGTTTGTTCCTGTAAAATGTTGTTCAAAATGCCGATAAACTTCAACATACCCTGAAATCGGATTTAAAGGCATTAATGCAATTAGCAATATTCATCTATCCGTTACTTACTTCAGGACTGACTGTCTGCCCTTCCTTTACACTGCTTCTCATTCGGATTTCAGTTTCATGCCGCAACGCTGCTAGCTGTACACAGAAAAGCAGAAAAGTACTTCAACGACAACTTGCATTTATATTGTGCCTTTGACAAGGGGCAGCATCTTGTGCGCTCAACAGTGATGGAGTCTGACGCCGAACCAGGGGGAGGGAGGAGGTGACTGTAAGCACGGTCAAAGAGGAAGGTCTTCAGTCGTGGTCTAAAAGAAGGGAAGATAGAGGTAAGGTTGGAGGATTGAGGGAGAGTTCCAAAGCTTTGGAGCACTCTGGGATTCTGCCCTGAGTAAGGGGCGCTATATAAATGCAAGTTGTTGTTGACCGGTTTTATTTCAGGGATTGTTAGCCAGGACAACGGGAGAGAAACTTCTTGCTCTTTTCGAATAGTGTCATGGGATCGTTAACGTCCACCTGAACAGGCAGACGAGACCTCAATATAGCGTCTCACCCGAAGGACGAAATCACTGACGATGTAACACCCCCCACTGCTGCATTGCAGTGTCAGCTTAGACTATGTGAGTTCAATTAATCAAATAGTTATTAATTTCCAATAAAGCGTTACAAAAGCCATCAGCTGGGTCGTTGAAACAACGTCCACTTTGAAGCTTTACTCCAGCATTGGACACTGGAGAGAAAAGGTTTAACACTCCATTGCAGGAGTGTTGCTCATCACCTTTCAGTAGTCAGAGGACTACTGTTTCAAAAAGTGGACATCTATGAGAATTGGGATCTCAGGCCAGGTCACCGCTGATCTTAACCTGTATTTTACACTTCCATTACAACTCCTGGCCTGTACATTCAAAGGCATATATCAATACAGCCACTGAAACAAAGAAAACTCTAAAGCCTAAGTTGCTGTTATAGGTTATCTCAACATCTGTACTGTAATTCATAGCAAGTCAGACTTGTACACTATATTCAGCTGTACTGGGATAAATAACTTGTGGAGGCCTTAGTGACAGCTACATGAGGTAAATTGCAGGCCAACCTCTTTTTGTTCCTCAGGCATTTTAGAGGGAAATCAACCTATGAAGATTATGGCTCAGAGACTAATGAGTGATCCTACTTGGTAACAGCACTACAAAAACAAGGGGGGAAAATATGTGAGTGAGAGAAACTAAGTGAACAGCAGATTGGATCGATAAGCAATGTATCGATAAGCAAAGCGACCAACGAGTTTGCTTGATTCTCATTAGAATGATTTAGCGACAAAATCCAACTCTCTTTTTCAGCAAAGCTGGTCAAACATCAGCGGCATTGGAGCCCAGGAAGAAAGTGTTGGCACTCTGCTGGCAAGTCAACTGACGGTCAAACAAAAGGCTTGCGGGACTCACATCTTCCTCCTTGGTGAGGTCAAATTCTCGGGAGCTGTCTTTGAAAATGGCCACGTGGTGAGGTCCTTCACTCAGTGTCACCTGAGAAACCAGGTAAAACAAATGTTAACATTTCACCAGCAAAATCAGGAGTGGAGCACAAATTCGGGAGATCACTTGCTTATTTGTGTAACACTGTTTGTGGGACATTGCTGTGTGCAATTGGCTACCACATTTCGCCCACAAGTATCCAGTCAATTCACTTCACAGTGTATTCTGGGAACACTTGGAGACATCTAGAAGACGTGAAAAGCACTATATCAAATTCAAGGATTATTATTATTTATTACTATTATTACTTAAACGTTGTCTAAGTTATTTGTTTCTTTGGGATTGGCATTTCAATTTATTCAAGACAAATTAAAAACTCTTTCTGGAACAAGTTAGGATCCGTTACATGTTTGGGTGGGACTTATTGAGACAGATGTCGAGATAATTTCATTAGTCAGCGATGTGGAAAACTTCAAAAAGCCTAACTTATTTTATTCACCATAATCGCTGGAACAAAGCAGAAACATCTATTGTGAACTGAGGTTTCATTCAGGAACAAGAGAGTTTCATTCAAATAATAATAATCCTTGCTTTTTATATAGCACCTTATCAGGTCATCAAGATGTCTCAAAGTGCTTCAAAGAATATACTGTAAAGTGAATTGACCGTGTATTTTGTTGGCGAACCAAATAAAAACAAGCATTTGCTCTTTACCAAAAAGAGCAAAGCAGATGGATCCAACATGAACCGAGGCTTCCTTCAAGGCCTAAGAGAGAGACTTTCTTCCAAACAAATCAAGTATTTGCTCTACGAATGAGGACCTTTAATGGAGTGCTTGTTTCCAAACCGCAGACTTCTCTACTCACTTTGACAGGTGCTCGGGTCATCATTTCACCAGACCCGCGAGGGAATATTCGTGCTTGGGCGATCATTTCCAGAACGCTGGTCTTCCCAGCGCTTTGATCTCCGACCACAACTACCTGAGAGAAGATAATTTGTTAATTAAGAAAGTAAAACAAGTGCAAGCGGACACAGAATATCTTCGATACCCTTTCCGCAGCATCGCAAACAATCAATAAACAATCAGTCAATTAACCACCCTAGACAACAACAACCTGTATTTTATACAGCACCCTTCACTCGGGGTAGTGTCCCGGAGCGCTTCAAGATCAGCATTAACCTCCTTCCAGATTACATCACTGTGCTGCATGCAACCAGGTTCGTAACTCATTTAACAAAGAGCTTGCTGCTGTAATAGGAAGATGGGAGGATTGGCATTCTGGGAGGATGAGGTCAAATGGCCCAGGGTAGATTTATCTCAAAAAAAATCTGAATCTCTCTTGTGAGAACAAAGAAACTGACAGCAACTTGCCACTCACCCTTGGTAGGTGGTCCTGGGTGTTATAGTTGGAATCGTAGTCTGATAGAATGTCCAATACTTCTGAATACAAGTCGATCAAAGATTTCTGAAATCAAAAAGGAAAGGGGATTCTCGTATTTAATGCACATGGTGAGGAGATTTGAGGGACAGGAAATATAGCAGAAACTTCAATGGAACTGGAATGTGGTCGTTGGTTGGAAGATCTCCCAACTTTCAATCCTTTCATACTCATACTCCCTGAAGGGATAGCATTTGAGGTAAAGGTGTAGAATAGATAGTGTTACTCAGAGGGTTGATAAGAGTGTGAACTCGTTACCACAAGTGGCTACTGAGAAAGGATCAAAAGAACTGTTCAAAAGAAAAATGGATACATGACTGAGCAGCAAAAGGGCTGGAGGGAAAGAGCTGGAAAGTGAGATTAATTTTAAAAAAACTAGTTGCATACACATGATGAGCCAAATGATCACTTTCCGTGCTTGAAAATTTCTGCCTCTATATAAACTGGAAAACCCTCCTCAAATCACCTTCATTTTGCGCTGGTGAATGCCTTTGACGTCTTTCTGAAGCACGTGTTTCCGCAGTTCCTTGTTCTCTTTCTCCAGCCGCTCGAGGATACGCTGATACTTTAGCTGTTGTGCAGAGAGAGAGAGAGAAAAAGCGTGAGAGAGAAAAATAACCATATCATTCAGGCATCCACACTTACAAGCACCACAAGTTCTTTTGCCTATGCTGAAATCATTTGAAGGTAGTTTTCGGGGATGGGGCAAGAAACCATAAGAACACTTGTACCACAAAAAAGTCCTGCTCTAATTCACTGCCTGAAGTAGAATCGGCTTTCAGTTCATGGTGCATTGGGAGACCACTGTTCGGTTAACTAAGCCACAGTTCTCTCTTGCCCACTTTATACCACTTGTATACGCCACACAAGGTGAAGAAAATAAAGGAACAGGTGTGAGACGTATGCCTGCAAAGAGATTTGTGTCAGTTTGGCTGGCAAGATCATCTAAAGCGAGGAGGTGGTTTTGGGAGGGGATCTAGTCTCAACACGGCAAGTACAAGCGACAGGGTTGCTAACGGATTAACCCTCTAGACAATGCTAATTCCTTGACATGGCACAAAACGATCACTTTTAAACTTCTTGCCTTTGTCGTCACTTGTCGTGCGAGACCAGTTTTTATAGCATCCATAGCTCCTTCATAAGCGAGGCATTGCGAGCCTAGGCTCTAGGGGTTCCAAGACCTCACTTGAGGTTTCAACCCAAAATGTACCTTACAATATATTCTGTGAGGCGCTTTGAGATGTCTTAACGTCGTGATAAGACGCTATATTAAATGCAAGAATTATTATTACTGAAAGGTCACAGTATTACATTTCCCTACACAATGTCCAAAACTACAACCACCCAACACTTGAGGCATCGAACAGTTCTGAGCTTTCAGCACCTGTGTTCGGAGCAGCTCTTCCTGTAGCTGTTCAGCTTTGTCCTTATCCGTCATCTGAAGAAACACAAGGAAAAATGGCACTTTGCAGAAAATGACAGGTCAGAAAGGCGCATTAACATTCTCCAAACTCAACGAATGTTAACCGTAGAGAAGAAAAGAAGTTTTTAAAATCACCAAGAAATGTCTACAGAGTATACTTACTCACCATTTAAGGGGCAAATTCCCTTAACTTCACTGCAGAGATTCTACTCAAAGAAAGAAAATCTTAAAAACTCCGGTTGAACTGGATTAGGCGGATCATACACCATAATCAATTTCTTCAATAAAAATGTTGAATTGCCCCAGCACAAAGGTCTGGGGACTGGAACAATTATTGTTCAGTAGTATATTTTACCAGGACAAAAACCTCCTCCCTGCCCCTCCCCATTCTGCCTTAAATAGTTTCAAGGGGGAAAAAAAAATCTTGCACCCCAAAATTCCACCTAATCTTAGCCTACAAGTCCATTTTGTTACAAAAGATTGGTTATCAGATTAGTTGTCAGATTGGTCATCTTCTGCAGTTTAAGATAGCAAAGAACTGTGGGAAACTCTTAAATTGTCTTAATTTGAAAGTTGCCTTTACGCAGTATCAAAAAAAACTTCCGATTTAGTCCTGAATTTGACAATTTCACACAGTCTTACACAAGATGTCAGAATGGAGTCAAAACTGTTTCAGTGCTAAGACGAGGTGAAATTCTGGGCATCTGGTGTATGAAGTTATTGCAGTGTACAGTGTCTGTTGCAATGATCTTTGGCTAACAACAAATAAGCTACCAGGTTACTTAAGATTTTTAAATGCACGTTTAAACTTGTAATGGCATTTTGATCCATTCCTGTCAACATTTGTTTCAATCAACCGTCATTAGTATTATAAGGCTCAAATTGTCAACAGAGAATGAAACGGCACGAAAACACACGCGATGCAATAGGATTAGAACACAAACAGAATGGAAGGAGAGGGTAAATACAGAAGCTTGTGATTGCTATAAGTGCAATTCGCTGTTAGAGAGAAAAAAATAAGATGACAGTGAATAAGGGAAGAGTGAAAAAAAGTTAGTTTTGGGTAACAATAATTATTGTTCCTTAAAGGTGCTCCCAGCAAAAGTGCCACATGCCGTGTTCAACAAAACACACAGCATCTTCCACCTTACGATATATCCCATGAAGCACTTTGGGACGTATTCCTGAAGTGAAAGGTCTTATTATAGTGATGATTATTATATAGCAATCATCAAAATAGATACATAAGCTCAAATCATCCCTCTATGTATTGAATCCTTGTCTCTCCACCCACCACGCCCCCCAAGGATGGAGGCACCATCCGGATTACGTCATATCAAATCCAAAGATTATTAATATAAAATCCAAAGATTATTACTATTATTACTATATCAGGGAAAAAATAGTAATGTAATATTATTATTATTACATCAGGGCAAGAGGGAATGAGTTCAAGGTAGTGAAGGGCAATTTCAGGGCAGATACCAGGAAGTATTGCTTTACCTGGAGGGTGAAGAGCGTAGAGGGTAACTAAGATACGGAATGGGGTTACCAGAAAGGATGATGGGGGCTATACACGGTGTGTTCATTTGAGAAACAGCTGAATGCTGTGATGGGAGCAGTGTATGGTGGACCTTCTGGAAGCATGAAACCAAATGGGCCGAGGGGATAAAAAAAAAAATCACTTACAAAATAAATGTAACCTAACACTTGCTCAGTCACTGACATGGATTGCACCTTCTGGATCAGTTCAAACTTTGACCCCATGGGTTCAATTCACCTGAAAACTAAAGAAAACGTGCAGACCTCATCCTCCGCAGTTTATCATTTTGAGTTTTGAAAGAACATTTACAACCCAATGCAGGTAAAACGCAGAACACAAACTGCATGCTCAAATAACCCACAACAAAATAATTAGTTGAACAGTTTGTAGATATTTAAACGCGTTCATTCCCATTGCACGCCGAGAAGTCCCAAGCACTGAACAAAGTAGCACCTATGGGGTCAATCCCTTCACTGAATTTTTGGCAAACCTGCAAGACCAATGAACGATTTAAATATGTACAACGCCCTCAAAAGAAATCAGAACCAAGCAAATAAACTTGGGGGGTTTCCCAAAGGACAGGTCAATCCATCACCTTTCGCTTCTGTTGAGAGGAGCCTGAGTTTAACTGCTCCGTCACTCTGCGTGCTTCCTCTTCGTGCTGTTGAATTTGCTGCTGGATTAGAATGAGCTCACCAAGCACACCCTGCCATGAGTTTCCAATGGGGAGGGAGGGGGGGGTGGTGGTGGGGTGGGGGGAAATTAGGGAGAAAACAAGAGTTAAAACAAAAAAACGGCTCAATGTAAAACACAAATGCAAACTTAGAAGGAGCAGGAAAGATTGTAGGGCTAAAGGAAATAAAGAACTTCTGCATTTCCGTCCTTCAGTGATGGGTACACAATATCTCTCAACATCCAAGTTATAATATGGTTATTTAGGTCAGTACAGAAAATTCACACCAATTACACCACAGCCATATATATCCTTGCTATAAACTTGAATGTGTTTGGCTAACACTACTTCTCAAGACTTTGTGTAGAATTCTTCTAAGAACTGTGAGTAACAATAGTAAAAGATCAAGAAACAAGGGGCCAAGTTGTATTCCAATACCAGCACCAAACTTGGTTTCCGTAACAAAGTGCACTAATGCCACAACATATTTACTTGCCCAAGAAATGTCCGTAACTTGAAATGTACACGTTGCTATTCCTATACTCCTTTCTGGCAAGTTGCAATTGTTTTCCCTTTAGCAAAATCATCCCAAGCCTGAAACATTTCTTACAATAACACTCACTCCTCATTTGGGCTCTTTGTCTACCCATTCTTATTATGAGGGATCATGTGCTATCAATCATGAAGGTTCAGTCGGTAAATTAACCTAACCAGTGTAGGGTCTTGGAAACATTCCTCTCATACCCAAAAACATGTCAGCAAATAGAACCATTTCTCAAACAGCAGTCAGCAACCTCTCCCCAATCACAGGACAATTCTAATATGCTATACCCCAGTTACTCATTGGTCAAACAAAAATATCAAATGGATTTATCACACTAATTTCTGCAAGTTTAATTCTCATCTTACTGCCTAGAAAACACCAGATCCCGGCATTATTCAGCTTCAGTTTTTGTCTAGATAGAATAAACCTTACCTTAAGGTACCCACAGGATTCATGGTCCAAGGTACGTAATACAAGGGTTCTGGGACGCTACCCTGCATGAGGGGCGCTATGTAAATGCAGGTTACAATAAGTCTCACTCATGATCCGGACTGAATGGCTCATCAAAAGTGCCTGTTCAATCCACGGAGATCTTGTTTACCTCCTTCCCCCTTTTGATTTTCTCTACCTCCTAGTTTAACCAGACATGCTACCTGGATTTTACGCACTACCAGTCTGAAATATAGAGGTGAATTTTGCAAGCACCACAAAAAATACAGCAAGGAGATTGTTACTGAAAATATGAAGGACATCAACAGGTAAAGCTGGTGTTTAAAGAGACAGATGAACCCTTAAGACAACACAGATTGTAATTTGCAATGCATTCCTCCAGTAATTGAGTGATTAAGCAGATTAATCATGTGAAAAAAAGCACTTTTTTCCCCCACATGATTAACCTGTTTAATCACTCAACCCGGGTCAGAGCAAGGTATCATTGATGTGGACAGAGAACCTAAAGTGGTTTACTAAAGTTATTTTGCAATTTTAACAAAGGCATTTCTGTCAAATCAATTGGTTTCAGCCACATGTTGCATCTAAATCAATTCCCAATTAATCAATGTCGGTGCTTTCACTTCACGTTCCAATTATAAACTTGCCTTCTTGTACGGTTTGCCATTGCTGTCAAATCCTTGGGTATCAGACGCTTTCATCGCAGTGCCATTTTCTGTAGATTCTGTAACGGACCACATAATAGCAAAGTTTAACTTTTGCCACACTGCAAAATAATTAGTCCTCCTTCCCTTGGGAGAACTGAGAAATTGGCAAATTGCTGTGCTGCAGAGATCTAAAATAAGGCAACACTGTCTGACAATTAAAGCTAAGCTGTTTAGAAATGACATCAGAAAACATTTCTTCACAGTAAAACTTGTGACAATATGATTGGATGCATTGTCTTAGAGGCCACATATCCAGAATGTATTGGGATGCTTTAAAAAGGGAGACGGGCGAATACTTTAATACTTTCATGACTTAATGGTAAAGAACTGAGCTACCATACTAAATTGTTCAGTACAGGAGCAAATAGCACTTTTCAAAGAATTATGGAGGAGTTTCAGGTAGGCGATCAGTGAATGACAAGATGGTGTGCAATTGGCTGCCGGGTTTCGCCCACAAATTATAGTCAATTCACCTTACAGTATATTCTATGAAGCGCTTTGAGATGTCTCGATAAAGACAATCCATGGCATAAGAGGGAACATTATAGCAGCAGTCATCCTAATGCCACACAGCCTATCAACAGATGAGCAATAATGCACTTAGAATTCCCAGTTTATTTCACTTATGCGAGTGGAAATGATTATAATTGTGTCAAACTGGCTCAGTTCGGAGCACACTTGCCTCTGAGTCAGAGGGTTACAGGTTCAAGGACTTGGGAACTCATACTAGGTTGACAATCCAATGCACTGCTGAGGTTGTGCTAATTGTTGGAGGCGCCATTCTTCAGATCAGATGTTAAATCAAGGTCCCCTTTGCCTGTTCAAGTGGAAATTAAAGATTCCATGGCGTTACTCAAAATAGATGGGCATTTCTCCTGGTGTCCAGGCCAACAAATCCCCCAAATAAAATTGGCCTTTCACTCCACGATTGTTTTGCGGAACATTGCTGTGCACACGATCACCCACAAAATACTCCACTTTACAGTATATCATGGGAAGTGCTTTGAGACGTCCTCCTGACGTGAAAAGTTCTACATCAAATATAAAAATTCTTATTCATGAGTCAGGATGCTTCTAACATGGGTAGTTTGAAGAGCTGACAAACATCTTCTGAGATTTCACTGAAAGTTTGTCTGATTTTTGTTCCAACAGCAATCTTTATTTAATATTGAGCAACATACACTCCACACCGAGTGAACAGATTACGGGCCACTTCTATTCTACTCTGTGTGTGTCAAATGCGCCTGCCCGTTCTACAGAATAATCTTAAAGCACCTCTTAAAAAAAAAATGGAAGAAATTACTGCCTTACCTTCACATAAAGAAAGTCACAAAACATACTGAAGTCAAAGGAGGCAAGGAATTAAAAGAAAATACTCCCATCCTTTCAAATAAAGCGAAACTTTGTTATCGCGTGGTCCATGTCTGAGTAGCCATGCTGTAAACGGTGTGTGACAAAATGGCTGACTTTTACGTCATCAGGTCACCAATGAAGTCACTCCCTGCGTGCACCCTGCTGACCACACAAAGTGTCCCACTAGCTGAAAGGCTGGAAGTATTTTCGATGCACGTAATTCCCTGTGAAGTGCTTTGAGACGTTCAACATTATAGGTGCTAAACCAAATGCAAGTATTATCTTATTTATTTGTGTGTAGACCATGAGTAAGCACAGCCACAAATGCCCACAGAGAGAATTTCAGATATAACAATGTAATTAATAAAAAAAATGTAATCACCAACCAATATCAGAAATGTAACAGACATAAAACAAAACGGCTTTCGAACGTATATTTATTGCACTGTAGGTTAGCCTTTAAATAACCTCAAAACTGACAGCACACAGAACTGGGATTACTTTTTAAATTTAAGAAGGCGGATTAATGACAACAAAAGGGGTTTACACACCTAACAACAGAAGCAGATCAGAGACTCCTTTGACTTCACTATACAAACTTTCACCTGTGAAAAATCAGCAAAATGGGGAAAGAATATAAATCAAATCTTATACCAGCTCCATCCAGTGCACAAATAAATCGATTATGTAACACGCAAAGGAATAAAGTAAACTAGTACACTAACACTGGTGTTGGTTAAGGAGTCCTGTAGCTTAGTGGTTAGAGCACTCGACTTGCAAGTGAGAGGACCTGGGTTCGATTCCAGGCCGAGGTGAAACATTGGGCAAGTTTCCTTACTCCACACACCTCTGTTCACTTAACAGTAAGTAGGAACTTGGTTGTTAGTTAATTGGTGGATTACTTTTCTGGGGGAAATAATCCCTTGTAAAAATTAAAATAAAAAAAAGTGAGTCACTCAATCCACGACTGTTTGTGGGACACACTGCTGTGTGCAAATGGCTGCCCCATTTAGAGTATATTATTCATACAAGTTAATTACTTCCACTATGAAATAATTATAAATGTTGTTGTTATCTAAAACGGTAGCAGCTATCTCCCTAAGGTGATATGATTGCTGTATTTAAGATTCTAAACTAGATAACATAGATCATGACAGGCTATTTCAATGAGTCCTGAATAGTAAAACCAGAGGACATGGCCTGCAATTGAAGGGGGGTAAATTCAGAACGAATCAACGCAATCACTATTTGAGTGAGTGAATAATAAACCTGTGGAAAGAGCTCCCTGAGGAGATGGTTGAAGCAGGAAATGTTGATTCCTTCAAACACAGAGTAGATAGTTTTCTTTTAGGAAATTCGATAGCAGTGGAAACTGTGCGCAGGCTTAGGCCATTATTTGAGCCCTTTAACTACCAAATGTCCCTTAACTCTTTGAAAATATACCTGTCCAACATTCATTTCTGAACGCAAAGGTTCACTTTTATTACTGGTCAATTATCTTTGTAAAATTCTTTGAGATATCTGACATTTAGACAGGTTCCATAACAATGAATGCTATTGTAAACCGTTTTCACTATGTTTTCTGTACATGAACAGAAATAAAGTGGCTTAAAGCCTAATAATTCAAGGATCAAATACAATGCTCGAGTTGTTGCTCTCATTTAATTTGGTTTCCAAAGGCATAGAATTCCCACGTAATTGCATGTTGTTGACTAATAACTCAAAGATATCTCTCAAACAGATACTAACCTGAAGAGAGGAGGCTTTTGAGATGATTCAGGCTTTCTCCAAGCTTCTCAAAATCAGGCAGCACCTTGGCCAATTCTGCACTGCTGAAGAGTTTCCGAATTTTCTCTGCAAAAAATAAACAAAACACTCTAAATTTGAGCGAGATCTGTTAGTAGCGAATTTCTTTACTCAACAGAGCTGTGAGATTGTGGAACTCACTTCCTCAAAGGTCTGTTGATGCAGAGTTCAAAAGGGAGTGTTCAAGAGAGGGAAACAGATACACGCTTGGCTAGTAATGGTATCGGGGTAGTGAGTGACAGATCAGTTATGATCTAAGAAAATGGTGGAACAACCTCGACTGACAGAATGGCCTCTTTCTGTTCCTAATAATACATATTAAAATATTATTCTTGGAAAGAGAGCAGTTACAACCGCACAGAAGCCACAGATACCTCAATTTTCCTCAGCAGAATGACACTCAGCTAATCTCCAACTATTTATATGTTGTACCATTTTATGTTACAGAGCCTAATAATAATCCCTCCAAAAACCAAAAACAATAATAAATCGGTCATTTTCAATCTACCACTGTCTGTGGGACATTGCTGTGCGCAATTGGCTGCCGCGTTCGCCCACAAATAGACAGTCAATTCACTTTACAGTGTGTTCTGTGAAGCGCTTTGGGACGTCCTCCCGACGTGAAAAGCGCTATATCAAATGCAAGGATTATTATTATTATTATTATTATTCCCACGCTTTGAAACTCCATCCCTTCGCCTCGCTCCCTCCCTTGCCTCCTCCAAGGCACCTCTCAAGACCATCGGCCGCGCCATTGGCCACCCTCTCTGCCCTCCACCCTCCCAGATCCCAACCCCCTGTTCAGGTCCAAATCCCTGACTGTCCAGGGCCTTGGGATGTCCTCCCGACATGAAAGGCACTATACAAATGTAATTTTGTATTGTATGTGAAGGCAACAATCTTTCTTCTTCCTAACTTACTCTATATAGTCATTTATTGTGTCCTTTGACCAATTTAATGTAAACAACACAAAGAAATCATTAAACAATCTCTCATTTTGTACAATGGCATTAAATTAGGTGCATATACTGAAAGGGGCAGCAGGGCTAAATAACCATTTATCAGGCTAGATATCAAGCAGCACCAACTAAAGCAACTCACCCAAGTCAACGTGTTCATCCAGCTCCCATATAAAATCTGGAACTACCCACTTATACTCGGATAGATCTGGCAACATTTCCTTCCATTGCTCGTATGTCTGGCAGAAGGAAATAGGAAGCAAACATGAGGTACATTCAAGTTCTGCATCTCTACTTAAAAGAGTGGTTCCATTTTTGCTTCAGAGCTGCTTCACCTGCAGCTATTCGGTTTGGGAAATTATTTGAAGTGAATAGAGAAAGAGCAAGGAAACAGCATTAAACCACATAAAGAGCAACCCCATTATCACGCTGATGTTTGGCTCCATAATCTCAGATCGCGCTTTTTAAGGAGGTGTGCAAAACAAATAGCCGACAGTCAGCTCATCAGCTTTTCTCGAGCCGTCAGATCAAAGCCAGTAGACTCAAGACCCCCTCCTGCTGACAGAAATGAAGTGATGAGCACATGCCCAATAAACCACTTCTAAATGGGCTATAAATGTATTAATATACCCTCCTTTCTGCCATGATCCAAATATCATATTAAAGGCAACACGAGAAGCCTCATGACAGCGACTGAAATAGCATGAGGTTGTGACCTACCTTTTTTGCGGTATAACCACCACCTACAGCTGATCCCAACACAAGGTAGCGAATTCTCAGCAGCCGGGTCGCTAATCTAGCTATAACAAAGTTCCTGTAAGGGTAGTATCCGATGTTCGGGGGAAACAGTCTGCTTGTCTTTGCGGGAGGCCTGCTGAGGGTGGAATAAAGCCGTGCTGCGGGGTTCCAGTGAGGCCGGTGAGGATAAGTGCAGGGCGTGTGCAAGTGGTGAATACTTCGGGTCAGCGAATGCAGTCTCTGGGCAGGGAACTTCATTCTAACAGCAGTATTGCCTTGGACTAAATGCTTGCACACCAAGCTGGAACAGAAGAGACAAAAAAAATTATCCATGTTATGCACACTTGCTCGGTGTACCTGTAACGCTGAAACGTGTGAAAACGCAATAAGGCGCTATGTCAAATGCAAGGAATATTCTTTAATAATTATTATCAAAAAACGCTTCACAGGGAATTGCTGTTATGAGTAGTGGCTGTGTTCTTGAAAGCCAAGGTAGCAGTAAAATTCACACAAGGTCTAACAAACAGCCATAAAGTACATGAACAATTTATGTGGAGATCAGTTTGCCAAAACACCAGGAGAAATTCCCTTTTTGCAAATCGTGTCATGGGAATAAATCTTTTAACGTCCACCTGAAAGGGCAAACGGGACTTAGTTTAACGACTCATCCGAAAGGAAAGCTCAAAATCTAGATGTGGGTCTTGAGCCCCAAATCTTCTGCCCAGTAAGGAATGCATATTCCAGTTACTCCAGGAACTGTGACAGGAAAGGGCTGGGGGGATCAAGTATAAGGATTCATGAGGAAGGCAGGTGTAGCGGTGTTTGTGTGCAATTCAGCACTCCAGTGGTTGATGTGTGATCACTGTGGATACACTCACTGCGCACAATGTTGTATAAAGTTGTTAGAATCTTCAATGCTTTCAACCACAAATACCTGTTGAAGTTGAGTTCTTGAGATCATATAAGAGGCGACTGGATAAACATTTGAAGAAACATGTTAAAACAGTCACTGGAAAAAAGCAGGGAATTGGGATTAGAGTAGATAGCTTCAACTGCCTTATTCTCTTTATGTGGAAGTGGTTGAAACTGAAGGTGTTTCCATGTTCAGATACTGACTGAGACCTGCAACCACAATTAGCTTTCATAAATGATGTTAGATACTAGGTTAAGAAAGAGATGGGAGTTTAGTTCATTCAAACATATGGTAACTGCCTTGCCTTTTGAATGACATACTGTATCTTTCTTCAAACGCATCACTACTCCTGATAATAATTCTTGCATTTGATATAGCCCCTTATCACGTCTTCAAGACATCTCAAAACGCTTCACAGAATATACTGTGAAGTGAATTGACTGTATATTTTGAGGGCGAAATGTGACGTGCCAACTATTCTCAGTATCCTATGTAACTACTTTGGCAGAAAAGGAAAACAAACAAAAGACTGGTGCTTTTTTTTTGAAAATTCACATGAGATTTGTTAAGAATTTCCCTTCCTCTTTTTTTCCCTCAGACTGACTCAAAGAAATTGAACTGTTATAGAAGAAAAGAAGTATTTCAGGAAGAAAAACAAATGCTGACATTAATGTTAACGTAATTGTTAAATGCTGGTTTGCAGGTCTTACCTACAGTGACAGTGGTTAATGAAGTGTCCTCATTCCATTTTCCAGGGAAATGGGATATGAAACCATGGAGTAGAGGTAACCATTCCATTTTTATTTTCAATCCAAATGCAAAGCCCAACATACAATAGTAGCCAAACACCCACCCTGCCCCATTTACAGCAACATTACAGTCATAACCACAATGGCCATCTTTCGAGATTTGCCATAAGGAATTGTGAGTTTAATTTACAATATTGATGCTAAAATACAGACAGCTGCTGCTTTGTGATGCAACCAAATTACATCATAAAGCACATGCAGCACAGACTCCCTCATACCGTACTGGAGTGACAAGTCTGGATTATGAGAAAGTGCTGGTGAGGGATGGAAGCCACGATCTTCTGACCCAGAAGCCAAAGCGCTAGCAACTGAGCTGAACGGAAATGTGACTGTTTCAACAAGATGAAACTTTTGAGGCTGCTTCACCAATATCAGTTACACAGGAGAAGTAATACAACAAGAACAACATTTGCAGAGCGCCTTTCATGTCGGGAGGACATCCAAGGCGCTGGACAGTGTACAGCATTTCAGACCCGAGCTGCGGTCAGAGAAGGAGCAGGGAGGGGAAGGGGCGGGGGTGACCGATGGCATGGTCGAAGAGGAGGGTTTTGAGGTGGGACTTGAAGGAGGCTAAGGAAGGGGCGATGTCATTATCAGCATCACTTTGGCCATAATCTTTCTAACAATTAACAATGCCTTGGACGGAGGAGGGGGTCAAAGTATAATGATTGTACATGTGATTTGTATAATGAAGAAGAACTCTGTGGATACATTCATGAGGTTCACAGGTCCCAGAAACCTGCATGAAAGTGACTCTCAAGCCAGACAGGGTATTCTATATATGTGCTGCACTGTGAAATACTTCAAAGATGCAGTATTAAGCAGATTCCCTTTCTGAATAGACACAATGATGACTTTGCCCTTTACATTAGAATTCAGATCATTTCCCTACGTGGTAAAGACACAGCTGGTTTCAAAACAACATTATTAGACAACTTACAATTCTAAAAATATTCCGGCTTACAACACCTTACAAAATACACACTCACTACACTTTACACTTTCCTACGAAGCGCTTTGAGACCTCCTCCCAACGTGAAAGGCATAATATCAAATGTAAGGATTATTATTATTAGATTATTATTATTCATGAGCATTGTGTAGGGAGATAATACGGCACGAGCAACTCATTCACAATGAAGTCATCTTTTTTCCTCTAGACCGATGTCAAGCAATGCAGGAATATAGACAAGAGTTAGATTTTGGCCCAGTACAATTAGAGCCAAAACAATTTTATGAATAAAGCTCAGCTTCCTCGATACCTCACCGCACTTCGTATGCGAATAGTTGGAGTTAATGCAGTTATTTTATTCCAGGGAAATGGCTATTGTAATTAGAAACATAACAGTTGGCCATTCAATCCCTCGAGCCTATTCCGCCATTCTATAAGGTCATAACTGAGTTGTGCCTCAAGTCCAATGACCCGCCCTTGCTCCGTAGTAAAAATATATCTTTAATAATATGTTTGATGTGAATAAATATGTTTTATGCCCTTCACAGTTCTTCAAACTGCATTTCACTCCCAATGAGGCTCAATCACAGGCATATTTCTTCTCATTTATTCCCGTTAATCCTTCCGGTCTTTAGTTTTTTTTCTGAGTTGAGTTGTCAGTAGGGTATATTAAAGAAGCCATTCATTGATTGGAGATTTGAATGATCTTTGTGGGACACTGCTCTGAGTATTTGGCTGCTACATTTCACCCACAAATACAATACAACGTTACATTTGTATAGTGCCTTTCACATCGGGAGTACATCCCAACAAAATACAGTCTTATACACTTTACAAGATATTCTATGAAGTGCTTTAAGACTTTTCAACGACGTGATAAGGTGCTATATCAAATGAAAGGATTATTATTATTATCTTCCTGTTCTTATTCTGAAACACTTCCAAAATCTTTTCTCAGATTGTGGAATCACTGCATTTTGGCCTTGGTTCCGTGGCTGAGTTTCTTCATTAGTGGGTAGGGCAGCATTGCTCTGCAAACCCACTCCATTCAGAATGATACTTTGTGATCAGCCTGATTGCAGTGTGAAATGTCATCTTGACTCAGTTGACAGCATTCTTGCGCCTGGGTCAGAAGGCCATGGTTTCAAGCCCATGTGACTTGGCTTTATAACCTATGCTGACACTCCAGTGCAGTCCTGGGTAAAGAGCTGCATTGTTGGAGGTAACATCTTTAGGATGAGACGTGGCTGTTAAAGATCCCATAACATTATTCACAAGAAAGAACTTCCTCCCAACAATCTTCCAGATAAACTCACCATTCACTTCAATGGCTGGTAGTTAATAATAATAATAATCCTTGCATTTGATATAGCGCTTTTCACGTCGGGAGGACGTCCCAAAGCGCTTCACAGAATACACTGAAAAGTGAATTGACTGTATATTTGTGGGCAAACGCGGCAGCCAATTGCGCACAGCAATGTCCCACAAACAGTCGTAGATTGAAAATGACCAATTTATTATTGTTTTTAGTTTTGGAGGATTATTATTAGGCTCTGTGTGGAGTAAGGAAACTTGCCCAAGGTTTCGCCCTCTGCCTGGAATTGAACTCAGGTCTCTCACTTGCAAAGCGAGTGCTCTAACCACTGAGCCACAGGACTCCACAAGGTTAAGACCTTGCCGTGTGTGAATTGTTTGCCTGCAAATGTACAGCCACTTGAGCTTGCACTGAGCAGGAGAGATGACCGTTGCTCCCTCAGAGCCCATGGAGAAAGGGGGGGGGAGAATCAACCACAATTCCTGATTGCTATGCAGAGACATCTACTGGAGATTTTTGGGGGGTCAGCCGGTGTCTTGACACATGCTGAAACCCATCACCATACTTAAGACTATCCAAACCAAGCTGAGACTTCCATGCATCGCACCTACACGTGGAAATCTCAGAGATAGATTGTTGGAATGGAATGCGCTCTCTCTCTCTGTCTCCCTGGAAGGACGCATCTGGTTTACCTAATTCCAGAGATTATTAGGCAAAGGTTGGCTGGAGCCATGGCTTGGGGACCCCAGAGTGTGTGTTGGGGTAACTGCTGGAGTCTAACCAGCTAAAACCACACAGCTAACCATTGGTAGTCAGACATTAAGTCCTGGATGAGAGCCAACTCTCTACAGTTGAACGTCAACAAGACCAAGGCTTTCCTGATTGGCTCCCATCAGGGCCTCCACATCTTAAGCACCGACTGCATCACCATCTCAGGACGCACACTCCACTTAATAAGCCGGTCCAGAAACTTGGCATCTTGTTTGACCCTCACATCCGTGTCATGTCCCGCTCTGCCTTCCCCCACCTCCGCAACATTGCCCGGCTCTACCACTGTCTCACACCGCAGGCCGCCGAGACCCTCACACACGCTTTCGTTACATCGAGGCTCGACTATGCAAACTCACTGTTGTCGGCTTCCCCAACTCCTCTCTCCACAGGCTGCACATCATCCAGAACTCTGCAGCCCGTGTCCTCTCCCGCACCAGGCTCCGCGATCCTATCACCCCCATCCCCGCCCGACTCCACCGGCTTCCCATCACACAGAGGGTACAGTTCAAGATCCCGGTCCTCACCTTCGAAGCCCTCCATTCTCTTGCTCCCCCCACCTCTCCGACCTCCTAACCCCCTCCATCCTGCTCGCTCCCTCCGCTCAGCGGGCTCCGGGCTGCTTCACACCCCCCGCCTCGCCCGCCCCACTATTGGCGGCACTTCAGCCACTCTGCCCCCACCCTCTGGAACTCCACCCCGCAGTCCCTGCGCCGCGCCCCCTCCCTCGCCACCTTCAAGACCCATCCCAAGACCCTCCTCTTCGATCGTGCCTTCGGACCCCCCCCCCCCGCCTTCTCCCTCCATCCTCCCCGGCACTGACCTCCTCCCCCCCTCCCCCCTCCACAGCTCGGGTCCGTACCACTGACTGTCCAGCGCCTCGGGACGTCCTCCGACACGAAAGGTAATGTAATGTTGTCGTTGATATATATATATATATATATGTGTGTATATATGTGGCACTGTCCGTCCGGCGACCTTTCCGGCTGATGTCCAGCGAGGACCCGCCCGACCCGACCAGGAGCTGAGTGAGAGGAGCCCCCGAGGGGGTGGTGTGTGGTTTGGGGGGGGGTGGGGGGTGGGGGGATGGTGGGGGCTGTGCTCTGGGGGTGTAGAACCCCTCAGTCTAATGTGTGGTCTGGTCTCCGGGTGTTATTTGGGCGGCGATTTTCGAGGCCCCAAAAGCCTCGGTCCCCACCCGCCACTCTTACCAGCAGAAAGCCGGGGCCGCGGCTCGGTACATGGCGCCGCCTCTCCTCTCTCTCTGCTCTGCTCTCTCCGCCGCCCAGTCTCATCGGCAAGGACGGGCCGCCGCCATCACACCCTCCACTTCCTGTCCCGCGCCCCGAGCTGCTCCGGGCTGCCAACTCCTTCCCCCCCCCCCGAGCGCCAGGTCCCGTCACAAAGGTTCCGCCCGAGCTTCTGGGCCCACGTCACCTGATGGACGGGGCGGGTTTCACGCCCAATTGGGCTATTTTCTTTCTTTCTCTCTCCATCTCTCTCTTTGTGTTGCACTCTTCATTTGTTGCCTGGATTAAAAAAGGCTTTGTCCAATTTTTTTTATTCCCCCCCCCACTCCCCCATATTTAAAACCCCCTTTTTTTATGCAAAACTTTTTTTTCCCCCCGTGAAGGGCTTTGAGACATCCTCGCGATGCGAAAGGTGCCACATATCAAACATAGGGCATATTATCCGTATTAATAATCATTATCAATTCTTTATTTATTATTAACAATGATCAGTTATTGACTATTTTATTAACAATGCCAATTATTCATTATTAATCAATTTTATTCATGATAATAATTGTTACCATTAATAGGATTTAAGTATTAGAAGATATCACAATATGTTTTCTGTCTACATAACAATGGCCTCTGCTACTCGGGCGGGACGAAACCTTAGGCAAGTTTCCTTACTCCACACGCCTCTCTTTACCAAGCAGTAAGTAGGAACCCGGGTGTTAGTCGATTGGCGGATCGCTTTTCCGGGAGAATAATCCCTTCCACAAGAAATTTGGTCACTCAATCCATGACTGTTTGTGGGACGCTGGTGTGCGCAATAGGCGCACCCATAAAATATGCAGTCAATCCACTTTCCACCATATTCTGTGAAGCGCTTTGAGACATCTCAAATATGTGATCAGGCTCCGTATCAAATGCAACAATTATTATAATTAGGGAAAAGAAAGCAACCAAACTACGCTTGCAGCAAATGGCAGAGTTTCACAGCGAAGCTCGGAATATCTTTGGCAAAATGGAAGTTACCCTTATCACACAGACACTTTCCAGTTGAGAACATCACGATTTTAACTGCTAAACATTCCCAGGTGATCCAGGGACAGAGTGCTCATTCCATTTCAACAATCTAGCCATGCAATTTCCATGTGTAGGTGGGACGCATGACATTCTCAGTTCGGTTTGGATTTGCTTAAGCACGGTGATGGGTTTCCGCAAGTGTCAGACACCCGGCTGACCAAAAAGAGGTGTGTGTGTGTGTGACCTTGCCACTGCAATGCCAGTAATTGTCTGTGGTGGCAGTCCTGAACAACAGTGGACTTGGACAGACAATGGCTGGTGAGAACTGAAATATGAATTGGGGCAGAATACATTAGAATACATTAGAATATATAGCACAGAAACAGGTCATTCGGCCCAACTGGTCTATACAGGTTTTTATGTTCCACATGAGCCTCTTCCTGCCCTTCCTCAACTAAGCCTTCACGCATAACCTTTGATGTTTAGAATATGATGTTTAACAGATACTTGGTTGGTACTTGGTAAATGGGTTGAAAACATCTTTCAATATTATTATTGATGCAAAAGGCAATTTGAGAACAAATACCAGGAAGCTTTTCTTTACCCGGAGGTTAATTAACAAATGGAAATAACGAATGGATGGTTGAAGCCAGGACATGAGATTGTGATAGGAGGACACATTACATTTCAGCATGACAGGGCAGGTTCTTATCATGGAAGGATGAGATTAAAGAGGCCGAAAGTTCTTCATGGCCACCAATCTTGTGATATACTACAGGATGTTCACAAAGTCCTGTTACCCTCAAGTTTTTTTTCTGCAGTGGAAGAATAATTATAATTGTACGTAGAAGTACCTCATTGTATTCAGTTTAACTGTTTAACTGTATTTAGACTTTCAGAGGATCGGAGTGTGATTGTGTGTGTGTGTGAGCGCTGTCATTTTCATGGTAGATAATGATCCGTCACCATGTTTGATACAAATCTTCTGTAACATGGACGGTTGAAGAGAAAGTTACGGTATCAGACATTGTTACACTCCACACATCTGCAACAGAAAATAAACACTGTAAGAAAAAAAACAGGGACGGTAACAGCCGGACTCTAGCCCCCGCTCCCCACACTGTAATCTGGTCTGTGCAGTGAAGAGAATAAATTTTGTTCATTTTATGTTATGGGGGAGTGGCCAGCAGGTTGGCAGAAATTCTTGCAAAAGAGTGCCAGGATCCACTGCTCCCGGTGAATACTTCTGAAGGATTGATTGTAACTCCAGCTTGTTATTGTTTCCAAGAACATCGACTACAGTTGGTAATCTTTAACTGCCCGGTAAGCAGCCCCTTGTTTTATCGGGTACCACACAAACAGTCTTTAGTTTTATTGAGGAACTAGATTTGGCAACAATTGGAAGTTGCAAGTTAAAAGCTGTACTGCACAATGTTATAAATTCTTCAGCTGCTGAGTGTAAGTATATCTTGCTTGTTCGGATAGCATGCTCTCACGCTGAAATGTAAATGCTCTATCAAACAATTCTCCAGGTCGGCAAATGCAACAGCCACCTGCATCTCACGAATAGGCAAATGGTTCAGTTTATCTGAGGTAAGGAGGGATGGTTGGCCAGGAAAAATCCATTCTCTTTTGGAATAGTGCCACTTGTTCTTTTAATACCTTTTAACAGTCAGGCAGGACTTCAGTTTAACCTCTCATCTAAGAAACAGCACCTCTGACAGTGCTCCTGTAGGGGTAGTTCTGAATAAGGTCAAAGCCCCAACGTAGGGAGCTTGATCCCACAACCTTCTGATCCACAGGCGAGGGTGTCACTAACTGAGCCGGACTTTAACTGCTTAAGTGTCTTCAGCCACTATGCCCCCAAACTCTGGAACTCTCTCCCTCAAATCCCTCCACCTTGTCACCACACTTCCTACCTTCAAATCCCCCCTAAGGACCTTCTAATTCTGCTCACAGTCACCTCCCCCTCCCTCTCTCGTTGGCTCGTTGGCAGACCCCACCTCTGTGAAGCGGTCCCGACATAAATGCAAGTTGTTGTTGTGGTTCTTTGCCCGCCATCTGCTTTCACTGCTATTCGGTTTTGATGGTGATTAGTGTTACTGCTTTATCATTGAGGACGTTTATAATAACACTAATAATAATTCTTGCATTTGATACAGCGCCTTATCACGTCTTCGAGACGTCGCAAAGCACTTCACAGAATATACTGTAAAGTGAATTGATTGTATTTTTTGGGAGGAACATGGCAGCCAATTGCACACAGCAGCGTCCCACAGTCGTGGATTCAAGTGACCATTTTTAAAAAAATGAATGATTACTCCCAGAAAAGTGATCCACCAATTGACTAACAACCAGGTTCTTACTCACTCGCGAGGTAAACAGAGGCGTGTGGAGTAAGGAACTTGCCCAACGTTTCGCCCTGCCAGGAATTGAAGCCAGGAATTGAACCTCTGACAACAATATTACAACCTCCCCTACTCCACCCCAGGCACAGTGATGGAGCCCCAGCCCAGATATCATGAACCCCAGCCCCAATTACTGGGGCCTTTATAAAGTGACCCAGAGAAGAGAGAGAGCGACTGGCTTAGCCAGGTTGACTCATGCAGTTAAATGACATGGAAACAGACCTGCAGTGATGGACACAAGCTCTGCTGGCCCCGTCTCGTCTTCAAATCCCTTCATGCCCTGGCACCTCCCAATCTCTAGGATGTCCTCCCGACATGAAAGACGCTCTATAAATGCAATCTTGTTGTTGTTGCTTACTCTCCAACCCACTACCCGCTGCCTCTGTTTGACTGGCTCCGGCCTCCTGCACATCCCTCGTGCCCTATATTCCATCGTTGGTGGCCGTGCTTTCAGCGCCCCGAAACTCTGGAACACTCTATCCTCATGGCACTCTATCCTCAAGCGCTCTGGGAGGCTACGGCGCTGTATAAATTCAGGTTGTTGTTGTTGCTATTGTCCTGCCAATACCATAACCGAGCAGAACTCTGAACCAGAGGTCATGAGGTCCCGATGATTTAGGAGCCGACTTTTGGCAAGAGCTCACTCCGCAAAGCGCTTTAATTTGCCAGAAGGATTCAGACGCAGCCAGAATGAGAAATTTCCTATGTAAATCAGGTAGGCGTGGGCATGAAGTGCAGCCACTTGAACTGAGAGCCAGTACTGTAACTGTAACTGTAACACACTTATAAAGTCACTGATTACTGATCACGGGCAGAGGAAGCGGGGAGCGAGAGGGGGAACCCAGAGGACGTCAGTTATTGCTGATGGAAGAGACTGTTCTGAAGGGTCACCAAGCTCTCCTTAACCCAGGAGAGGAGAACGAGCAGGTAAAGCGCTCTGGCCAAGTTACTCACTGTACCCGGTCCATGATAGTCGTGCCTCTTGCTGAGTCCCCAAATCCTCTTAAGTTGTTGCTTCGGAAACCCAAAGACCTAAGACTAGGCGAGGAGCCAGTCAGCCGTCTGTCCTCTGAAGGAAACTGCAGCTGCTTGTTTTGCCGTTCAGGGTTTGACAGAGCAACTGCAGCTTTCGGGATCAATCCAGTCTCTTCTGTCCTCGCGCTTGTCATTTCCCGACACACTGTGGTCAAGGAGGGAAAAAGCGAAGGAGAGTATAAATCAGAGTTTTTTTTTGATGATTCGGAATATAAATTAATTGCAGTGCAGTGCTCTGGAAAACTGTGATACTCAAGTCACAAAGGTCAGGAAATGACCAGATTCAGACCCTGCGTTGAGATTGGTGGGTGGTCAGCCTGGCTCAGTGGTTCAGCGATCTCGACTCCGAGTCAAAAGATTGTGGGTTCACGCCCCACCTCGGGACTTTGAATGTACTCCAGCATTGGGGAGGTGAGTGCTGCAGTGTTAAAGGCTTGCGATGCTCCCATGCATTTCACAGGTGATTGGTGTCAAGTGTAGTTGATGCCTGCATGAGGGATGCTAGATACATGCAAATTTTTGTTGTAGTTAGTGACGGTGGGTTTGAAAGTGAAGGCTGCAGCCAATTTGGGCACGGCAAGGGATCCAGCAAAGAGCAATGAAGTGAATGACGAATGTATCTGTCATTCACTTCATTGCTCCATTGGATGTAGAATCCTGTTGCGTATCCTGATTAGAGCACTCGCCAAGCAAGCAAGAGGACATGGGTTCGATTCCCAGTCAGGGTAAAACCTTAGGCAAGTTTCCTTACTCCACACGCCTCAGTTTACTGAGCAGTAAGTAGCAACCTGGTTGTTAGTCGATTGGTGGTTCACTTTCTGGGGCTGATAATCCCTCAAAAAATATAATAATTCAGTCACTCAATCCACAATGCTGCTGTATGCAATTATAAAGTATAAAATATAAATATATTTGCAGTATATTCTGTGAAGCGCTTTGAGCCGTCTTAATGACACAATAAGACGCTATATCAAATGCAAGGATTATTATTATCTGGAGGATGGTTGGTCAGCACACGAGAGAGGAACTCCTTTAGGAGATGTCTCGTCTCAGGCAGCTCAGCAGTGACTTTATACATTTGAGCCCCAATGAATTGGTGACGTGTTGAGCAGCCAGTGGTTGTTACAGCTATTATAGTGAATCATTGACCTGGACAAGGAGCGGGCGATCTAAGGGAGACTCTGGGTAACAGAGATGCAGTTATACATTGAGAGACATTCATTCGTAGCATAATAATAATAATCCTTGCATTTGATATAGCGCCTTATCACATTGTCGTGATGTCTCAAAGCGCTTCAAGAATAGGCTGTAAAGTGAATTGACTTTTAATTTTTTTATATTTATATTTTGATATTTATATTTTTGCTTCACTACCAATTTGAAAGCCCAGCGTCTGTCCAGAATTAAGAGCTCTGACTGAGACTCTACTTTATGTGAAGAGCGTTGTATAAATGAAAGTTGTTGTGGTTGTTGAATTTACCCTGTCCATGGTTCCAATCAAACTGCGGCGGAGTTTCAGATCTACTGCACAGATGCACTAAACTACAATAAACAGAGTTGGAGAAGGGACAGGTAAAAGGGACCGAAAGATTGGTTCTTAAACAGAGCAGCACAGAGAGAATGGGCTGAATGTCCTTCTGCAGTGCTATACATTTCAGTGGTTCTATGCACCACTTTTGTTTAAAGGAAAATGTCTGAGAAAATAAACAGATCAATTATTTACCTAGAAAGACACCACCAGTGGGCATTTCATTACCTAGTCACTGGCTGTCTCCGTGTTCTGATTTGCTTTCTCTGCTCTGTCCTTTAAATTAGTCCAACAAATTCGGATCAAGGACACCAACCAGTTATATTTATTTACCATCTCACAGTCATCTTTTGAACTGCTGACACACAGCACCAGCTGTGTTTACCATCTGCTCAGATCCTGTCTTCAAGACTGCTGGAAAAGAGCAGGGAGCTTCGCCTGGTGTCCTGGCTACCAATCTCCTCACAGATAAAATTGCTCGATAAAACTTTATGGTTGACAGCATATTAGCCTGCAAATACAGTGGCTACATTTGAGGGTAATTACTCGGGACATCTCTGCACAAATTGACTGCTGTGTTCCTGTACAAAACACACAGTGACTACGCTCGCACCCTCCGCCCCACCATCGGAGGTCGCGCTTTCAGCCACTACACCCCAAACTCTGGAACACTCTTTCCTCAGTCCCTTCACCTTGCCCCCTCTCCCCTCTTTCAAGTCGTGCCTGAAAACTTTCCTCCCTGCGGCTCGGAGTCAGGCTCCACCACTGTTAAGCACCCTGAGATGCTACCCTGTGTGGAGGGAGCTGTATAAGTGCACGTTGTTCTTGTTGTTGAGGGGGGAGGGGGGGGGGGGGGAGAGTGGGGGGTGGGGCGGTTTAGTTTGCACATTTGCAAGTTAGAAGATTTGCAAAATCATGGACCAGTTTTGTCAGGACGTAACTGGGTTTTTGTCCTCACCGGATCAGTGACAATATCTTGCTTGTGATAAGAGTGTTTGCTTTCAATCTCCCAGTGGAACACACACTTAGCATTCTGGTGATGTTGAATGGATGAAATGGCTCTTTTCAGATCACTGCACATACCGCAATCGAGCTTTCAATGAGCAATCACTGATATAATGCCAATAACCCTTCCCGTTTGTTCCAGCGCCTTGTGTCATCCAGGCATTGCGAAAGCGCTTTGTGGTACTTTACTGTGGAGTGCAGTGGTGGGGTGGTGTGGGGGGTCCTGGGGTGTGGGGACTTTGGATGGTGGGGGCAACAATTCAATGTTTTATCACCCTAGCATTGCAACCACAGACGGTCATTTGAAGTTTAAATATTTAAGCCTTCGGGCCAAATGATCTTCCAACGTCTTGCAAACAGGGAAGAAGTTGTCACTTGGAGCTAAAGTTCCCCTGTTTTAAAGTGTCCAGAATTTGGCAACTTTTTGCATTCACTCTCATTGATATAATGCTAACAATCTTCCCATTCGATACAGCGCCTTGTCGAGTTGCCCAGACGTCTCGAAAGTGCTTAACAGGATTTTATCGTAGAGTCCAGTGACCATGTCATTTGGAGGGAGACACGATGGCTAATTTGCGTGATCTCTTGCTTATGATAAGAGTGTTTGCTTTCCTTTCAATCTCCCAGTGCAATACACACTTAACTTTATGGTGCTCTTGAATGATGAAATGCCCTTTTTCAGATCACTGCACATAATCCCTGGAGTCCTGTAGCTCAGTGGTTAGAGCACTCGCTTTGCAAGCGAGAGACCTGAGTTCAATTCCAGGCAGAGGGCGAAACCTTGGGCAAGTTTCCTTACTCCACACAGAGCCTAATAATAATCCCTCCAAAACCAAAAATGATAATAAATTGGTAATTTTCAATCTACGACTGTTTGTGGGACATTGCTGTGCGCAATTGGCTGCCGCGTTCGCCCACAAATATACAGTCAATTCACTTTACAGTGTGTTCTGTGAAGCGCTTTGGGACGTCCTCCCGACGTGAAAAGCGCTATATCAAATACAAGGATTACTATTATTATTATAATGCGATCGATGTTATAGCTACTTTCTCAGACCTTTGTGTGGTATATTTTCGTGAATCACTCATCAACCTGTCCTCCCCTTCCTGTGCCATGTCCTCGCCCGCCATCGGCGGTCGCACCTTCAGTCTCTCTGCCCCCATCCTTTGGTACTCCATCCCACAGTCCCTTCGCCTCGCTCCGCTCCCTCCTCTTTGATGGCGCCTTTGGTCACCTTCCTACCCCTACCCTCCCTGTCTTCCACCCCTCTTGATCCTATCCCCCCAGCTCGGATCCAAATCCCTTAATGTCTAGGCCCTTAGGACGTCCTTCTCACATCAAAGGCACTATATAAATGTAATTTGTTGTTGTTGTTCTAACACAGGACATTTTTGGTTACAAGACCAATAGCTGCCGCAGAGCCATGTGCAATGTTGGAGCTGTGCTGACCTGTGGATTTCTGCTGCTCGTGTTTTACTGGAAGCCGGAGTGGGATGTCAGGGCTCAATGTAGCCGGTGCTCTCTGCAAGATGCTGACGTTCTCCTAATTAGGCCAACCGTGAGTGGTCATTTGCTTTTCATTTTGATTTGTCTTCGAAGCACTTCGCGGCCTTGCTCCTTCCTACCTCTGTAACCTGCTGATCCCATAGCGACTTGTCCACTCCCTCCACTCAGCAAACCTACTCCACGTCTCCCGCCTGGCCCACCCCACCTTTGGCAGTAGGACCTTCATCCTTTGGAACTCCATCCCACAGTCCCTTCATCTTGCGCCCTCTCTTGCCTCCTTCAAAACACGTCTCAAGACCCTCCTCTTCGACCGCACATTCTGTGTGAAGGCCAATAAACAACAACAACAACAACATTATATTTGCATAGCGACTTTCACATTGGGAGGATGATCCAAGGTGCTGGACTGACAGAGTTTTGGACCCGAACTGGGGGTCGGGATTGGGGAGAGCATGAGGGAGGCAGGGAGATCAAAAGCACGGTCAAAGAGGAGGGTCTTGAGATGGATATTGAAGAAAGCAAGAGAGGGAGTGAGGCTGAGGGACTGTGGGATGGAGTTCCAGAGGTGGGGGCAGGGTGGTAGAAGGCCCGCCCGCCAATAATGCGGTGAGCGAGGTGAGGAACATGAAGCACACCGGAGGTCACTGAGCGGAGGGAGTGATCAGGATAGTAGAGGGTTAGAAGGTTACAGAGGTAGGGGGGAGCAAGACCATGGAGAGCTTTGAAGGTGAGGATCTTGAACTGTATCCTCTGTTTGATGGGAAGTCAATGGGCTCGGGTGAAGATGGGGGTAATAGGGTCACGGAGCCTGGTCCGGGAGAGGACACGGGCTGCAGAGTTCTGGATGATCTGCAGACTATGGAAGGAGGAGTTGGGGAGGCCGACAAGCAAAGAATTTGCATAGTCAAGCCTTGATGCAATCAAAGCATGTATGAGGGATTTGGCGGTCTGCGGAGTGAGACAGTGGTGGAGCCAGGCAATGTTGTGGAGGTGGGGGAAGGCAGAGCGGGTCATGTCACAGATGTGGAGTAGAAAGAATAGTTGAGAGTCAAACAAGACCCCGAGGTTCTGGACTGACTTAGTAAGGTGGAGGGTGGAACCATAGATGGTGATGCTGTCAGCGCCTGAGGTATGGAGGTGCAGATGGGAGCCAATCTCCAACCTCCATTTCCTCTCCAAGGTCCTGGAATGAGTTGTTGCTTCCCAGCTTCGCTCCTTCCTCTCCCACTACTCCCTTCATGAACGCCTCCAATCAGGTTTCCGAACTGCCCACGGAAATGGATCATTCAGGACACTGCCAATGTCCATGCCAGTGTTTCTACTCCACCCAAGCCTCCACCCCTCCTATTCCCCTCTGTTCCCTTCTCCATTATGTTCGCATCAAGTTTTCTCTTAAACACACTGAGGCTTTTTGTTTCAACCATGGCTTATGGCAGAGAGTCCCACATTTTCACCACCCTCTGCATAAAGAAGTTCATTCCAAACTCCCTTTGAGGTTTGCTACTGGATATCTGATATTGACATAAAGGGATGATCTGATTGAGTTCTTTATGAAGGGATTTGATAGGGTAATTACATAGAAACTATTTCCTCTGGTTCGGGATTCCAGAACAAGGGGATAATCTTACAATTAGAGCTATGCCATTTAGGAGTGAAATTAGGAGGCAGTTTTTCATTCAAAGGGAAGTGAAAATCCAGAACTCTCTCCCCCAAAAAGGCTGTGGATCCATTCACATTTTCAAGACTGAGGTGAATAGATTTTTGTTAGGTCAGAGTATCAAGGGATATGAAGCAAAAGCGGGTAATTGGAGTTGAGGTACAGATCAGCCATGATCGAATAGAATGGCGGAACAGGCTTGAGTGGCTGAAGACCTACTCCTGTTCCTATGTTCCTTTATACAGGTTGTCTCCACTGACTGGGGAGTCTGTAACTACAGGACACAAATATAAGATAGCGACTAAGGGGGACTAAAAAAGATTTTAGGAGGAACTGCTTCATGCAGAGGGTAGAAAGATTGTGGAACTCGCCACTGAAGGGGTGGTTGAATCAGACCATGTTCTGAACATGTAATGAAACACCACAAACTTCACTACAATATGTTCAAAAGGAAAATGAGGTGGTGTTTACGGTAAACAAGGGCTGCAAGATGAATGAATTACAGTGTGTGGACCCAGGACACACCTGTGGTCTGTTCAACGGGGTTGTTAGCAGACACCTGTGAGGGTCACACTAGCTATTTCTCAATCATTTACTGAGCAAAGAACCAGGTGCTGCTAACTGCATCAAAACATACAATCAGATCACCGTCTTAAACTCCCCCCACCTCCCCCCTGCTCAGATGATGAGAGGTTAGACTGAGTTCCCACCTGCCTGTTCAGGTGAACGTTAAAAGACTCCCGTAACGCTGTTCGAAAAGGGAAGGGAGTTTATCGCTCCCGGTGTCCTGCTCGGCCAAATTGTCCATTGACTCCTTTGGTTGTTACCTGAACATTGCTGTGTGCAAATCGATAGCCGATGTGGGGAGTCCTGTAGCTCAGTGGTTAGAGCGCTCGGCTCGCAAGTGAGAGGCCTTGGGTTCGATTCCCAGCAGGGCGAAATGGTGGGAAAGTTTCCTTACTCCGATAGTAATCCCTCAAGGAAAAAAACAGTAATGAATTGGTCACTTCAATCCACGATGGTTTGTGGGACACTGCTGTGCGCAATTGGCTGTCGTGTTTCGCTCACAAATATATGCAGTCAATTCCTTTACAGTATATTCTGTGAAGCGCTTTGAGATGTCTCGAAGACGTGAAAAGCACTACATGGAGTCCTGTAGCTCAGTGGTTAGAGCACTCGCCTTGCAAGCGAGACACCTGGGTTCAATTCCAGGCAGGGCAAAACTTTGGGCAAGTTTCCTTACTCCACACAGACCCCAATAATAATCCCTCCAAAACAAAACAATAAATTGGTCATTTCAATCCACGACTGTTTGTGGGACACTGCTGTGCGCAATTGGCTGCCGCGTTTCGCCCACAAATATACAGTCAATTCACTTTAAAGTATATTCTGTGAAGTGCTTTGAGATGTCTAGAAGACGTGAAAAGTGCTATATCAAATGCAAGGATTATTATTATTACATCAAATGCACAGATTATTATTATCTGTTTGGCTGCCTCAGAGGCGAGAGAACGGCCGACTGAGCCTCTGGCTGATGGTAGTAATGGTGCTTATTATTTTCAGGGGGAATGTAAAGTTTGGGTTAAAAAGAAAGTCATGTGGATTCAGCTATCCTCACAATGTAACCCAAGTCGGCTGCCGTGCCCTCTCATCGCTGATCAGATCTCATTCCTGAACAAAATCATTATGGAACCCGATTTAAAAGTAAGAGCAATTTCGTCGGTTTTCACCCACTCCATCGGAACTCTGGAACTTTTCCCTCTTTCTTCTGACTTGCAAATAAAAGCAATCAGAAAGACAAGTGTCAGCCCGGCTCAGTTGGTAGCACTCTAACCTCTGAGTCAGAAGCTTGTGGGTTCAAGCCCCATGTCAGCACTTTGAGCTCACAATCCAGGTTGACACTCCATTACAGTGCCCAGGAGAGCTGTCCATCATGATGAGATGTTAACCAAGCTCTTGTTCACCTGTTCAGGTGGATGTTAAAGATTCTGCAGCTTAATTAGAAAACAGAAGGAAGTTTCTCCTGGTGTCCTGGCCAACAATCTCCCAGATTCCGCTAGCCACAAATTGGTTACCCCGTTCACCTACAAAACACACAGTCGCTATGCTTTGCAGTATATCCTGTGAAGCACTTTGAAATATTTTGTTGGCCTAATAAGACAATCATATCAAAAGCCAGGATAATTACTATTATTATTTATTTTTCATTTTTAAAAAATTACGGAGCTCAATAGATTAGTTTTTTTTAACAAAGCAACACAAATTTACATTTATTTAGTGCTTTTCATGCCTTGTCCCGAGGTGCTTAACAATCTTGTTTTTCAAGAGCCTGTCTCTTTCCTCCTCCTCCCCGTTCCCACACCCCACCCAACCTTCGCTCCGAAAAGCTGCCCTACATGAATTGCACTATATAGATAGATATAAAAGTTGTGGTTATTGTTCACCCACCACCAGGTACGATATGTCCAAGTTCAGAAGATCAGGTACATCTGGAAGATTAATGAAAAGCAGTTTGTCAGAGTCGGGTGAGTTGGCTTGGCATAATGTTTCTGATTTACTGACACACAAACAAATAATTTCTAAAGCCAAGTTATATTCTTCCCTTATCTCCAGGGGACTGGAGGACAGCCACTCCTGCAGTGATATCCGTTCTAAGTTTGGCTCAGGATTAACTGCAGCAGAAGCAAACACCAGGTACTTAGTGGGAATGTCCCTCAGTTGAACAGTACATTCTGTAGTGGATGTGCCTAATAAAAGCATTGTTTAATTGTCCAGCTCTGAGTGGATGAATTCACAGATTGGAGTCCTGCAGCTCAGTGGTTCGAGCACTCACCTCGAAAGCGAGAGGACGCGGGTTTGATTTCCGGCCAGTTCGAACCGTTGGTTCCTTACTCCACACGCCTCTGTTTAACCTAGCAGTAAATAGGAACCCGGTTGTTAGTCGATTGACGGATCACTTTCTGGGAATAATAATCCTTTCAAAATCAATCAATCAATAAACACAATTTTAAAAAATAATAAAAATCCACAACTGTTTGTGGGACACTGGCCTGCTGCATTTCTCCCACAAAATGTACAGTCAATTCACTTTACAGTATATTCTCTGAACTGCTTTGAGACGTCTTAAAGATGTGATAAGACTCTATATCAAACGCAAGGATTATTATTACTACTATTATTTTGAAATGGATCCATTCCAAAGCAAATAGTTTATTGCAAACACTTGATTTTTCTTCTCACTTTAAATTTGAAGCAAAGCTTTTTTTTAACACCGTGTTTCTCCCTCTCTCCCCCACCCCCCCCACCCCCCAAATGCAGGAGATTAATATTTGGACCCAATACAATCGATATACAGATTATTCCACTTTGGAAATTACTTTGCAAAGAGGTAAACCTTATTTTATGCCATATTACAATTGGTAAATGGTTTTACCTACGCTGCTATGGCTCCATCCCTTCCCCTTTTGCAGCGCTTTGGGATGTCCACCCTTTGTGAAAGGCGCTATCTAAGTGTAAATTGTGTATGGCATTGTGTGGCATAATTCACTGCAACAAATTACATTTGTCTGGCACCTTTCACGTCAGGAGGACTTCCCAAGGCTCTGGACAGTCAGGGATTTGGACCCGAGCTGGGGGTTGGGATCAGGGAGGATGAAGGGTGACTGAAGGCGCCATCGAAGAGGAGGGTCTTGAGTCGTGCATTCAAGGAGGCAAGGGAGGGAATCAAGGTGAAGGGATTGTGGGATGGAGTTCCAAAGGGGGGGCAGAGAGGCTGAAGGCCTGACCAGCGATGGTGGGGTCAGTCGGGTGGGAGAACATGAACAGCCCAGAGGCTGCTGAGCGGAGGGAGTGGACAGGACTATATAGAAACTAAACTGGTAGCTGGCTTTTCTCTAACTTTCTGCTGCTTTCTTTTCCCCCCATAGGTTTTGAACCCATTTTATGTCTTCCAGGTTTTCAGTGTGTGCCTGTGGATTTCTAATGACTACATAGAATATTCAGTAGCTATTATAATCATGTCCCTCATTTCCATTGCCTTTTCTGTTTACGAAGTACGGCAGGTGAGTTTTACGTCAAACTGGGCACGAACAGCATCTCGCCTGCACGTACACAGTCACTACACTTCATCCAACCTCTGTGAATCGCTTCGAGCCTTTCCCCGCGTTAACATCGCTGTATCGACCGCGAGGGTTACTATTTTTATTCTGACTTAGCAATCAACCCACCTGTTTTCTGACTGCTAACCCCAGGAGGATTTCAGCTCCTGGATGTCAACGCACCCACATCACGTCATTGTGTTTCACTTTTGCTGTTCACAGCAATCGGTAAAGCTGCACGGACTGGTGGAATCTCACAATCACATGACAGTCACTGTCTGCAGAAAAGATGTAGGTGAGCAGCCTGCACGTCTGAGGCCAATGATGGTGTTTCTGAATGGTTCTCCTTCTGAGATCCTTACTCTGCCTCTGAAGCTCCAGGGTAGTTTCAGTGCTTAGCTGTGAGACGGAAACGATTTCGACCGAAGGCTTAATTCCCCCAAATCGCATGTTGGGGGACTAATATGATTCAGCTCAGTCAGTAACACTCTCACCTACGAACCAGAAAGTTGTGGGTTCAAGCCCCACGTCAGGACTTTCATCTCACATTAGCCTAGACTGATAATCCACCACACCGCTGGGGGGAGCATTGCATTGTCTGAAGTGGGCCTGAAGTGTTAGACTGAGCTCCTGTATGTGCCTGTTTGATTGGACATTAAAGATCCCAATTGGTCACTCAATTCATGGCTGTTTTATGATATTGCTATGCTGGAATTATCTCCCGCCAACAAAATACGCAGTCATTACACTTTACAGTATATCCTGTGAAGCGCTTGAGATATGAAAGGTGCTGTGTGAAATGTAAGGTATTTTTTAAGTCCTGTATTGTAGTGGTTAACATGCTTGTCTCGCAAGCGAGAGGATCAAGGTCAATTACCGTGTGGGGCACACAACTCTGTTTACCTAGCAGTAAGTAGGAACCCAGTTGTAAGTCAATTGGCTGCTTGTTTTCCGGGGGTAACAATCCCCTAAAAAAAATTGGTCACTCAATCCACGACTATTTGGAGGACACTGCTGTGTGCAATTGGCTGCCGAGTTTGGCCACAAAATACACAGTCACCCCACTTTACAATATATTCAGTGAAGCGCTTTGAGACATCTCAGCAATGTGATAAGACACTGTATAAACCGGAAGGATTATTGTGATTATTTAAGGTGGTCCAAGTCTGTGTGTCCCAGCCAGGAGTGGAGTGGTGTTGGGCTGATGGCCTTGCTGGTTCTCCTACAGGATATCAAGAGGTGCTGTCTAGTCAACTCGTACCTGGGGACCTTTTCCTCGTCACAGGGAACAAACGGGTGCTGCCGTGCGATGCTGTCCTGATCCAGGGAGGCTGCATTGTAAACGAGAGCATGCTCACCGGTAAGGCTGAGCCTTTTCATATCGCTGCGGGCAAAACCCAAACTGAGAACTTCTCGTACTTCATAACATCATTGGCGATGAAAGCTCTTCATCCCACTCGCTCTCCTCCCTCCAGAATGCCCACCCTACTGTCTGCTGTTAAGATATTCCCAAATCCCACCATTAAGACTTTCCCAATCCCAACAGTCCCAATCCACAACTGTTTGTGGGCACTGCTGTGCGCAAATGGCTGCCACGTTTTGCCCGCAAATACACAGTCAATTCATTTTGCAGCATATTCTGTAAAGCGCTTTGAGATGTCTCGAAGACGTGATAAGGCGCTGTATCAAATGGAAGGGTTATTAAGTGATGTTTGTTGGCCAGACGGGTGTCTGACACGCACGGAAACCCATCGCCATGTTTAAGAGTCTCCAAACCAGACTGGGAGTTCCATATATACAATATATACATGTGCCGCCTACTCAAGGAAAATTTCCTGGGTCTGGAATGGAAGGTGCACTCTCTCTCCCTGGAGTTACGCTTACTTAAGCTGGAGCGTATTAGACGCAGATTTGGCTAAAGATCGAGATGAGGGGAAGGGGGAGGTGCGAAGGTTGTTTGGTGTACGTGTGTTTGGGTGGGTGGGGGAGGGGCGGTGCCTCGGACATCGGCTGGTAGGGAATATAATGTATGCTGCGCTAATCGACACCAGTGAACACATCACATTCTTTGCACCATTTTCCTTTCACTTATTTCTTCCCCAAATTTCTTTTGATGGAGGTTGAATGAGTACTATTGATCCGGTGCCTTGCATCATGTTTGCAGGTGAAAGCGTGCCCGTGACTAAGACACCGTTGCCAAGTGTAGCTGGTCCTACCTCGTGGTGGAGTTCTAGCGCTGATCACAAGCTCCACCTCCTCTTCTGTGGAACTCAAGTGATTCAGACCAAGACCGGCAGCCAGGGAGAAGTCAAAGCAGTCGTCCATCGAACAGGTCGGTTTTTCTCTTTCCCCAAATCCAATTCGCTTTGATCTCAAATGTTTGCCTTGTCCTCGTCTCAGTTGGCAGCACTCTAGGTGTTCAAGCCCCATGTCGGGAGTCCAAGCCTACCCTGACACTCCAGTATTGAGAGGGATGTACTGCAATGTCAGAGGTTTCCATCCTTGTTGCCGGAGGGAGGGGGGCTGGAATCAGGGGTCAAAAAGAGAAAAAAGTTTCTCCTGGTGCCTTGGCCGGATAATTCAGATAAACAAGTTAATGGTTAATCTTGATCTGTGCAAATTATCTATTGCAACTAAGGTATACACCAACTTGCATTTATACAGCACTCTCCATGCAGGATAAAGTCTCAGAGCGTTTAGCAAGGGAGATGGGAAAAGAGGGATGACCATGGGGGCGGTCGAAGAGGTAGGATTTCAAGACAGATGAGGGTGTGGAGAATGAACTGATAGAGGGAGAGATTCCCAGAGGTATACAGTATTCAGGCACTACTCTTGAAGCGCTTTGAAACATCTCAATGACATGATCAGGCGCTGCATCAAACGCAAGGATTATCATTATTATTATAATATACTCTGTGAATCGCTTTGAGATGTCTCAACAACATGATAGGGCGCTATACTAAATGCAAGGATTATTATTATATTATTAGAATTGTTACATTACAATATACTTCTGTGAAACACTTTGAGACTCAACGACGTGATAAGGCACTATATTAAATGCAAGGTTTATTATTATCATTATTATGCTAGACAGGGGTTGAAATGTTTGCGAAGTGTTCAGAGGGTTGCTTATTATTCAGTCCGCTGTCAATGTGAATGTGTGCCCACAGGTTTCTCCACTGCCAAGGGCGAGCTGGTCAGGTCCATTCTGTACCCGAAGCCAATGGACTTCAAGCTTTACCAGGACGCCTTCCGCTTCCTCATGTGCCTCGGCGTCATTGCCATCCTGGGGATGATCTACACCATCTGCGTCTTTTTAGTAAAAGGGGTAGGCTTTATTCATGGCCGTTTGTGGGGAGCTACCTGCAGCGCAAATGTGGAGTCCACTCGCCTCACAAACGAGAGACCTGGGTTTGATTCCCTGGCAGGGTGAAATGTTGGGCAAGTTTCCTTCCTCCACACGCCTCTGTTTACCTCGCAGTAGGTAGGAACCCGGTTGTTAGTCGATTGGCGGATCGCTTTTTCGGGGGTAATACTTCCTTCAAAAAAATAAAATAACAAATTGGTCACTTTAATCCACGACTGTTTGTGGGACAATGCTGTGCGCAATCATCTGCCGAGTTTCACCCACAAAATATAAAGTCAATTTACTTTACAATATATATTCTGTGAAGACTTTTGAGACGTCTCGACGATGTTAAAAAGCACTATATCAAATGCAAGGATTATTATTATTAAATTGGCTGCTACGTTTGCCTATGACACACAAGGTCGCTACACTGTATAGTAAGATCCTGTGATTGCGCTTCAAGATGTGAAGGGCGCTGTTTCAAATTGTAAAGTTCATTTTTAATGTCCATCTCAAGAACTTCTTCTTTGACCCCATCTTCGACCTCATCTCCCCTCCGCACGCCTCCTGGGCTCCCACCATCAGCCCGGGTTCCAAGTCAGGTCTTTCAGGTGCTTCGGGAAGTCCTCCCGACATGAAAGTGCTGTGTAACTGTGAAGCTTTGTTTTATCCCATTATTTCTAATATTATTATTATTATTATGTGGAGTCCCATAGCATAGACGATAGTGCATTCATCTCGCAAGCGAGAGGACCCCAGTTCGATTCCCAGGCAGGGCGAAACCTTAGGCAAGTTTCCTTACTCCACTTCTGCTTGTCAAGCAGTAAGTACGAACCCAGTTGACGGATCGCTTTTCCGAAGGTAATAATCCCTTCAAAAACAAACAGCAATTTGGTCACTCAGTACATGACTGTTTGTGGGACACTGCTATGTGCCATTGGCTGTCATGTTTCGCCCACAAAATACAATCCACTTTACAGTATATTCTGTGAGGCGCTTTGAGATGTCTTAATGACGTGATAAGGGGCTATATCAAATGCAAGGATTCTTATTCTTATTCTTCTTACTCTATTCCCGAAAGAGATCTGTGGTTGAGATGGTGAAGAAGGCCCTAGATGTAATCACTATTGCGGTCTCTCCTGCCCTGCCTGCCTCCATCACTGTGGGAATCATCTATAGCACGAGACGGCTGAAAAAGAAAGGAATCTTTTGCATCAGCCCGCAAAGGATCAATGTTTGTGGACAACTGAACCTCGTCTGTTTCGACAAGGTAGGTCCCTGTCTCGTGTCTGGTTTAACCTTGGACCAGTTTACGCCAGAGGAAACCTCCCTTCCGTTACCTGTTGCTGCTGACATCTCCCCCCCACCCACCCGCACCCTCGCACTGTAAGCTCTACTTCATTCGTGATTGATGAGAGAAGCTAGGATTGTGCTGGATTGTTCTAGCTCTTCCAACGTCTCACTAGTTCTGGACAGGTGCCACTGGCTCCCCATCACTAAATGGATCGACTTCAAGATCCCCACTCATGTTCAAATCCCTTCACTTCCTGGCTCCTCCCTACCTCTCCGACCTCCTCACTCCTCACTCCTCAATCCACCACCCGGCACCTCCACTCGACTGGCACCGGTCTCCTGCTCGTTCCTCGCACCCTCTGCCCCACCATCGGAGGTCGCACTTTCAGCCACTACGCCACAAAACTCTGGAACATGCTCTCTGAATCCTTCTGCCTTGCCCCCTCTCTCCGATTTTCAAAGTCTTACCTGAACACCCACCTCTTCAACTGTGCTTACAACTAACTCGGCTCGGAGTCAGCACTCTTAAGTGCTCTGACATGCTATCCTGCAGAAGTGCAAGTTGTTGTTGTTCTCCTTGGAGCAGAGAAGGTTAGGGGATATTTAATGCAGAGGGGATTTGATAGAGTGAACAAGGAGAAACTGTTTCAACTGGTGTGTGGGTCGATAACCAGAGGACACAGACTTAAGATAATTGTCAAAAGAACCAGAGGGGAGATGAAGAGAAATGTTTTCACACAGCGAGTTGTACTGGAATGCACTGCCTGAAAGTGTGGTGGAAGCAGATTCGACAACAACTTTCAAATGAGAAATGGATAGGTATTTGGGGAGGACAAGTTTGCAAGGCTGTGGGGAGAGAGCCCGGGAGTGGGATTAATTTGGACAGCTCTTTCAAGGAGCCGACACAGGCACGATGGGCCGAATGGCCTCTTTCTGTGTTGTATAATTCTCTGATTCTATGATTGTATACCGAGCGGCTTAACTTTAGTTAAAAAGAAAACATGGGCGAGATCAGGAGACTGGCTGACCTCACGATCTGTCTGCACGGCACAGAGGTGGGGGGAATGGAGTGGGGGGAGTGTGGGGGGGGTGGTGGTGACTGATGTTGCGATATTTTCAACTGGATTTCGTGGCTTGCAGGTGGCAAGATCGGTGCCAATGGGCGATATTCTCGGAAACAGCTGATTACCCATTTCCGAAAATCGTCAAACCGTCAGATGAAGATTCAGGGAACCAAATGACAGCATTTTACCTTAAAATCTTTTTTTTCTCTCAGATGACGTTTACTCTCTGACCTATTCCTCGGACCTATTGCTCAGTCTTTTCTCTTGCACTGGGAAAAGGGCATTTAGTTTGTGTCACTGAGTAGAACAACGACAACAACAACTTGCATTCATATAGCACCCTTCACGCAGGGAAGCTTCTCGGAGCGCTTTGTGAATATAGGTGGCGTAAATCTCCTTCCTCGAACTCTCTTCTTGTGCTCTTTGCCCGGTTGGTGGATTGCTTTCTTGCTGCCTTTCCTCGGCGCTCCTTTGCTGTCAGATTTTGCGTCCACGGCCATCTTCCTTGAGTACAAACAACACAGAAAGAGTTCCCCCCCCCCGCATGTGTCTTTGTGTCGCTGATCGCCAGATTTGTGTTTTTCTTCCGTGTGTAGACCGGGACTCTGACCGAAGAAGGATTGGATCTGTGGGGCCTAGCAACAGTTAAAGGGAAAGGGTATGTAAGCCTTTTACAGTGATTAATTGACATGTGTCATAGCTTGTAGTGAAATGTGGAGCCCTGTGATGTATTGGTTAGAGCGCTCTCTTCGCAAGCGAGAGGATCCGGGTTCGATTTCTGGACAGGGTGAAACCTTAGACATGTTTCCTTACTCCACATGCCTCTGTTTACCTAACAGTAAGTAGGAACCCGGTTAGTCAACTGGCGGTTCATTGTCTGGGTTATAATAATTCCTTTAAAAAAATGCTATGTTTCACCCACAAAATAAACAGTGAATTCACTTTACAGTATGTTCTGTGAAGCATTTTGAGACGTCTCAAAGAGGTAATAAAGTGCGATATCAAATGCAAGGATTATTATTATAATGTACACTGGAATCCTCTCTGTGAGATAGCTTTGTTCCAAAAATGAGAGTGTTTTGAGCAGGTTTGTCCTTTTGATGAATGGTGTGTTGAAGGCGAAACAGATATTAACCCTGGTGTCACCTTGTGCAAGGACCACCCCACACCCTGGGGCTTCAACACACAAGAATATTGGACTGGGGCAGTGAGGTGGATTGATGGTCTCTTTGTAACTGTTACCGTGTAAAGAAAAAGAGTCATAAAAAGGCTTTTTAAGTCCCACGCCCCGATCTGCCCCACACCACAATTCATCCACTCCATACCTGATCTCTGGAATTCCATCCTTCCTCACTCCACACCTTCAAAACACACTTTTAGGTCTAATTTTCCAATTGCAATCTCGCCCCACCCCCCACCACTCCCCACCCTTAATTCTCCCCTCTGCCTGTGAAGCTATTTGAGACTCCCTCCCCCACCACCCCTGATCTGAACGATGCAATGTAAATGTAAATTGTTCTTGTTCCCATTAATTATAGTTTTAAACAATGAAACCATCCACTATGCCCTTGCGTGACAGCACAGACTTTGTTATCTTTCATTGTTCATTACCGATCACCTGTTTTAACCCTCGATTTCCAGTTTACAGAGCATCTTCCGGTTCAGCGGCAGAGATATCCTTCCATGGGGGCCGTTTTTTGGGGCTCTGGCCAGCTGCCACTCCTTGAGCCTTTCGGACAACAATCTCCAAGGTGACCCACTGGACCTGAAAATGTTTGAAGCCACTTGCTGGGTAAGAGAACGCCTTTGACAAAGATGAAAGTCTAACATGTTGAAATCTAGGCAAACAGACTATCGATATCCACCTGGTTTAGACCTAGCACTCTCGCCTCCAAGTCAGAAGGTTGTGGTTTCAAGTCTCACGTCAGGACGTGGAATCACTTAGTCTAAACTGACACTCCAATGCAGCACTGGTCAGAGATGCCGTCCTTTGGATGAGATGTTAAACCAAGGTCCTGTCTGTCTGATCAGGTTAAAGATCTCTTGGCAATATTTGAAAAAAGAGGGAGTGGGAAGGTTCCCTATCCCCAGTGACAAATCTGCCCTTCCAAGTCCTGCCATCGAGCTAGACTGGGTTGTTATGTAATCAGCAGTGCCCTGGAATACTGCGTACTCACCTGGCTCAGGAACAGGACTACTGAGAGACTGCCACAGAGGGTCAACTCAATACTGACATTCTGTTGCCAAGAATTTGAATTTGGAGCAAACCAAAGTACAGTAAAGGACTAAACTGATGCCTGAAAGTTTCATAGAAAGTTTTGGCACAAAAGAGGGGCATTCAGCTCTTTTGTGCTGGGTTGTCTCTCTGTAAAACCTACCTGGTTTTAGTCCTTTTATCTCTTTTATGTCACTTAAACCCATGGCAGGAAATCGATGAAAATCAGCAGGACGGAGGATCAAATTTCTTTATTGTCAAGCCAGGACCCAAAGCCAATAAGGTGCGTTCAAGAAGGTCGACTGTCGTAGAGTTTGCTGTTTCATAAAGGCACGATCTTACAAACAAAGTTAGAACGGCTGGAAGTGAGATTAGGAAACAGTTCCCACACAGGTTGAGGAAACATGGATTGCACTACCTCAGAAAGCTCTAGGGGCAAAACCAAATGTGTATATTCTGGTGCTTGCTCCCCCGCTAGAGCTCTCTAATCCCATTCCCCAGCTCTTTCCCCCATTGTGTCTGTGCTGGTGTGTGCTCTCCCACTGGAGCTCTGCTCCCCACTTGTCATTAACCATACTCTCACATTTCTATTGTTCCTTCTGTTTATTTGTTGTTGTTGAATAATTCCTCTCCATTGATCAAAAACCCTCATCGTTTTTAAGACCTTGACCAGGTTTCTCCTCAACTTCCTCTGTTCCAATGGTCATTAAAGGTCCAGGTCCACCTGAGCTGATAAAGAGGACCTCGGTGTAACATCTCACCCAAAGGATGGCACCTTGGTCAATGCAATGAAACTGCTCACCCCAGGAAACTGCACTGTGTTGGCGAGTCATATTGAACTATGCGCTCTAGTCTCAACCCGCTACCAACTGAGTTCAAATGGAGTCCAAGCGATGTATTGCAGAGGTTGTATTGCCTTAATGCTAGAAGGAATTTTGTATGTTGCAGGAATCGGTCCAAGGGATAATTGTGCTGAACCAGTTCCCATTCTCCTCCGCTCTCCAGAGGATGTCAGTTGTAACTCAGTTGGTTGGAAGAGATAAATTCACCGTTTACCTGAAAGGGGCACCAGAGACAGTGGCTGCTCTCTGCATCCCGACCACAGGTATGGAGTTCGGAATCTTGCTCAAAGGACGCCTCGCTCAAGTCTTACAATTAGCCCTGACACATCCTGATCTAGGCTAATTCCTCAGAGGAATTCTAGAGTAGAAATGAGGAACATACATTCTAGAATTTATTGGAGTACCTGAGGCAGCCATAGCACTTCACAAGCGATGTTGAAGCCAAGCCCATAATGCGACTTGGATGAGTATTCCTGAGGAAAAAATTATGTTGACGAGTTTGGAGAAAGAACGGGGGACTGGAGGAGAGTGGAGAACTCCAGTGGGGGTTTGAGCACCAGCACAGACACGACGGAGGAAAAAGTTTCATGTAATACGTACATTACACGAGACTACCTTAGGTTGACCCGAGGAAAAATCCGTCACCAACCAAACAATCCCTTCAGAAAAATGCAGGAACTGAGCATACTCCCTGCAAACAATCGCAACTCTGTTTGATTTCCACCAGATCAGCATTCGCCGAATGGGGGGGGGTGGGGGTCAAAAAGTTAAACCTCTCCTGCCTGTATATGCTTAGCTGCCATTTAATCCAGAAATTAGCAAGAGACAAAAAAAAAGAAATTCCACATATTAACGGTTGCATAATGGGTCTGCTTTATAGTGGGCGGAATCCCTTTTAAATATTAGCCTTCAATATAACGGGTAGAGCACAATTTTTCCAATGTTTATCCTTTTTACATCCCCGATAGGTAGTGGTGAGGTGTACTGTAATAATAATTATCCTTGCGTTTGATACAGCTCTTTTTACATTGGGTGAAAGCGCATTCATACAAGATTTTACAGTCGCGTGTAGTGACTGTGTGTGTTTTATGAGCCTGTCACTGGGCTGACCAGGGATCTGCATGTTAATTACAGTCCCCCGGACATTCTCCACTGAGCTCCAGCGCTACACAACACAGGGTTTTCGGGTAATCGGATTCGCATACAAATCCCTTTGGAACGGCAGAGTTGTTCCGGTCACGAGTCTAAAGAGGTGAGACGGAGATCGTTCATTGCTCCGGTTGTAATATAACTCGATCCAAATCAAGGTTGTGTTAGTGAGCTTCTTTATTTGTCGAACACCGGAGAATCCAACACAGTGATCACTATAAAGTGAGGTGACTGCGCATTTTCTGGGCGATCGCAGGCAGCCCAATCTGCGCACAGCGACTGCTCTGAAAACAGCAGCGAACTGAACCACCGATTTTTATCTGAGGGGAGATGTATGAGTGTGCGTATGTGTGGGGGGGAAATTATGGCCAGGGCACTCCCTTTCTCTTACTGCTCACATCACAGCAGAAGAGCCAGTGAATCTTCTGAGACAGGAAGGAGGCCATTTAGCCCATCGTTTCCACCGCGAGTCTCTGCGAGAGCTACCCGGGTGGGATCGAGCTTCATCTTTGTGCTTCATGACTGATGCAGTTCTAATTTCTCTGAGTTACTATCCCGGGTGAAGTTGTTATTTGTTGTCATCGTCAGGGAGGAGGTGGAATCTGATCTGGTTTTCTTGGGTTTTCTGATCCTGGAGAACAAGCTGAAAAGCCAAACCATCCCAGTGCTCGAGGAGTTACTCCGAGCCAGGATCCGAACGGTTATGATCACAGGTAAAGGCCGTGCCTTCAGCCCTGACCCAGCAGATTGCCCCTGCCTCAACCCCTCGCCTCGCTGCTCTGCCTTCATCTCTCGCCTTGCCCCCTCTTCAGATCGCACCGGAAGACTCTTCCACCGCGTGTACGGTCACCTCACCTCTCTCTACCTGGCATTAAACTACTCCATTGTTAAGCGCTTCAAGACACAACCCCACGTGAAGTGCGCTGTATACATGCAAGTTGTTGTTGTTGGTTGCTCTCCCGATTCTAAGCATCTCCGGGCGACGTACTGTTGGCGACTGTCAGTTGCTCGGATCGCTGGTTTTGCTGGCTCTCTGTCCTCTGGGTCAGCGGGTTGATGCAAGGATTATTATTATTATTATTATTATTGTAGCTTTAAACTAAAGAACCTTTTTCAGGCGAATGTTAAAGACACAACGACACTGTTCCAAAAGGGAAGAGTGTTTCTCTCTCCTGGTGTCCTGGCCGACAATCCCCCAGACAAAATGAGTCATTAACTTCGTGTTTGATTGAGGGACATCTTGCACAAATTTCAAAAAACGCCATAGGATCTTTAACATCCACCTGAACAGGCACACACAGGACCTTGGTTTAGCATCTCATCCGATGGGTAGCACCTGTGACAATGCAACACATCCCCAGCTCTGCACTGGAGCATCATTTTAGACTGAGTGATTTCAAGTCCCGACATAGGACCTTCTGATTCAGAGGAGAAAGCTGACACATGGCTGACCCAGGCTGACACTTGGCTTGGTCCCCGGATACCCATCCCTCCACCTGGTATTTTCCAGGTGACAACCTGCAGACAGCTGTTACAGTGGCCAGAAAATCTGGGATGATCCCAGCGGGTCAGAAGCTGATGCTGATCGACTCCTCCGATGGGAATGAGTGTGCTCACGCTTCCATCAGCTGGAAACTCATGGAAAGTGGCAAGGACAATGGTCAGGTCAGTGCTTCTGGAACCATCAGATGAATAATGTGCTACTAGTTGTAACCACAGTTACAAGGGTGGTCCTAGCTGGACAAGCGGCAGGAAAGTTCACCAGGCAGTATCTTCAATGGCAAGCTATGCAATTAAATTTAGCTGGTTAGACTCCATCAGTTACCCCAACACACACTCTGGGATTCCCCAAGCCTTGGATCTAATTCTCTCTGGAATTAGGTAAGCAGGATGTGTCCCTCCATGGAGAAACTGTGCAATCCATTCCAACAATCTATCTCTGGAATTTCCATGCGTAGGTAGTATGAGGTGGGGTGGGTACCTGGGTGGTTGGGTGGGTGGTTGCTCCCGTTAACAAATCTTTTGTATGTTGAAGGAAACCAAAATTCAGATGGATAATTTTGAGAAGAAAAGAAACTTTCATTTTGCTCTAAGCGGAAAATCCTTTGATGTTCTCCTTCAGCATTTTTACCATTTATTACCCAAGGTAAGTGTCACACCTCGCGCCAGCAACTGAAGGCACAGACTTTGTGGTTAATTCTAGGTCTCCTTGTTTAAATGTTTTGATCAGTATGGTGATGTTATGAAGGAAACTCTTTATTTTTCCATTTCAGATACTTGTAAACGCCACAGTTTTTGCCAGAATGTCACCAAGCCAGAAAGGAAGCCTCATTCAAGAGTTTCAAAAGTTGGAGTAAGTTTCATAACGCTAATTGACAGAGAGAGGGAGATTAAAGAAATAAAATTCTTCCAATTCTTAGCCTGTAAAATCACTTTGAGGCTGACAGTGTCGTGCTGGTGGGGGCAGGGGGGGATGGTGATGCTTGTTGGAGTTGCTGGCCTTCGAATGAGACGTTAAACTGAGGTTTTTGTCTGTGGCTATTCAGATGGAAGTTGAACATCCCACAGCACTGTTTGAAAAGAGAAGGGTATCCTGGCCTACAATCCCTCAGATTATCTAAAATATACAAAATATACAGTCACAACACTTTACATTATGGGCCGTGAAGCACGTTGACATGTCTCAAAGACGTGATAAGGTGCTATATCAAATGCAAATATTATTATTATTAAAAGTGGTCATTTGCTTCATGACTGCTTGTGGGACGTTGCTGTGTGCAAATTCTCTATGAAACACGCAGTCATGTTCTCCCAACATGAAAGGCTCTGTATCAAACACAAGGACAATTATTTCACGCAGCTCTAGAGTGACAGAAGCTTTTCCTTCAAGTTCTCGCGCTGACAATTTGAGACCTTGCTTGTAACTGGTTGACTTTTTATATTCCAGTTACTGTGTGGGCATGTGTGGAGATGGTGCCAATGACTGTGGTGTAAGTACAGACAGGGCTCTGGTTTACCTCAGGCTGTAAAAGACTGGAGCTTGTTTCATTACCACAAATTCTATGTTGCCCTTCCTTCGGATGAGACGTTAATCCGAAGCTCATCTGTGCCTGTTCAGGTATACGTTAAAAAAGATTCCCCCCTTTGCACTGTTCGGAAAGAGAAGGGTTTCTTCTTCTGATCTTCCCCCAAATCTATTTTTAAAATCGTGATTCACTTCATGGCTGTTTGTTGGACACTGCTGTGCGCAGATTGGCTGCCCCATTCACCTACAAACACGCGCAGTCACTACACTATACAGTATATCCCGTGAAGCGCTTTGGGACGTCCTCCTGACGTGAAAAGGGCTGTACCAATTGTAAGGATTATTACAATATTATTATAATTACGAACACAGGTTGAAATGCTCTGAATTCTAGGCTTTAAAGAACGCTCACGCTGGAATCTCACTGTCAAAGTATGAAGCCTCTGTAAGCTCTCCCTTCACGTCAAACATTGACAACATAGAATGTGTCACAGTACTGATCAAGTAAGTCCACCCATATCTGCTCAAGCTGTGTGTGTGTCCCACTTTCTTTATCATGTAACTGTTGCTTGTCATTCGCAAAGCATGACTCCTTGCGTTGCCATCGAATAGGCAATTGAGGCCCCAAATTCCACCCAGTCGTAGCTGGTGAGACCGTTTTTGCCGTTAAAAAAAAGATCAGAATGAAAAAGAGCCCCTCGATGCCATTCTATTAGATCATGGCTGATCTGTACCTCAACTCCAATTACCCACCTTTGCCCTACATTCCTTGATACCCTGAGCTAACAAAAAATCTATCCACCTCAGTCTTGAAAATTTGAATGGATCGAGCGTTCACAAGCTTTTGGGGGAGAGAGTCCTATATTTCCACTACCCTTTGTGCGAAAAATTGGGTGAATATGACTTTTTGTGGAACCCTGCTGTGCGCAATTGGCTGCCGTGTTTCACCCACAAAATATACAGTCAATTCGCTTTACAGTATATATTGTGAAGCGCTTTGAGACATCTTGAAGACGTGATAAGGCGCTGTATCAAATGCAAGGATTATTATTATTAAAAATGCTTCCTGATTTCACTCTTAAATGGCTTAGCTCTAAATTTTAGATTATGCCTTTATTATTATTGCCTCATTATGATAAAATATTATCATTATTATCAATATTAATAATTATTATTAAGTCCTCACCGGTTCAGTGAAGCTTGCCTTCATCCTGTGTTGTGTTTTTTTTCCCTTCTAGGGAGGGTAGAGCAGCTCTCGTCACCTCCTTTTGCATGTTTAAATTCATGGCGATTTACAGCATGATACAATACCTTGCGGTTTTGCTTCTGTACTGGGTATGTCTAACCTTTTTTAAGTCCATTATTCAAAGACTCAGAAAATTGTTGATACTCAGTACTATACAATAACTAGAAGTAAGTGCAGGAAGGATCACAAGATCGGTTTGGATGAGGAAGGCACTACAGGCCATTTGATCTTATCCTGTAGCTCAGTGGTTAGAGTCTTGGGACGTCCTCCCAACATGAAAGGCGCTATGCAAATGGTATTTTGTTGTTGTTGTTGTAGAGCACTCGCCTCGCCGGTAGGGTGAAATGTTGGGCAAGTTTCCTTACTCTGCACGCATCTGTTTACCTAGCAGTGAGTAGGAATCCAGTTGTTAGTTGATTGGCAGATCGTTTTTCCGGGAATACTAACTCCTTTTAAAAAAAATTGGTCAATCCACGACTGTTTGTGGGACGCTGCTGTGCGCAATTGGCTGCCACATTTCGCCCATAAAATATACAGTCAATTCACTTTACAGTATATCCTGTGAAGCACTTTGAGACGTCTCAAAGACGTGATAAGGCGCTATATCAAATGCAAGGATTACTATTAATATCCTTCCAAGTATAGAAACGTGGAAACAAGATGAGGCTATTCAGCCCCTTGAGCCTGTTCCACCATTTTTTAAGGTCATGGCTGAATGTACTGCAAGTCCAGTTACCTGCTCTTGCCATATATCCCTTAATACCATGAACTATCAAATATATCTGTCCTCCGGTCCACATCCAGGCCTCAATCTCCCTTCTTGGTTAACCTGTGCCAGTTGTTAGATAACCTCTGAGTAAATAAATACTTCCTGGTATCTGTGCTGAAATTGCCCTTTGGCAACTCGCAACCTGCATCCTCTTGTATAGATACTCTGTCTGACGCACTCATGTGCGGGAAGCAGTCATGGTCAACATTGGGCGTTGAGGAGTCTTTCCTACTTGGACGTTCCCATGTTTGGGCTGGTTGACCAACCCCTTCTCCCTCCCTTCCCTCCCTCTCCCCCTAATCATTACTACCCACCTTTTCTATCTCAACCTTCTAACAACATCACAAAGTCCTGTGGAGTCCTGTAGCTCAGTGGTTAGAGCACTCGCTTTGCAAGTGAGAGACCTGAGTTCAATTCCAGGCAGGGCGAAACCTTGGGCAAGTTTCCTTACTCCACACGCCTAATAATAATCCCTCCAAAACAAAGCAATAATAAATTGGTCATTTTCAATCTACGACTGTTTGTGGGACATTGCTGTGCGCAATTGGCTGCCGCGTTCGCCCACAAATATACAGTCAATTCACTTTACAGTCTATTCTGTGAAGCGCTTTGGGACGTCCTCCCGACGTGAAAAGCGCTATATCAAATGCAAGGATTATTATTATTATTATTATTATTATAAAGCAAACTTGCAAAGCCCAGGCCAGGGATTGAGACAGGATTCTTCCTGGTCAAAGGAAATATCTCTTTAAAGATCCCATAGCACAGATCGGAAAAGGAGTGGGAATTTCTCCTTGTGTCCTGGCCAACAATCCCCAGATAAAATCTCCAGGCACAAGCGCTTAGCTGTCGATCACCTTGGGATGTCCTCCAGACATGCAAGATGCTATCTACAATAAATATAAATTGGTTGTTGTAGGTACATTTACAAAAAGCGATGTGTTCTTTGTATTAACATCAATTTATTTCCTGTTCTAGAAATTAAATACCTTTGGGGGCTACCAATTTCTGTTCCAGGATCTAGCTATCATCACGATTGTTGGCATGACAAGTAAGAATTCTTATTCTTAATGGAATCTGGTCGCTCGATTCCCGACAGGGCGAAACCTTGAGCAAGTTTCCTTATTCTACACGCCTGATAATAATCCCTCAAGAAATTAAATAAATAAAAATAATAATTTGATCACTTCAATCTATGATGGTTTGTGGACATTACTGTGGCTGCCATTTTTCGTCTGTAAAATATACAGTCAATTTACTTTGCAGTATATTCTGTGAAGCGCTTTGAAACGTCTAGAAGACGCGAAAAGCACTGTATCAAATTCAAGGATTATTATTGTTATTAGGTCCATCGCATTGTCCGAGATGCCGTCCTTCAGATGAGATGTTAAACCGAGTGCCTGTTCATGTGGAACTTAAAAACCCTGCAGTATTTACTCAAAAAAAAGTGTGTGCGTGGGTGTGTGTGTGTATGGGTGTGTGTGTGTATGTGTGTGTGTGTGTGTATAGGGTGTGTGTGTGTATGTGTGTGTGTATAAGGGTGTGTGTTTATGAGGGTGTGTGTGTATGTGTGTGTCTGTGTGTGTTAGCCTGATGCAAATCCTCTGTGAATTTCAGTGAACCTGAACCATGCTTATCCAATGATGGTGCCGTACAGACCACCCAGTCAGCTCATCTCTCCACCTCTCCTGCTCTCTGTCCTCCTCAACATCGCCCTGAACCTGGCTCTCAACATAGTCGGCTTCGTGATGGTGACGAACCAGCCCTGGTACTCGCACACAGATATGCACAGGTGAGGTCTTAATGCCGGCTTCAATGAGAATGCAGGATGGGTTTTGACGGACAGTCCAACGACGACAACAACAACAACTTGCACTTATATAATGAGCGCCCTTTACGCAGGATAGCGTCTTAGAGGGCTGAACAGTGGCGGATCCGGTGGGGGGGAGGGAGGGGGGCAGGTGGCTGTAAACACAGTCGAAGAGGATGGGTTCCCATTCCATTCGGAACGCGCACTACCGGTAATCATACAAGTGCCCTGGGACGCTACCCTGCGTGAGGGGCACTATATAAATACAAGTTGTTGTTCATTGAAGGTTGTGGCAGCTATAAAAAGTCACGATGTGTGTGCGCGTGTTGGTGTGTAGCTGTGTGTGTGTGTGTGTGTTTGTGTGTGTTTATGTGTCTGTGTATGTGTCTGTGTGTGTGTGTGGTTTATGTATCTGTGTGTGTGTGGGTCTGTGTGTGTGTGTCTGTGTGTACGTTAAACGTTGTGCTTTCCACAGCAAAATCACGACCCATGATTTTCTTACAGCTTTATTAATAAAGAAAGCAAACGTTTGAACTCTCTCTGTCTCTGCAGCGCTTGTCGACCAGAAAACAACCTAACCACTACATCTGTGCACAATGTAACCGCAGTTAACCAGCCTTCATTCCACTCGTTTGCGAGCAGTCACTTTCAGAGCTATGAGAATACCACAGTGTGGTTTCTGTCTACCCTGAGCCTTGTGACGACAGCTTTTGTCATGTGTAAAGGAAAGCCCTTCCGACAACCCATTTATACCAACTGTGAGTGTTCTTGACTCCGTCTCGGTTGACATGTTTTCCTGGGTCGGTTATGACTGTGTTTGTTTGTTATTGTGTTAAGCACAGTAACTTGCTTAATGTGATCACGGTTGTTATACCCGTGTGAGCTGTTGTATTAGTCTCTCTCCAGCTCTCAGTCTTTCTGTGTGTGTGTATATCTCTCTCTCTCTGTCACTTTGCCTCCCTATCTGTCTGTCGTTCTCCCTCGCTTTGTCGCTCTTCCCCTCTCTTTCTCTCTCCCTCCCTCTTTCTCTCCATCCTTCTTTCCTTCTCTTTCTCTCTCTCTCTCTCTCTCTCTCTCACTCTCTGTGTATCTCTCTCCCTTTCTCCGTCTTTCTGCCATTCTCTCATCTTTATGTCTTCCACTGTCTCTCCCTCTCTCCGAAGTGTACAATAGTAAATTCATGTGAACCCTTTACTCCTTGGTTTCAGATCTGTTTATCCTTGTCCTATTGGCCCAGAGTGGAATTTGCCTCTTTCTCCTCTTTGTTGACCACGGTGGAGTGTACAAGGTGATGGATGTAAGTTCTGTCAATCCGTGCCTATCGGTTTAGTATAGACACAAAACATCTCAGAGTAAAAGCGTTTCAGTCTAAAACCTATCCACTGATTCTATTTCATTTTAAATAACTGGAGGTAATAATAATCATTATCGGAAGTACGTTAAACTGAGGATAAGACATTAAACTGAGTTAAACAGTTAAATGTTAAAGTCTGTGCCTGTTAACGATTCCGCAGGGCTATTGGTAAAGAGGAGGGAGTGTCTCCTCTGGGTCCTGGCGGAAAAATCCCCCAGATATAATCCGTCATGGCTATTTGTGGGGATGTCGCTGTGTGCAAATTCGCTGCTGAGTTTGCCTGCAAGATTGCAGTCACAGTCACTACACTTTACGGGAAATTCAATGACTGGGTTTGAGATGTTTTGATGACGTGACAAGTCGCTGAGTATCAAATGCTAGGACTGTCGTTTATTGAGCTCTTCTCTAACCTTCTGGTGTGAAACTCTCTCTCGTTGCAGCTTGTTTGCACTCCATACAAGTGGCGAGTCTATGTTCTGATCATGGTGGCTGTTCACTTCGTGATCGTGAACCTCGTAGAGGTGAGTGTAACTCCCTCCTCAACAACGCAACAACCACAGCGCCCTTGTCCTAGTGTAATGTCACAGGGATCGGGTTGGAAATGGAGCAAGAGAGGAGTGGGGCAGTTAGAGGGAAGGATTCAAAGATGGGAGACAGGGTTTAAAGATAGAAGAGTGTGTGGGGATGGGGGGCGGGGGGTTGGGGTGCAAGGCCAAGTGGAAGGGGATGGCAAAATAAAGAGAATTTCAGGTTTTGCAGAGTACAATCTGCTGCGTTAACGAGATTTGGTAATCCCATTAGAATTCCCATCAAATTTTCAGGGCGGTGGAGGGGTGGGGGGGCGGGGTGAAGGGTGCCATCTTGGGACATTGAGCTCTTAGTCCAGGCTGACACCCCAGTGCAGTGCTGGTGTGGGGCGAGGGGGGGGGGCGGGGGGGAGAGGGCTTACTAACATTATTGGAAGTGCCATACTTCAGATAAGGCATTAAACCGGGCCTTTAAACCTGGTGCGTGCCCGCCCGTTTGGGCAGATGGGAAAAATCCCACTTTGTCACGAAAAAGAGACCCTCATACATGCATTCCCACCCTCCATCTCCACCCCACATCCTGGGGCTTTGACCCCGGTCCCTGGGGCTCTGGATACATCCACTCTCCTCAATGTCGCCGCTCGACCTTGCTTTCCCAGGAAATGCTGATAGAAAACCACCGCCTCTGGCTGTCCCTGTGGAGGTCCTGTGGGATGAGGCCAGCGGGGGCTTACAGGAAGCTGGAGAACACCACCAGCAGAGACACCAACTGGCCCCCACCGGACGGCACCGGTCACGAGGCGTCGGGAACCACAGGAGAGAAGTCGCCGGAAAGCTACTGCAACGACACTTACACTTACAAAAAGGACGGGCCCAATGCAGAGCCTGTGAATGGGTACTCGCTCCCCAGGCCCCCCAGTGACCAACAGCCAAACCACTGGGGCGTAGACATCGAGAACTCTCACTTATAGCGTCGCCGACACGTCACGTGTAAATATGAAGAACTGCCAACTGAAGAAAGGTCTGGGGTAAATTAAGATTGCAACTTCTCCCTCTAGTCTCCAATGATTTTGGGGGTGGGGGAGCCCACTAGGGTGCTGGCTTTCCTCCGGTACCCTCTCCAAGGTTCAGACCAATGGTCAGGAAGCCGCAGCTCTGCCTGGTAACACATCCCAAACCCAGTCGTGTTACCAGGGATGAAGTTCCAAGATTTATGACAACGCAGACACACCCCTCGCCACTAAGCTATCAGACCACCGTAGGGCTACCAATGTCCTGGGAGCTGTTGATGGATTTTGTGAGGTACCAAATACATAGAACAAACTCGGCAAATCTCACAGCTCTAGAAAACAAATCACAAATCATGTGCTATTTAGGGTTTAAATACCTTGGGACGTTCACCTGACGTGAAAGGTGCTATACAAGGGTAATTTGTTGTTGTTTAAATGTCTAACCTTGTGTTGCCTGTACACTTTATTTCTTGGTGTACAGTGGGAAGAGGGGGGATTGGGAGGGGGAGGACATGTAAATTTCACTGTAAAATCTGCGAACAGCGAATATAGTAATTAACGCGAGTACTTTTTTTTGGTGGGTGTGGGGGAAGAAAGAATTCAAGGATTTGATTCCTTCGGTTCATTGGTCTCACCTCGAATTAATTTTTTGGGGTAATTTGCTAATGTTAGATTTCAGTCACGTTCATATCATGAGATCCCTGAAGCTAAGCTTTGGGGTTTATTTGGAACAGTGAGTAATCAGGAATTTATCAAAAAAAATTTGAGGGGGAAAATATTGGGTGCAGCTTCACTCGAGAAATTGTACAAAATCAATAAACTCTAAATATTGCAGAAAAATTGCTCAGGAATATAGAGATTCCTCTTCCCCTGTTATATTACTTTTGGGAGGTTCAAACATGGAGCAAAATTAATATAATTAACCGTCACATTTGATAATAATTCTTGCATTTGATATAGCGCCTTATTACGTCTTCCAGTCGTTTCAAAGCGCTTCACAAGATATACTGTAAAGTGAATTGACTGTATATTTTGATACAGCGTCTTTAACGTCAGAAGGACATCTCAAAGCGCTTCGCAGGATTTACTGTAAAATGTGGTGACTTGCGGTGTTTATTAGGTGCAGGTTATTGAGAGCTGAGGCTTGGGGGAGCCCCAGAGTTTGGGGGAGGTGGGGCAACTGCTGGAGCTTAACCAGCTAGAACCACCATAGCTTGCCATTGAGAGCACTGTCTGGCAAGCTTTCCCACTGCTTGTACAGTGAGGATTGTCCAATCTGTTAGGGCTTTGTCTTGCAGGGATAACAGTTGGTGACTGGAAGTATCAACTGCCAACAGCACCAACAACAAAAGATTACATTTATATAGCTTCAAGAGGACGTCCTAAAGAACTGGACAGTCGAGGATTTGCACCCGAGCTGGAGTTAGGATTTTGGAGGGATGGAGGCCAAAGGGGTGCGGGGGAGCGGGGGCGGGAAAATGGCCAAAGTGTCCCGAACCTATCTCTGGGGCATCTGGAGTGAGGGAGTCAAATCATTATTTTTTATTATAAATCCTGATAACTGCACAATAAACTATGCAAACTGATAACTTATTATTTTTAATGATTATTGCAGTTTGTGGGTTACAATAATTGCAATACATTCACTGCTTCCAATGGTTACAGGAGACTTAATTAAACCAACATCTCATTTCACATAAAACAGGTTTAACCCCTACACACACACACACACACACACACACACACACACAAGAAAAGCACCTTATTAACATTACACCACCCTGATTCATAGAATTGCACACAGATGTGATTAACTGTACAGAAAGCAGAACCAGGGAAGTTATTCAATTGCCTTAACATTTTCTAATTTTTAAAAAAAAAATACATCATATCTCCTGAATCTTGTTTTGGCTTTTAACCTTCTTCTTTTTCCCTCCTCTATGCACATCTACATCTCTCTCTCTCTCGCTCTCTCTCCACCTGTCTATTTCAATGACATGGTCCATCTCTGTCTGGGTGAGGATTAGGGCAATTGGACAGCTTAGCTATAGAGCCAACATGATGGGCTGAGTGGATCCATCTATTGCTGTAAAACTCAAATGTTTCTCATTGATTTGCAGTTTTTGGCCACACCAATTGTCAACACCAATTGCACACAGATTCAGAGAGGTTTAGACGCAGAGCAAAGCTGCCTGTACTCAGCACCACCCATCAATATACCTTTACCCCAAACTCAAGAGTCTGGCTTAGGGTGGCAGTGTTTTTTGTTTCCCACATCAGCTTCGGACTGAGTCAGACGGCTAAAGTAGCACCGAGCTAAGGGAGGTTATAGGCCAATACCGACGGGGAAGCACAAGGTCAGTTTGGATGAAAAAAGTTTGATCTCAGCTCTGCACAATTCCTGCCATTCTGTCCTCTCAAAGTGGGATGCTTCCAGTTAAACTGACTGAAGAGATTTTCACCACCATGAGGTTGGTGCTTGAACCGAGAAGTCAAAGGTCAGTGTGCTAACCCACCTTCCACAGCCCCTTCCTCTTATGCTGCTTGCAAAGTTTCGTTTAAGTAGATAAATGCACAATGTAAAAGGCCAGGATTTAAAAGTATGTTATTTGAAAGTCACATTCCTACTGTACACATTCTAAGAAAAGACATACTCGCCTTAGAGGGGTGCAGTGTAGGTTCACTAGGTTGGTTTCTGGGATGAGGGGTTTGACCTATGAGGATAGGTTGAGAAAACTAGGCCTATATTCTCTATAGAATATAGAAGAATTAGAGGTGATCTTATAGAAACCTATAAGTTTCTTAAGGGTCTTGACAGGGTAAATGCCATGAGACTGTTTCCCCTGGTTGGAGAATCTATAACTAGGGGTCACAGTCTCAAGATTAAAGGTCAGTCCTTTCGAGTCCTTTTGAGGAAACGTTTCTTCACTCAGAGGGTAGTGAATTTGTGGAATTCTCTACCCCAGAAGGCTGTGGATGCTCAGTCCTTGAACATATTCAAGACTGAGATTGATAGATTTCTAAAGGATAGAGGGATTAAGGGATATGATGATAGGATGAGTAAATGAAATTAGGTTAGAAGATCAGCCATGGTCTTATTAAATGGCGGGGCTGAATGGCCTACTTCTGCTCCTATGGTGCTCTTAGGTTTTATGGTCTAAGTTTTACCTACATGTAAAAAAAAATGCAAAACCAGGAAAAGTATCCTTGAGTTAACCCCGAGGAGGTTAAAAGAAAAAGTAATGTGATAATGATTTCTGGTGATAATTATCACATCAGCGGCCCCAAATTCTAACTAATCCTAGCCTGTGAGACCATTGTGTGTTAAAGTTCACGAAAAAAATTCTTAAATCATTCAATTCTTAGTAATAACCCTTGCATTTGACATATGGCACCTTAACATGTCATTGAGACATCTCAAAGTGCTCAATTTCGCCCCCGAACCTGAAATATTAAGACTAAGTAATAATAATAAATAATAAAAATAAAAAAAATAAAGAATTGATCACTTCAATCCATGACTGTTTGTGGGACGCTGCTGTGCGCAATTGGCTGCTGCGTTTCGCCCATAAAATATACAGTCAATTCACTTTACATTATATTCTGTGAAGCGCTTTGAGACATCTCAAAGGCGTGATAAGGCGCTGTATCAAATGCAAGGATTATTATTATTAAAAGATCTCATAGCTAAGACTAGGTTGATTCCCGGGCCTCACACACCATTGCAATTCTCACCCCGGGGGTACTTTTCGTTTAACAGAATTTTAAAAACGAGCTAAATTTACAGTAACAAAAGAACGTCAAACCATATTTTAATTTCCTTTGGGTTAAATTTTTTTTAACAGCAGTTTTGATCAAGGGACAAGTGACGGCCCAAATCTTCAGTAGTTTCTTTGCCTTGATCTGTTCTGAAAGAGTCCGACCAGTGAGAAGACACTAGCGGTGGCTGTCACAAAACTAATGGCACTGATTGCTCTGTTCGCCTGGGCAGAAGATTATTATTATTAGTAGTAGTAAAAACAGAATTAATGTGACGTAAGTAACAACAACAGCAGTTTGCAGTTAAACAGTGCCCTTCAAGCAGGGTTGGATTAGGGTCTCAAGAGCGCTTAATAACAACGGCGGAAGGTGTTTGGATGCTCTATGAAGATGGGCAAAGAGGAGGGATTGAGGTGAGGAGTTCCAGAGTTTCGGGATGCGGTGGCTGTGAAACCGCTGGTTTAACACAGGGAAAGGGAAACATGAGGAGGCCATCCAGCCTGTTCCACTGGTTCACAAACAATAGATGATAATCCTTGTATTTGATCTTGTGCCTTATTGCGTTGTCCGGATGTGACTGTGGATTAGGTAACCAACTTACGCACAGCAATGTCCCCATGAAGTGAATGTACAATTTTTGAGTGTGTGTGTTTGTATGTGTATATGTGTAGGGTGGTGGGTGAGACTTGTGGAGGGTGGGGGAGGAGTGGGTGCGTGTGAGAGGGAACCTACGGGAACTTCAACATCCACATTACCGACTGAGCCGGGCTGGGAACATCAGCGCCTTTCCTTGCTCACAACTGTGCCCATGTAAACCTTCTCGATGTTAGGCGCAAGTTGCTCTTTGCCAGCGGGGGAGGTGAGTGGGGAGGAGTGGTGGGGGGCATCGGTGCACGTCACGTACGTACCTGGTCGGACACGGGTTCCCCGTAACGCAGCAATGTGACAAAATGCTCACAATTGTTGCCCAGCAGGTCGTACGACACCTCTTGGTCGATGAGGAACTCGGCCCTGTTGACGATCTCCTCCACGGGCAGAGGCGTGTAGTTGTCATCGTACTTGTTGTTTATGGTGTAGGGGTCTCTGCCCACAACGTCCTTGAGAAGCTGCATCTTCACCATGGCTTTCCTGCTAAACACCGACTTGGCGCTGGCGAAAGTGGCCGTCGGGCCCTCGTCTGCAGCACAAAAACACGAGATTCAGAACCTCCAGGGGAAGCGACTATTTCTCTCATGTTTACTATAATAATAATAATCCTTTCATTTGATATAGTCCCTTATCACGTCTCAAAGCGCCTCACAGAATATACGGTAAAGTCAATTGACCGCATATTTTGTCGGCGAAACACAGCAGCCAATTGCGCACCGGTGTTCCCCACAAATGCTCGTGGGTTGAAGTGACCACTTTTTTTATTATTTATTTATTTTGAAGGGAAAAGCGATCCGCCAATCGACTCTCAACCAGGTTCCTTCGTACTGCTAGGTGAACAGAGGAGTGAGGAGTAAGGAAACTTGCCCAAGGTTTCGCCCTGCTGGTAATCGAACCCAGGTCTCTCGCTTGTGAGGCGAGTGCTCTGACCACTGAGCTGCAGAATTCCTTGCTATCCTCGCATTTTAATCATGTCAAGAGTAAGTCTCAAAGCGCTTGCTTTTTACCGCAGAGTGCAGTGACTGTGTGTAGGCAAACACAGCAGCCAATTTGCATACATTGATCCCACTTATCCCCGCTCCCGCCACCACCCCCCACCCACCCCTCCACACACACACACACGCGCGCAGACAAATTTGAAATGAAAGATTAGAGAGTCTTTTCCTCTGGTCTCCAGGTTAATTCACCAATTCACTTCATTGGCAGTTGGAAGGACATTGCTTTGTGTAAATTTGCCTACAAAATACACAGTCACTGAACTTCACAGAAAATTCTGAATGGCTTCTTGACACAGCGAGGCGCAATATCGAATGTACAGATTCTGATTTACGTACAGTGTGTCTGTACGGCTGCTGCTGGAACACGGTTTAGATTTGTGTATTTTTAAGGTACATTTTAAGAGTTAACTTCAGAGCACAGCCTTTGGTACTCATCGTGCCTTTGCCTTACCTAAGGGTGCAACATTGATGATGTAACCATCTCCCAAGTACAGAGCCCAGTGTTGATACGCAGGACGGAATATTTCAACTAAGTCCCCAGGGTGAATATCCCCAGAGTACTCCACACCAAAGTGGTCATTAGAAGCCATCTGAAAGACATGGATACGAGCTTCTTAAAGAATAACTTTTATAAGTCGTGGGCACAAATAATCAGTGTGTTTTGTATTAAACGTTCTGCCCCCTCCCCCCATAAAGGTGTTTGAACAATTATTATCTATAATAATTAATAACCTTTCATTTGATACAACAGCTTATCGCATCATCGAGATTTCACAAAGTAATAATTTTTGATCACTCAACCCACGACTGTTTGTGGGACGCTGCTGTGCGCAATTAGTTGCCGCCTTTCGCCCGTAACATATAAGGGCAATTCACTTGATAGGATATCCGGTGGAGCTCTTTGAGACATCCCGATGATGTGATGAGGTGCTCTATCAAATGGAAGCACTATTAGTGATTATTAAACAGCTAGTGGAGGTGGGAAAACGGGCTCTTCCATATTACGTTTGCCTCTGGAGCCGAACTGGTCACATAAAGCGCACTTACTGTTGTGATCTGAACATTCCACACAGCGGCTGCTGACAGTTCCTCCAGTTGACGCTGACCGAATGCCCGGAGCAAGTTCTACCCGGCCGGTTTGCAGAACCACACACAGCGCCCCTCCATTGTTGTGTGCGAACATGTCACTGAGAGCTATTGTTATGGTAACCACCCACATGTGCGGGTCAACTGAGGCTCTCTGTGCTCATTGCACAGCGGCTCAATGTGGCTTTCTCTGGAACATGGGGACGCACAGGGATGGCAAAGGCCGTTGCAATCCGTCTTGTTTTCAAATACAACCTCTTCCCCTCTCCTCTCCGCCCTCACGACCCTCCGGATTAGTTGGTCATTTACCTTGCGGCTGTTCCTGAGTCCTCGCCCTCAAACCTTCTGAAAAAAATAGTATCCTTGGGTTTCGGTCACAACATATAGTCAATTCATTTCACATTATATTCTGTGAAGCGCTGAGACGTCTCAATGACGTGATAAGGCGCTATATCAAATCCAAGGATTATTACTATTACTATTTGATATTGCACTTTTCACATCAGGTGGACATCTCAAAGTGCTTCACAAGATACACTCTAAAGTGACTGTGTGTTTTACACATGAATGTGGCAACGAATATGAGCACAGTAACGTTCCACAAACAGCCAGGAAATGGCTCATCCAGGACTTAAGGTCGGACAGACATTCTGTCAGGACAGAACGGACGGGAGTCGAGGGTGGAGGCAGAGAGATAGAATTGGGTGTCTTACTGTCTCCAAGAGGGAGCATTTGCAGGTTGAAGAGGAGAGGACCTAGGTCAGAACCCTGAGGAACACCGCACACGAGATGGTGCGGGAACTGGAGGGGAAGCCGCTTGTGGAGACAAAGTGGAGCCGGTATAAGAGATAGCCATTCAAGGACAGAACCTTGAAGGTTGAGGTGAGAGGAGAGGCGGTGGAGGACAGAGTGGACAAATTATTTTTGGTTATGATTATTCATTCTGTCTGACAGATTGACAGCATCAGCATAATGCTATTACCCTGAGCGGGCAGATTGCTTATCGCCTTCACAGCTAATGAAAAGTCTGTGATGTTCCTTTCTTTCCCACTGTAACTTGCTGTGAAAAGAAAAAAAAGGGACAGGTCACTTTTGTGCATACATTAGTGTGTCGGTGTCGGGGTGGGGGAGGGGGATGAAGCTGGTGGTTTCTGGAATATGCAGTGATCAGCTGGAATTGCCAGTATCATGAACCCATAACAACCCTGTCAGCACACGGCAACAATGTGGTACCCAGACCTCACTGAACAGTGAGCTCAAGTACAGCCACAATACCGGGCGCGCTGGGTTACTGCGAACTCGGGCTATGTTAGTGATAATAATCATCACTGCATTTGATACAGCGGCTTATCACGCACCACATTCGCCTGCAAATACAGTGTATCCTGTGAAGCGCTCTGAGACGTCCTCTTGAGCTGTATCAAAAATAAGGGGTGTTATTCTTATTATCATCATTATTATTATTACATTATCAAAACATCTTAAAGCTCTTCACAGGATTTTACTGTGAAATGTAAAGTGTGTTTTGTGGGGGGACGCTGCTGCCACCCAGAGCATGAAATCGATCTACTGATGAATAACGATAATCGTAATAATCGTACTTGCAATCGATGCGGAGTCTTTTATGTCGCCAGGGTGTCTCAAAGAGATGTACGGCAAAGTGTAGTGACTGTGCGTTTTGCAGGCGAAGAGCGGAAGAGTGGAGATTGGTGGAGCGCGTGGCGGAGTCCTGTAGCTCATTGGTTCGAGCGCTCGCCCGGCAAGCGAGAGGACCTGGGTTCGATTCCCGGGCGGGTCGGGTCAGGGCGAAACATTGGGCAAGTTCCGTTACTCCACCCGCGCGCACACACACACTCACGCACGCGCGCGGGCGCACCCCCCCGTGTATCCCGCAGTCAACAACAACAACAACGTGGATTTATATAGCGCCCTCCATGCCGGACAGCGTCTCAGATCGGATCCCGAGGCCGAGACGGGGGGGGGGGGGGGGGGGGGGGTGAGGGGGCGCTGCTGTGGCGAGTTTCGCCCACACAGTCACTACGCTACAGTCTATCCTGTGAAGCGCTTATTCCGAGTGAGGAAACTTGCCCAACGTTGGGCTGTGACCCGCCCACCGCCCTCTGAGCTACAGGACTCCAGGACAATGACGTGATGACGAGGCTCTGCATCTAATGTCAGGATTATTATTATTAACTTGTGATTAATGATTATAATGTCACCCATATTGGTGACCAATGGCAAAGCGCCCTCCAGCGGGCGACATGTGGGCTGCAGCCTGCCCGCTGGGTCCTCCGGTGTCCCGGCGTGCTGTGCGAGTCCTCCAGTGTCCCGGCGTGCTGTGCGAGTCCTCCAGTGTCCCGGCGTGCTGTGCGAGTCCTCCAGTGTCCCGGCGTGCTGTGCGAGTCCTCCAGTGACCCGCCGCGCTCTGCCTCTGCCCCGAGAAGCCATGGCGGGGATTTTGTTTGAAGACATTTTCGACGTGAAGGATATCGACCCGGAGGGGATAAAGTTCGACAGAGGTAAGGCGAGGCGGGAGTGACCGTACAGGGGGCCTCCCGGGGGTGGCGGCGCGGGGCCTCGGAGCCGCCAAACCCCGGGCCCCCAGGGTGGCCAGCAGCTGCAGCACGTTTGTAGCCCAAAGTCGCCCAATCGCGAGCCCAAAAGTAGCCCAATCTTCTGTGGGGAGCAGCACAGGGTCTGAGTTAAATGAGCTCATTCGAGACGCTGCGCCCACGACCAATGGACTGGTAATCCAGGATCCTGCTGCTGGTGTGCAGACACGGATGAGAAACTCTTTCCCTCCGAAGGCATCCATCGGGCTCCACTGACCCAACTTCACGTGGGTCTGTCGTACGTTGCGGAGTCCGGTAGCTCGGTGGTTAGAGCGCTCGCTTCGCCAGCGAGAGACCTGGGTTTGATTCCCGGCAGGTGAGGGCGAAACCTTGGGCAAGTTTCCTTACTTCACCCGCCTGATGATAATCTCTCAAGGAAAAAAATAATAATAATTTGGTCACATCCGCGACTGTTTGTGGGACGCTGCTGTGCACAATCGGCTGCCGCATTTTGCTCACAACTATACAGTCAATTCACTTTACAGTATATTCTGTAAAGCGCTTTGAGATGTCTATAAGACGTGAAAAGCGCTGTATCAAATGCAGGGATTGTTATTATTACATTGCTTCCTAAATGACATTTCCGGAGCAAGTTTTTGTTGCAAATACTCATTTGCCCTTAGATTCTTTCCCCCTTGAATGTCTTGATTGTTTTCAAACGCACACATTATCGCTAGCTTTTGAACCTTATCGCAGATCAATGAAAGGCAACTTTTAGTTAGGTTTATTTGAAGTTAAAGGCCTCTGGGCAATCACTTGTGGGGTACACTCGTATATCTAAAAGCCTTTCATCTGTTGAATTCTAAAAGTGTCAACTTGAGTATTGTGGATGAGATTTACATATTAATGACGTTTGAAAATTGTAGCAGTTTCATACTGGGTAGTGCCTTTAACAGCCAAGTCAGTTGGGGGTATATCTTATAAATGTTGAACTCTTCAGTAAAGTAATGTGCGATATTTGAATATAACAGATAAAATGGCAGTTCTCTTTCTTCAATCAACGTAACTAGTAAAAGCTATGTTTCAGTACTGCCCGGAAGGTTTATATGAGTTCTGAATTGTTTTCCAGTTTCTCGCCTACACTGTGAGAGTGAATCCTTTAAAATGGACCTGATACTTGATGTAAACATTCAGATTTATCCCGTGGAACTTGGTAAGATTTCCATTTACGAACATTTCTGTAACCTAATACATTCGCAATCTCTTGAATTTAGTTATGCATCAACTTACCCTAGCTGTTGCTGTGGGAAAGCTGAAAGGTCAATTCTAAGAGTGGTGATACTGCAATTGTTGGTTTGGTATTGTTTTATACTGCTGCTTGTATCGTTCTCTAATCAGGGAAAGTGGAAGTGTAATGGGATGTGCCATTGTGTTTATACACTTTTATTAAGTGTGTGTGTATTTTGTTCAGGTGATAAGTTTCGACTTGTCATAGCAAGTACTTTGTACGAGGACGGAACACCAGATGATGGCGAATACAACCCGACTGATGACCGGCCATCAAGGTAGGAGAATGAAAACTCTTTCTCTCTATTTTAAAAAAAATCCTAAACCGTCTCTGTGCTTACAATTCAATAGTGAAATAGAACCAATGTTTCATGAGTTTTTTTTTGGTGGGGGGGGGAAGCAGAGAAACAGGCTTGGCTGGTAAAGTTGGTAGCTGGTGAACAACAAACTACATTTATATAGTGCCTTTCATGTCGAAAGGATATCCCAAGGTGCTGGACAGTTACGGGTTTGGACCCAAGCTGGGGGTTGGAATCAAGAGGGATAGAGGGGAGTGGGGGTGGGAATGTGGCTCTCACTCAACTCACATAGTTTCTTAATTTCTTTGACTCAACCACAATTTTTGGAGCCTGACAGGCAAATGCTGCAATTGTCTTGCAGTGCTGCCAGTGGCAGTCCTGTAATGTAATATGAAGATGACATTTGTTGTTTGTGTTGGGGGCTTGATCTGTGTTGTAAAAATAATTACTTTCAGTAGAATTTTCACCCATTGGTGTAGTTTTCGCCTTTGCCATGGAGTCCTGTAGCTCAGTGGTTAGAGCACTCGCCTTGCAAGCGAGAGACCTGGGTTCAATTCCAGGCAAAGGGTGAAACCTTGGGCAAGTTTCCTTACTCCACATGCCTGATAATCTCTCCAAAACAAAAACAATAAATTGGTAATTTTCAATCCACGACTGTCTGTGGGACGCTGCTGTGCGCAATTGGCTTTCGTGTTTCGCCCACAAATATACGGTGAATTCACTTTACAGCATATTCTGTGAAGCGCTTTGAAACATCGAGAAGACGTGAAAAAGCGCTATATCAAATGCAAGGATTATTATTATTTGCCGGATATGCTTGGAACATTGGAATTAGTTCAGAGCTCGTCTTTTCCATACACTGGACTTTGTTAGCAAAGTGGGGCCTGATTGAAAATGTTCTAGGATATTGAAAATGCCTATTGTACAGGACAACCTGCTAATAAAGGAACTAGTGTGACAAATTAACCGACTTTGTTGACCAAGCAAAAATAGATAGATCATTTTTTTCCCTAGAAAAGTTATGTGATGTTGAACAATGTTGATCCCTATTGTGAAAGGTGTATAAAGTCTGGTTTGATATCCTTAATGAGGAGGAGGAGGGGACAAAGGACAGCACTGAGGAACCCCGCACGAGACGTTATAGAGGTGTCACTGTTAATATCAGAACTATATAGAGGTTCTCACTGTTAATATCAGACTATATAGAGGTTCTCACTGTTAATATCAGACTATATAGAGGTTCTTACTGTTAATATCGGACTATATAGAGGTTCTCACTGTTAATACGGACTATATAAAGGTTCTTACTGTTAATATCGGACTATATAGAGGTTCTCACTGTTAATATCGGACTATATAGAGGTTCTCACTGTTAATATCAGAACTATATAGAGGTTCTCACTATTAATATCAGAAGTATATAGAGGTTCTCACTGTTATTATCAGAACTATATAGAGGTTCTCACTGTTAATATCGGACTATATAGAGGTTCTCACTGTTAATATCGGACTATATAGAGGTTCTCACTGTTAATATCGGACTATATAGAGGTTCTCACTGTTAATATCAGACTATATAGAGGTTCTCACCGTTAATATCGGACTATATAGAGGTTCTCACTGTTAATATCGGACTATATAGAGGTTCTCACTGTTAATATCAGATATATAGAGGTTCTCACTGTTAATATCGGAGTATATAGAGGTTCTCACTGTTAATATCAGAACTATATAGAGGTTCTCACTGTTAATATCGGACTATATAGAGGTTCTCACTGTTAATATCAGACTATATGGAGGTTCTCACTGTTAATATCACATGATACACAACAACAAATTACTTTGTAAAGCACCTTTCACATCAGGAGGACCTCCCAAGACAGTCAAGGACTTGGACCCAAGCTGGAATTTGGGATCAGGAGGCATGCAGGGCAGGGAGGCTTAGGGTAGGACGGTGACCAAAGGCACGGTTGAAGAGGGTCTTGAGACAGGTCTTGAACCAGGCAAGGGAGAGGAGTGTTTAACTGGAGAAAGTTGGCTCTCTTTCAGGACTCATGCAGACACACTCTACCTTGGAGCTAGGGGCTAGGATCTTGGAGCTAGGTGCTAGGGTTTTGGAGCTAGGATCTACGGACATACAGAAGGCTGGAGCCAGTTGAACGGAGGCAGTTGTGGGGCACAGGCCATTTCTGCAACGTTGAAATCAGCTGAGAGTTTGTGGAGCTGCAACGGATGGCGGAAGCCCTGGGAGCCCAGGATCTGAGGATACAGAGCAGCACAGACAGCCAAGTGAGCGACAGCTGTGACCCTTACACAGGATAGCGTCCCAGAACGCTCGACAGTGACCCAGCACGAGGGACTCACAAGGCCGGAGCCAGTTGAACGGAGGCAGTGGGTAGTGGGCTGTGTGGTAAGCGGGGAGGAGAGGTTGGGAGGTGCCAGGGTATGAAGGAATTTGAGAACGTACGTGATGATCTTGAAATCAATCCGTTCGGCGATAGGGAACCAGTCGAGACGGGCAACGACTGGTAGATGGGGGGAGGTGGGGAAACGAAGTGTGTGTGATAGGGTTGGGGCTGAGCTGCGCTGGATGAGGCCTGAGCTGGGGACGGGGCTAGGATCTGGGGGGTAGGGGGTGTTGGGGGCTGGGTTAGGGGCTGGGCGGAGTCCTGTAGCTCAGTGGTTAGAGCACTCGCCTCGCAAGCGAGAGACCTGAGTTCGATTCCCGGCAGGTGAGGGCGAAACCGTGGGCAAGTTTCCTTACTCCAAACGCCTGATAATAATCCCTCAAGAAAAAAAATAATAATAAATTCGTCACTTCAAAACACGGCTGTTTGTGGGACGCTTCTGTGTGCAATTCGCTGACGCGTTTCGCCCACAAATATACAGTCACTTCACTTTACAGTCTATTCTGCGAAGCGCTTTGAGACGTCTGGAAGACGTAAAAAGCGCTATATCAAATGCAAGGATTATTATTATTATTAATCAAATTACTCTTCACCCAGCTGCTGGCAGTGATAGATGATGCGAGTTTCAGATTGCTGGACTTCACAGTATAAAGTCAACGAAGCATTTAGTTTTAACATGTGTTTTTTCATATGGAGAGACCAGCCATTGAGTGTGTTGAATTCAAATATTTATTTTGGCAAGCAGGTCTGAGCGTTTTTAATATTAATATGTCACAGCGTGAACCTGTTAGCACTATTTCTGATTAAGAAAATTCAAGAACGTTCCATTCTCCAGCTTTTCAATCTCTCGATTTCATTTCTTTATTTGTCACAGGGCCGACCAATTTGAGTACGTTATGTATGGGAAAGTTTACAGAATAGAAGGTGATGAAAGCTCCACTGAAGCAGCAACGCGGCTGTGAGTATAGCTCTTGTGTATTGCAGTCTTCTCAGTTAAAACTGGATTTTTACATTTAATGCTTAATAATATTGCACACTCCACCTTGCTAAGCCAATCCGGAACCTTGGGGTCTTGTTTGACCCTCAACTCCTTTCTACCCCACATCTGCCACGTGACCCGCTCTGCCTTCACCCACCTCCGTAACGTCGCCCTGCTCCGCCATTATCTCACACCGCAGGCTGCTGAAACCCTCATTAAAAACTCACTGCTTGTCAGCGTCCCCAGCTCCTCCCTCCACAGGCTGCAGATCATCCAGAACTTTGCAGCCCGTGTCCTCTCCCGCGCTAGGCTCTGCGACCCTATCACCCCCATCCTTGCCCAACTCCACTGGCTTCCCATCATACAGAGGATACAGTTCAAGATCCTGGTCCTCACCTTCAAAGCCCTCCACGGTCTTGCCCCCCCATCTCTCTGACCTCCTAACCTCCTACCACCCTATCCGCTCTCCGCTCAGCGGGTCCGGCCTGCTTCACGTCCCCCGCCTTGCTCGCCCCACTATAGGTGGGCGGGCCTTCTGCCACCCTGCACCTATCCTCTGGAATTTCATCCCGCAGTCCCTCCATCTCACCATGTCTCTTGCCCCTTCAAGACCCAACACAAGACCCTCCTCTTCGACCATGCTTTCAATCTCCCTGCTTTCCCCCCCTGCCCTCCACCCTCCCCCACCCCGACCCTCAGCTCGGGGCCGTAACTCAGTCTGTCCAATGCCTTGGGACGTCCTCCCGACGTGAAAGGCACTATACAAATGTAATTTTGTTGTTATTACATTTGATATAGCACCATCAGGAGGATGTCTTGAAATTTCTCCACAGGATTTACTATAAAATATAATCGCTATGTGTTTTGCAGTTGCAGAAGTCAATTTGCATAGAATAATGTCCCACAAACCACAATGAAGTGAAAAAATAAAGTATGCAGGAGATTGCTGTTCAGGACACTATATAACCGTAGGAATTTGCAGCACGGACGAAGGCTATTCAGCCCAACATGCCTGTGCCGGCTCTTTCAAAGACCAATGCTTTTAAGTCCCAAAAAGGAGAAACTCCTTTCTATTTTTGAATCATGCCTTGGGTTCTCTAACCTTCACCTGAACCAGCAGATATTAGGGATATTGGTTTAACGTTTCATCTAAAGGACGCCATCTCCAACAATGCAGTGCTTCATCAGCACAATATTGGAATGTCGGCCTAGACTGAGAGGTCAAAGTCTTGACTTTGATATAATAGTAATAATCCTTGCATTTGATATTGCACCTTATCCTGTTGTCGAGATGCCTCGAAGCCCTTCACAGGACACACTGTAAAATGGATTGACTGTATTTTGTGAAAGACTTTAGGTTTGAACCTGCAATCTTCCGACCCTGAGGCTTTTTATTAATTAAAAGTCCATCTATAGATATTAATGGGAAGTGATTTTGTGCTGCGATAGCCAATCTGTTTGTGATGCAGTGGTGAATTATAGATTTTCAGGTATGCTGCCCATGTACTGTGACATCATCTTTTCCCATGGAATTAGCATTACAATTTGTACTCGTATCCTGGAAGTGGAGCTCACCTGTTAGTTTAAGTTGTATGAAACATTAATGACGGGCTGTATTATTGTGTGTCTTTACTCTCTCCTGAAGACACTGACTCATGCTGACACACAGCTCCGGTTGCACCAGGTGATCTCTGGTCCGTCGGCGTGGAGGGGCTATATAAATCCAAGTTGTGTTGTTGTTGTTGCTTGTCTGAGAGGACATGCCAGCTGGATACTCACCCACATGAAACTCCACACCCCCATCACACCAGTCTGGGATGCTGCACTGGGTGAAGGGCTTTATATATGTTGTTGTCCAAAAAACCATCTGTGTCTGAGCCCATGTGTTTCAATTTTACTACTGGAATGGGTGGGAGGGCCACACAGCAAAGCATTTTCTCGGAGAAATCACTTGACACTAGTTAGCGATTAGCACATTGTAGCTGTAACCTGGGGACATTGTCTCAGTGTTGCTTTCCTTTGCTAAAAGCAGAGATTTATCAGGAAAATAAAAACAGTGGTACTTCGAAAGGTAGAAAGGTGCCTCATCAACTGAAATAGAATTTTATATCAAGCGACAAAGAGTGCAGGACGTTGTTAATTGTGCCTTCTCATTCTTTCCAGATCAGCCTATGTATCCTACGGAGGACTATTAATGAGGCTTCAGGGAGATGCAAACAATTTGCATGGCTTTGAAGTGGATTCCAGGGTGTACCTTCTTATGAAGAAACTTGCTTTCTGAGCCGCAAAGACAACATTGAGGGGAGTCCTGGAATTCCAAAATTTGGTTGGAGTTGTTAACAATATGAAGTGCCACTTTCCGGATAGATCTATAGGAACGAGCGTTGAACTACATATTCATGTCTCCCCGTTTTAAAGGAGATTTACGTAGGGAAGCAACGACTGAAAGTGAAAATTTCCTCCCTGCCTGGAATGTAAAAAAAGGACGTGTATTGGTGTACGAAATGGATTATTGTATTCCGATGTCTGAACACAACTTGTGCCTCACACTTTGAGGAGCCCAGTAAAATACAATTCAATTATGCATAGACCGGCAATGATGAACACGCTGTATCCGATTTGGGTATAGGTTTATTTTTAAATAAAGTTTCCTTTTTTTTTGTAAGATTTACACCGTAAATTTTCAAATGTTTAGAGATGTGCATTGGCTAGAATGGAAAAGCTGCAAGTAGCCCTGCCTGGTATTTCGGAAGAACTTCACGGTTAAATGCGGCTCAGCAAAACAATGCGATACAATGCGTGTATTTTACCTTGTTATAACAGTACAAGCTGACTGTTCCTCAAGACGCTGAGAAACGTCCTGTGCCCTTTACCTGGTCAAAATCGAGTAGTTGCCCCAACGTGTGCTCTGGAGTCCCGAAGCCTTGGCTCTTGCCAACCTGTGCCCAGTACCTTCTGGCAATAGGTGAGCAGCGTGCATTCCTCCAGAGAGGGAGAGTGAGAGAGAGGGGGTGCATTTCCCATTCCGGACACAAGGAAATCTCCCATGTGTGGGTGGGGAATATACATGGACCTCTGTGAATACTCTTTAAGCAGGGCTTACATGTACAACTACCCCCCCCCACCCACCCCCGGAAAAAAATAACCGAGGGTCGTTGATGGGAGAAGTTGGATTGGCTTTGGTATTAAATCATTGAGAGATGAAGCGGTGACAACATGTGCTAATGTGTGGGAAATGCTTCAGTTTGACCTGAACAGCTCCTCCCCATCCCAGCCCCGCCTCACTGTAGCTCCTCCCCAGCCCAGCCCCGCCTCACTGTAGCCCCTCCCCATCCCAGCCCCGCCTCACTGTAGCTCCTCCCCAGCCCAGCCCCGCCTCACTGTAGCCCCTCCCCATCCCAGCCCCGCCTCACTGTAGCTCCTCCCCATCCCAGCCCCGCCTCACTGTAGCCCCTCCCCATCCCAGCCCTGCCTCACTGTAGCCCTCCCCATCCCAGCCCCGCCTCACTGTAGCTCCTCCCCATCCCAGCCCCGCCTCACTGTAGCCCCTCCCCATCCCCGCCTCACTGTAGCCCTCCCCATCCCAGCCCTGCCTCACTGTAGCCCCTCCCCATCCCAGCCCCACCTCACTGTAGCCCCTCCCCATCCCAGCCCCGCCTCACTGTAGCTCCTCCCCATCCCAGCCCTGCCTCACTGTAGCCCCTCCCCATCCCAGCCCTGCCTCACTGTAGCTCCTCCCCATCCCAGCCCCACCTCACTGTAGCCCCTGCCCAGCCCCGCCTCACTGTAGCTCCTCCCCATCCCAGCCCCGCCTCACTGTAGCTCCTCCCCATCCCAGCCCCGCCTCACTGTAGCTCCTCCCCATCCCAGCCCCGCCTCACTGTAGCTCCTCCCCATCCCAGCCCCGCCTCACTGTAGCCCCTCCCCATCCCAGCCCCGCCTCACTGTAGCCCCTCCCCAGCCCCGCCTCACTGTAGCTCCTCCCCATCCCAGCCCCGCCTCACTGTAGCGTCACTCCCACACAGCCCCGCCCCCCACTGGCCCCGCCTCTGGGTGTGAAGCCCCGCCCATGTGAGTGACGTAACCGCGGGCGCTGTGGGGGCGGCCCAGAGGTGGTTGCGGTCGCTATGGAGCTGCGGACCCGGCGCCGCCTGACAAACATCAGCATCGGCCTCCTCTTCCTCTTCAGCGGCATCGAGTATGGTGAGCGGCCCGGGGGGGGGGGGGGGGGGGGAGGAGAGGGGGAATGTGTGTGAGGAGAGAAAGAGGGAATGTGTGTGAGGAGAGAGGGAATGTGTGTGAGGAGAGAAAGAGGGAATGTGTGTGAGGAGAGAAAGAGGGAATGTGTGTGAGGAGAGAGGGAATGTGTGTGGAGAGAAAGAGGGAATGTGTGTGGAGAGAAAGAGGGAATGTGTGTGTGGAGAGAGAGAGAGGGAATGTGTGTGTGGAGAGAGAGAGGGAATGTGTGTGTGGAGAGAGGGAATGTGTGTGGAGAGAAAGAGGGAATGTGTGTGTGGAGAGAAAGAGGGAATGTGTGTGTGGAGAGAAAGAGGGAATGTGTGTGTGGAGAGAAAGAGGGAATGTGTGAGGAGAGAGAGAGAGAGGTGGGGTGGGGGGGGGGGTTAGAATGTGGAGGGAGAGAGGATGGAGGAATTAGGAAAGAGAGAGAGTGAGAGGGATAGTAATAATAATAATCCGTGCCTTTAATACAGCGCCTTATCATGTCGTTGCGACGCCTCCAAGCGCTTGTGGTGAGGGGGCGGGGGCCAGGCTTGATGTGCCGGGTGAACAGAGTAAGGAAATACGTCTAAATGTTCCCGGGCGCCAGCGCCGAGGCTCCTCCCAGCCCCCTGACCGGGTCACACAATAAATAATCCGCTCGCAATCCCGGCATCTGTCAGTCTGGAATCTTGCAGCGCTCTTTATAGTTCATCTCCGAGTCAAAACACGTGCTCGTCCTCATGGAGCCGTGCGGGGCAGCCCTGCAGGGTGTTGATCAGGGCGCTCGCCTCGCAAGCGAGCGAACCCCGGCTTCGGTTCCCAGACCGGCTGAAAATTTAGACGGATTTCCAAACTCCACCCGCCTCTTTTTTTCCCAGCACTAAGTAAGAGCCCGGTTGTTAGTCAATCGTCGGATCGCTTTCCGGGGGTAATAATCCCTCCTAAAAGAAAACGCTTGCGGATCCACCACTGTTTGTGGGACACGGCTGTGCGCAAATGGCTGCGTTTCGCTCACAAAATGCACAGAGAATTCACTTTACAGTATATTCTGTGAAGCGCTTTTGAGACGCCTCAATGGCATGATGAGGCGCTATAACAAATACAAGGATTATTATTATTATTTGTCATTATTATATCCAGCGTAAGTGAATTGTACACATTGTATCACATCCTGAAGCTCCCGTCAGCCTCTTGCTGCGGTAAAAATCCCCTCGCAATCCCAGTATTTATCAGTAAGAGAATAGTTAATGCCCAGTACAGCACAGATTTAAGTTTATACGGAGCCGTTCACGTCGGGAGAACATCCCAACATGCTGGATGGTTCAGGGATTGCACCTGCGCTGGGGGCTGGAGTGGGTTGGAAGATGGTCAAAGAGGAAGGTCTTGAGGAGGTGAGGGGAAAGGAGGAGGTGAAGGATCTCCAGGATGGAGGTTTCACAGAGTGAGGGTCCTTTAAAGAGTGAGGGAAGAAGCGATTTGGGGGCTGATAGGTTAAAAGCTTGACCGCTGAAGGTGGGGTTTGAGGACATGTTGAGGGCAGAGGGAAGCAGTGAGTCGGTAAGCAAGTCGTACAGGTGCGGCAAGAACGTGGAGGGACTGAAAGGTTAGGACAAGGAATTAGAAGATGGCGGGCGGGGGGTAGAGGGGTGGGAAGGAAGAGAGTGATTGCTTTGGCTGGGAAGGTGCAAAGTCTTTCATCAGTTGCGTTCCATTGTGTTAATATTTTATGGTGTGGTCACCCGAACCAAGCTATCCTTTTGCTGTTTCCATTAACCTTTCCTCTTCGAATCTGGCCGAAAGTAGTTACAATCCCCCAGTCGTCCCTGAAAAAGGCAATTCTGCAATGTTCAACAAAAAAAAATGGAATAAGCAAATGACTGCGCAGTGTGCGAAAGTTTCATCCCCTCATTCAGTGTATTTACTGTACATTCGCCCCCATGTAAGTGAGCTGCCATCCACAGTGGTCAATGAAACCGCTCGTTCTCTTGACTCTTTCTGATCACTGTTAAAATGTTCACGAGTTTGAAATTTGGACCGAGTTTCTGGGAGGTGCCTTTGACCTCTTTCTTGTTTCGGAATGCTTGCTTTAAAGTTTCACTTAGAAGCGGGGATCGTTTTCCAGAGAGCGTAAAGGTTCCCAGTGCTACAATACATGTTCCAGCAGAGATAGGCTTCTTCCAGTAGGGTAAACAAGGCAATGAAAGTGCGTGCGGTCCAGTTATTGTCAAAGTCCACATGTGCTTTGGTTGGCATACCATTGTAGCGTGCTGTTTTCTGAATCCAGATGTGAACTACCACGCACCACACTTTGGCAACTCTTAATTTCTGCACATGTAGGCTTGCCAATTGTAAAGAGCAGTTTTGAGGTTGTTACTTTCCTTAACGTTGATGAGATGATCATGATTGATTAATAACTGCCTCCACGCTTTGGGACTCCGTCCCACATTCCCTTCGCCTCGCTTCCTCCCTTGCCTCCTTCAAGGCACATTTCAAGACCATCCTCTTCGACCGTGCCTTCAACCATCCTCCCTGACCTCCACCCTCCCTGATCGCAAACCCTTCCTTGGGTCCAAATCCCTACCTGTCCAGGGCCTTGGGAGGTCATCCTAGTGTGAAAGGAGCTATACAAAAGTAGCATTATATTGTAATAATAATTGATTTAATTGTATTGTGGTGCTAATTGAAAAATACAACATTCCTCCAAAAATCTGTTCCAACCAGCCTGCTTAACTTTCACTTAGATTTCTGTGTATAAAGTGTGAAATTTCAAGGAACAGTGATATCTGAGGAGCATTAAAGGATTAGTTCAACAGACCTTTGGGAATTTGACCTGAACATTTGACATTTGCCAATTCTGTTCAGATTTGTCTTAGATTCTAACTTGAATTCTTAAAAAGAGTACAGCTGTATATGTACATTTCACAACAAACCGAAGTCCAAAACCTTTCTGTGTGTCTGTATGTTGAAAGCCAGTAAACAGCCTCAACCCTGCAACCCTACGTAATGTAATTATGTTGTAGAAAATTAAGTGGGACAAAGGGCAAAATGTAAAGCAGCATTTTGGGGATATTTTGTCAGAATAACCCCGTTTATCTACAGTATTTCTTACCTAGCCAGCGGAAATTACAAACTCATTAGAAATAGAAATTAATCCCGGAAAAACACTCCGGGACCCTGCCCCGCATGAAGGGCACACTCAATGCACATTGCTGTTGTTGTTGATTCAGAGAACTTATCTGGTTTACCCCTGTTTGTGTGCAGCTGTTATCCTTCCGACAATCTGGGCTTACCTTCAGACACTCAATGCCGAACCTTATTTTTTGGGCTTGGGACTGTCTGCATTCAGCTTCACTGGGCTGCTCGCGGGCCCCATCTTTGGACACCTGTCAGACCGAACCCGGAAGACCAAGTCAATCATATTGTTTGCCAATTTGTTTGAGATTGCGGGTGAGTTAATCCTATCCAGTTTTATTTGTCTCCAGCGGTTTTGTAATCTGTGTGCCCGGTCAATGCTGATAAGAGGGTTCTGGGGGCATTGGCTGCATGGCTGACCTGGGAAGGGAAATGGATGGAGAGAGGAGAAAAGATAACCAGTACGCATATATTTCTATTGTATGTTCCTTAGTCAACCCATCAACCGCAATCCTTTGGAGGAAGGAAGGGATTCTGTTCTTAATAGCAGAATAATAATCCTTCTTCGCCCAAGATGTGAGTGAGAATGTGATACAGGGCTATAAAATAATAATAATAATTCTTGCATTTGATATGGTGCCTTATCACATCATTGAGACATCTCAAAGCACTTCACAGACTATACTGTAAAATGAATTGTCTGTATTTTGTGAGTGAAACACGGCAGCCAAATGTGCACAGCAGTTAACTAGCGGAAATGGTTAAATAGCGGAAGGGAAAGAATACAGTGAACCTAAGCAGGAGAGGACTGGACTGAACTGGAAACTGTGTTTGCTGAACCAGGGGACACTAGCGCAAAACCCTGGCCAGGCTCAAACAAGAGAAGACCTTAATATTTCTCTCCTCATCCCCCTCAGAATGGCTATCTAGATATCACAAACTCTTCAAACAGACTCCATCAATTGTTTTAAAGGGGGGGAAATGGATAAATGGTTGAAGAAGGAGAAAATCCTCAGCGGAGACTTGATGGGCTAAATGTCTTGTCTCTGTGGCTGTTAACCATAGTCTGCTTGTGAAAATGGATGCCTAGCCAAGCCGTTAATGCTATGTTAGTAAACCTTAGAAAGGAGCTGGGTGGAAAATCTGTTTGGTGCGATGGTAGACTATACAAGGTTATTAAATATAAACCTAATGATGAAGCATTACAAAACAAAGTAGTTCCAGCTCTTTTGAAATGGAAATTTCATTTGTGGAATGTGGTAAGTGGTGAGAAATGTGGGACTGTATTCGATAACCTTCAAAGGTGGGTGAGAAACTCAATGGTTTTAACTCTGTTGAGCATGATACTTTTGGTCATTTACTTCCTCAGGCGATTAATAATTGCAAAAAAATCAATCATAATGCAAATTGTGCATGAAGCAGCACGTTAATGAGGTAAATGCCTTTTTTTTCTGTATTTTCTGTGTCTTTTTTAAACACAAAGCTCCTTGCATTCCTCCTCTCTTGTACCTCAAGCAAATGTACCACCTACGCAGACGTACATAGCGGGACAAGTAAAAATTATTGCTTGATTGTATAAGCGGGATTAACACTGCCTCCTTCATGCCCTGGCTGACATAGCAATATCGCAAAGATCAGCAGAGTGGGGGAATCTAACCTTTGTATTAGCATTCTGTGACATGACATGTCTCTCTGCACTAACATGATGTGACTTGTTCTCCAGTTGTTTTCTGTGCGTACAATGTCCTTGTCTTAACTGAAGTATACTAACTGGAGTTGAAGAGCCGTGCTTTCAGATAGATTGGAACTAGCTTGACAGGGAGGGATCCAGGCTATGTTTGCCCACGATTTCTCACTGGTCAGTGAGTCAACACCAGCAACTTGCATTTAAATGATGCCCCTCAAGCAGGGTAGCGTCCCAGAGCACTTCAGTCAGTAACTTGAGGGTGTACAGTTCAAGCGTTACCAAAACTGATCTAATCGAGAGAGGTTAGGAGAATTCTTTGCCCTACCAATTAGTGATGATTGAAGCAGAATCCACAATAGATTTCAAAAGGGAATCTGACAACTATTTGAAAAAGAAAAAACGAATCTAAAAGGGAGATAGGTAAAGGAGAGGCAGTGGGCAGGAAACACACAGCTGTTTCAGAGAGCTGGCACAGGCACGATGAGCCGAATAGCCTCTTTTTCTGAGCTGTAAAATTCAGCAACTTTTGAAACCTCCCAATAAGAGATTGTCCGGACCTAATCTTGCCCACGATAGATCGAGGCCATTGTTCCTGTCGGTCAAAAAGAAAATGAACAGATTCCAAAGTTGACAAGAGTTTCCAATGGAAACAGTCGTGAGTGTTGCTTGGGAGACGAATGGGTAAGATGGGTGGGTTAAGCTTTGTCTGATTTTGTCTATATCAATGCGCAGTGTGTTTGGACAGCGGAAAATGTAAGAATCAAAAATAAAAGACCCGGAGACAAAGATGGAGTTTGGTAAAATTTGCGTTCAATTTGCTGGTTTAACTGTTGAAACCTTGTTTTCAGGCAATTTCATGTACTTCATGGGCTATTCAAAATGGTTACTGCTGGCAAGTCGGCTCGTAGCAGGTACGGATCCTTGATAAAAGAGCTTTACTTCTCCCCCCCCCCCACCCTTTGGAACTCCATCCCACATTCCCTTTGCCTCGCTCCCTCCCTGACCTCCTTCAAGACATGTCTCAAGACCCTCCTCTTCAAACGCGCCTTTGGCACCCCATCACCCTCCCTGTTGTCCACTCTCCCTGCCCTCCACCCTCCCTTACCCCCCACTCCCCCCGGGTCCAAATCCCTGACTGTTTAGCGCCTTGGGACGTCCTCTCGACATGAATCGAGCTTTACACATGTCATTGTGTATATGTATACAGTTATGTTCCAATGATCTCACTGGAGCCGACTAGTGAACAGCGCTTGCCCAGAAATCCCTTCACCCTCTACCCGAAAGAGCAATGTCTTTCAATGTTATTCTGCAGGGATTGGCACGGGCGCGGGGGCATCGATATTCGGCTACCTTACGCGTTCCACTACGTCCGAGGAACGAGCCACTGTGTTTGCTGTTGTGATGGCTGCCCGACAGGCTGGACTGCTGATCGGTAAATAAATGCATTCAACACGTAGGAGAACGCGCAATTTATTTAAGACGTGTCTTGGTCGGTTGGTCGAAAACGTGAAACTGCTGCGTTCAGCGCTGTTAAGAGTTCAAAACTTTGTTGTTCCACAATGTGTCCGTAAACAGGATTTGGTTTTGTATCTAAATTTTCAGGGCCAGGATTTAATCTATTCCTGAGACTCTGTAAATTCAAGCTGGGGCCATTTGAAGTGAATAAGTACACATCACCTGGGGTAAGAATTGCTCTGGCTATTTTGTTTTATCCAACCCAGAATTTGATAATCAGCAGCCTTTGGGCAGGTAGGATAAGTAGTCGATAGGGAAACAGGAGGAGGACATTCAGCTAGTTTATTAGATCGCTGCAGATCTTTTCCGTCCATTTCTCCAGTATTTTAAATTACATTTACATTTTACAGAAGGTTGTCCATTTTGAAGTTCCCCAAATCTGTGTCCAGTTCTATCCCTTACTATAAGGTTGTGTTTGAGAAAAACACCAATTATCAGTCACGAGGAACGTACAACACAACAACAACAAAATTACATTTCACGTCGGGAGGACATCCCAACGCGCTGGACAGTCAGGGGTCAGGATCCGAGCATGGGGGAGGGGTGGGGTATGGTTGAGGGAAAGCAGGGAGGTGGGAGGGCGACTGAAGGCACAATCAAAGAGGAGGGTCTTGAGACCGCCCTTCAAGGAGGCAAGAGAGGAAGCGAGGCAAAGGGTCTGTGGGATGTTTCCAGAGTGTGGAGGCAGAGAGACTGAAAGCCCGGCCATCGATGGTAGAGCAGGTCGGGCGGGAGACATGGAGGGAGCTGCTGAATGGAGGGAGCGGGTAGGTTGGTAGGGAGTCAGCAGGTCAGAGAGGTTGGAGGGGGAAGGCCATCAATGGCCTTGAAAGTGAGGACGAGAATCTTGAACTCGATCCTCTGGGGGATGGGGAGCCAGTGGGGTCGGGCGAGGATGGGAGTGATGGGGTCACGGAGCCTGGTGCGCGAGAGTACACGAGCTGCAGAGTTTTGGATGATCTGCAGCTTGTGAAGGGAAGAGTTGGGAAGGCCAATGAGGGAGTTTCCATAATCGAGCCTTGATGTGACGAATGCGTGGGTGAGGGTTTGGGCAGCCTGAGGGGTGAGGCAGTGACAGAGTCTGGTAATGTTGCAGAGGTGGTGGTAAGCAGTGCCAGTCATGGCGCGGATGTGGGGGAAAAAGGACAGTTCAGGATCAAACAAGACACCCAGGTTCCTGACTGACTTAGTGAGGTTGAGTGTGCAGCAATGGAGGCTGATACTGCCAGCTCCCGAGGAGCGGAGGCGCTGGCGTGAGCCAATCGGGAGGGCCCCGGTCTTGCTGACATTCAGTTGGAGAAAGTTATCCCTCAACCAGAACTTGATGTCGGACAGGCAGTCGCTCAGGACGCCAGTAGTCCTGGAGTTGAGGGTGGAGGCAGAGAGATAGAGTTGGGTGTCATTCGCATACGTGTGGAAATTTACCCCATGTCTGTGGATGATGTCACCAAGGGGGAGCATGTAGAGGTTGAAGAGGAGGGGACCGAGGACAGAACCCTGAGGAACGCAGCACAAGATGTTGCGGGAGCTGGAAGAGAAGCCGTTTGCAGAGGTTATGAAAGGTAGGACCTGAACCAGTCAAGGGCAGACCCTTGAAGGCTGAGGTGGGAGGAAAGGCGGTAGAGGAGGATTGAGTGGTCCACAGTATCAAAGGCGGCGGAGAGGTTGCGAAGGAAGAGGAGGCAGAGGGAGCCTTGGTCACACATGGTCAGAATGTCATTTGTGACCTTGATCAGAGCAGATTCCGTGCTGTGGGCAACATGGAAACCCAATTGGAGGGGCATCAGTTTAGTCGCTGAGCAGAGGGACTTTATTAAAGAAACGTTCTACTGCATTGGCAAGAATCTCGTCGTTTCTATGGTTTATCTGGGTCACTTGGATCAAGCAGTGAACAATTTAGCTCTGCTCGCCCTGGCTGAAATATACTTAATTGGGAGTTGAATGAAGATAATTTAAAAGAGTGAAGGAAAAGAGCAGGAATTGACATCAGAATAGATCACTTCAGCGAAGGAGTTTCCAGCACTCATTGGGTTTCATGGCCTCCACTGTGACTCTGTTTATCCGGTGCTGCATCAGTTAAGGATTTCTGCAGATTGGCTCCATTTGTTTCAACAGCGCTGTTGGTAGCTGTTGAAATGAACCGAGCTGCCAAGGATGGATGTAGCCTCCCTGTTAACTCGTGTCACTGATGTGGCTACGGTATCTGAGAGCCTTGGAAAATTATCAAAACTGACAAATGATATGTTTAAGTCCCTAGGACTCAATAGAATGTGTGTCTGTCTGGCACTGTCCCTATAATAAAAATAATAATAATAATAATCCTTGCATGCAATAATCCTAGCACCTTTATCACTTTGTTGAGTTAAGATATTGTTATTTCCCTTTAAGGGTGTAATATGATTTGCAATTTGCGCCTCATGGACTGTAAACGATGATTTTACAAAGGCTTTAAGATGCCGAGTACTAGTTTCCTCTGAAAATCACTGCTCCCTCGACAAAGTATGTAGAGAAAGACGCTTATTTGTATGCCATTTATCGAGTTTACTGCCGGTGAGCAACCCAATCTGTCTGTTCATGTGACTTTTGTCTCTTGCAGCTGTTCATGTGTTTTATGTGGATCGTTCTTCAAATAATTATAGTCTTTATGTATTATGACCTTCCCGTGGTTCACAAATACGATCATCAAACAACAACAGCGGTTTCGGGCCCATTGGAGGAGGAAGTAAAGGCCCTGGTCCAGTCTGATGAGGGCTTTGAGGCTCCGGAGAACTTGGGGTACGGTAGCATTAACGACAGTGATCAGTTACTGGCTGCCACGACTGGTGGGACGGTCGAAGACGAGTATCGGTACATCCCCAACGGGCATGTAGAGGATGAAGACAAACGGAACGAGAGTCCCTTGCACAATTTCAGTGCCACTAAAGGTAAGTAGGTCAAATTTACGGCTGTCATTCGAATCTATTCCAACACACATACCACAAACACACGCACACACATTAATCTCCATTTTAGTCCATGAGCTCCAACACATCACTTGATGCCTTTCTCCTCTTCAAACTCAGTGTTCCTTTCAAAACCATCCACATAACCCACGGCAGAGTTTGATCCCATTTTCAGGAATATCCATACCCCCCCCACACACACACATGCACTCTAGACACCGTACGCTAATTGATGATGGCAGTTTACGTGTATGCAGCTTCTTTCATGCCAGCAAGCCGTCTCAAAGCGCTTCAGGGAGCCCAAACTGGGGGGGGTAGGGGAAGAATTAAATTGAAGGGAGAAGGTGGCTGAAACCAAATGACTGAGTTGGTACCTTCAACAAAATAGCAATCCCCCAGACTGCAATGGAGTGTTAGCGTAGACTGATGTGTAGTGCCTCTGTATTGTGTAGGTTAGGTTTGCCGTCGGTTTGAGCATAACTAGAATGTGTTGTTTCTTTCTACACACTGTTTTATACTGCTCGCTACGGCTTGAATAATGGCACATCTCTCAATTTCACACTGTTTTAGCGCTGTTCCTTGGGGAGATTTTGCTTGCTCGTTTAGTAATGTGCCACCTGGTGAACACAAAAGGGTTTGCAAGCAGTGCAGCCAATATTCCTATTTTTGTTCTGGCTAAAAATGACAGGTTATTGAGCCAGACAATGGTTTTTTTTTAAAAAAGGTACCCAGTGGACGTGGGGTAGACTTTGGCCATTGATACGGATCCGATAGCTAAAAAATAACCGACTTCTCGGTTGTCAGGTTGCCAGAGATATCACTTTCTGGTGCAGATGTGGAGGAAGGAGGGATTGATGAGGGAGCAGTAGATCAGTGAAAGAGCAAGGGTATGTATGGGTAGAAGCGAGGTGCTGGTGTTGATTGTGGAGGTATGATGTTGAAGTTCATACAGGGAGCCAGTGGAGCCTGGAGAGGATGGGTTGGATGGGGAGGGAGAGGGGAGTTCCCAGCCTGTGTAATAATCTTGACACATTTTGGGAAAACAAACTGACCGGAAGAGCAAACGTTGAAGTGAATTGTGCTTATTCTTCATTCTTCTATTACGCCTATTTGAAGTACACCAATGTCTTTGCCAAAGTTCATTATTCTCGAAGCTCAGAGTTAAACGCAGCCTTTACTCAGTCGGACATGTAACTGTTTTACATTGCAGAGTATCTCCGTGAGGAAGTGGTGGTGGTTCTTACAGCCCAGTTCATTACGCTCTTCAATCAGACAGCTCTAGAGGTATGGAACAGCCAGGCTGTGATCCCTGAAGTATTCACTTCAGTACTGAACTCGAGTTCTGATATTTCTCTCTGTCTTAATCTTAAAACCATTCGTTGTCTTTGAATTTTAAAGAGTGTGCAGAATATTTCAGTATTTCTTTTTGGCCAGCCAGGTATCTTGACACGTGAAGAAACCCCATCACCATGCTTCAATGTATCCCAAAAGACTACCAGTTCTTCTTGTATGTTTGCCGCCGATGCATGGAAATTTCCTTGTGTACAGAATGCAATGTTCACTCTCTCCCGAGAGGGCAATTACCTAATTCTGGAGAGTATTTGGCGCAGGTTGGCAAGAGCGAAGGCTTGGGTACATAATGCTCCATATCCCTAAAAGAAAAAGCTTCGTGCAAATCACACTGGTGGGTGAACATATCTTCTATTGTTTTCAACCCTCTGTTACAAAACCTTCAGGCTTAGCAAATTAAAGGCATTCTCCTAGATCCACTTCCACCCACATGTCACCTTTGAAGCAGCAGTTCAGAGAAAGCATTTGTATTGCTGTGACCTGGGGCAACAAACACACCTTGGTTGAGAATTAATCTCAGGGTTTGGCTACTGTCAACAGATGCATGGACTGGGTGAGTAAAAGTAGGAGATCAGATCAAAGGCATCCTGCACAAACAGTACACACAGTCATTGGATTGACTTTGGACCATGTTGCATAGGAACATCACCTTTTACAAGGGAAAACAAATTGAAGCTTGTGGGGAGATTAATCATATTTGCTTAGAATGGGAGTGCTAAAGCTTAACAAACTTCCTCATACAATACAACTACAAGGTACCTCAATGCAATTTCCTCCCTGTAACCTCTACATGCAAAACAGTATTGAGACATTGCTTTAGTGTGGTGTAGAGCAAAGGGATTCACAGGGCATGGTGTTTTGAGCAAGAAATCGTGCCCTAAACTTGTGCCCTGTACCAAATTCCTCACGGTTGTTTACTGCATTGGAACTCTTCCTCTATCCCTCTGCCTTGCCCCCTCCTTCCTCATCTTCAGGTCGAGCCTGAAGATCTTCCTATTTGACCGTTCCGCGGTCACCTCCCCCTCCCCCAGATCAGCATCGTGCTCTGCCACTGTAAAGCGCTCTGGGATGCCACTCTGCATGAAGGCTGCTATGTAAATGCAAGTTGCAAATAAGCCGTATTCTGTAATTTCCAGACAATGGTGACTCCGATTACCCAGAAATATTTCAACTTTGGAGAGCTGGAGAACAGTCTGATGTATTGTTTATGTGGGGTTGAGGTAAGTAACTGACTAGGGTTCAAAACCATACTGACTTTTGGAGAATCATCTTCAAACTAATGATCATCTATTGCCAATGTGTGCGATAGATAATTTGTAAAATAATAATAATCCTTGCATTTGATATAAGATCTTTTCATCACGGCAGATACTGTAAAGTGAATTGATTGAATTGACAAACGAGTCCCATGAGAAAATTCAGCCCTTTGGGTGGAGGATTTCAATATGATTTTAAATATTAAAGAAAGGGCTGATTTGATTTCCAAATTATAGTCAGGTGACTCAAGTTGCTCTGTTAAAGTACTTTTTCTCATCAGGTGATAGCTGGATTCTTTTTTGTGAGGTGGCTGAGTGCAAAGTTTGCTGATCGCGTCATCCTAGCCGTGGGGCTGATCATATGCAATGTTTCTTGTGTCTGGTGCTTAATCTTCCTGGCGAACCCCAGAGGTACCATTTCCAGTTCACGATTTAATAATAATAATAATCCTTGTGCTTGACATAGGGCCTTTTCGTGCAATTGAGACGTCTCAAAGCGCTTCACAGAATACATTATAAAGTGAATCGACTGTATATTTTGTGGCTGAAATGAAATCATACTTCAATAAATGCATTTGCTGTGGCGCATAAGAGTAACTAACATACACGAATGTCCTCTGAGTTAATCTTCTGACCAGTTAGCCTTGAGTTGACCTTCGAACCTTTGCCGAGCCTTTACCAGTGTCATCCTCTTGTCTTATATTCCCTTTGAAGGGAGCTTTGCCACCTTACTGTCCGAGTTTGTAGTCGGTGTGTTCCTCCAAATTCTCGGCCTGCCATTTGTTGCCGTTTCGCAAGTCTCTTTATTCTCAAAGGTTACAGCAGAGAAAACACAAGGCAAGTGATGTGTGTGTGTTTTTTTAACACTTGTGGTAAACTTGTTTTAAGTCATTTTCACTATTGCGCCAAATTGGTGAGGACTGGATGTCTGCCTCATTTTGAAGCCTGTTTGTTTCTGGCTTTTATTAGATTGAACACTAATTTTGAAGGATTTTATGTGGGGTGGTGGGGGATATAATCATTGAGTTTTTATAGATTTAATCCCCAAACTGTGTATCCTCTCTGGTATTTTTGCTGTGGATTCCTGGTACTGAAGAGCTTTGTTTTGTCTATAGGGTTTAGTCAAGGACTACGGCGTTCAGTGGGTGGGATCGCTACAATACTGGGCCCAATGTGGGCAGGAGGACTCACTGACAATCTCTATGTGATGCTGGGAGTGATGATGGGTCTTCTGGTGCTTCTGACTGTAAGTAAAGTTAAAGCAATGTTACAAATTTATCTCTGTTTCGTGGCCTAATCTGGAGTTTCCCTATTCAGGAGTTTTCCCACAATAATGAATTGCAATTGGCTCTGCTCTTGTAGGTTTTAATAATAATAATCCTTGCATTTGATACGGCGCCTTATAACGTCTTGGAGATGTCTCAAAACGCTTCACAGAGTATACTGTAAAGTGAATTGACTGTATATTTTGTGGGAAAACAAAGGAGATTATATTAGGTAATTGAAAGTCCATCGATCAGACTAGTATTCCATCGCCTGATAAAACGACACTGACCTTTTAAAAGAAGCTTGAGTTTTCATATGAAGTTACTTATCCTAAATGTTGGATGCTTTGTTGTTTTATTGTTCCAGTATTTGTGCTGTTTCTAATCAAAGGCACATCTAAGAGTTATGCGTCCTTTCACTTATTTTTTTTGTGTACGGCTCAGTATTCTACGAAGTTTTAACCTATGAAGACCCTTTGTCTTAACTTCTCTGGGATGCTACCCTGTGTGAGGGGCGCTATATAAATGCAAGTTGTTGTTGTCTTAACTTCTAGAATTTTATAAGCCTCTTAATTTTACAAGTCTTAATTTGGACGCAGATTCTCCTGCAGGACTATGGAAAAGCGATGACCGTATTAAGACCGAAGAATTTTTCTTCATTCTTAAATTTAAGTCAGCCTAGCCTGTCTTGCAGATTGAGGCCAGGTTGAATGCTGGGGCCTGCGGCAATGCAATTAGACTCACAAAAGCGTGTGTTACCATTGTCTTGGTCTGCAGGTGATGGTGACCTTTTCGTACAGCTATCTGGTCGAACCTTGTCCTGTTGTAGATTTCACATGTGAACAGGAAGAGTGCGGAGGATGATAACTGCGAGAGACATACGTGTCCCAAGGAGGAAAAAATACCAGGTAATTGCCCAGGTGAACATATATTTACAGAAAACGGTAAGTGCTACAGTAATAATAATAATGCTGTCATTCTAAGTAACGGAACATAAAACAAGAAACCCGAAAATGCCATTTGTTGAGCCAATTTCTTCTCTTTCTCTGTCTCGTGTGGTCTCGTCTCGGTGTGTGCGATTGTCTCTTCTCTCTCTCTCTCTCTCTCTCAATACATATAAAATATGCAGAAAGTACTGGAAATTTTCAAATAGAAATTGTAGATTCTGACTGAAAATTCTGGTGCTTCACAGCAGGTCATGTAAAAGAGAAAAAATAGGCCGGGTTTTGAGCCTGATCCTGTTCAGTAGAAGTAACAGCAACTTTTGTATTGATGAAAGATCGTAAAAAAGATTTGGTTGAAGAAGGCCCAGTCTTATCCTCTTCCTACCCTATTGCTCCCTCTTCCCCCTTTATATGCTCACTCCCCCACTTTTAAGCACTCTGAGACGCTACCCTATCTGGAGGGCGCGATATAAGTGCAAGCTGTTGCTGTTGTTATATCAGCTGTTTCTGAAATGAAAATAAAACGTGCTACTTCTAACTTTTATCAGGACAGTGAATCTGCATTTGTTGCCTCCCGTTGATCACTTGCGATTATAAATGTAAACTGCTGCATTCATTTCAACACAATTGAGCAACGTGCTGTTGTGTGTCAGTCTAGAATTTTATCTTTCTCAATAAAACACATCAGCTAAAACCCGTTAACTGAGCGAAAGTAGGAGGTGTAATCAGCTTGTTTCTATCACAGTGTAATGTACTTACAAACTAATCTCTATTGTATAGTGTGTGTTTGTGATGTGCATATTCTTCTCTGCGTGAATCGTGTCCTCTCACCCCCTCACCCCTAGCCATACAATAAATTCTGCTTCATCGTTAACTATTTCATGGCAGGAAAACGGTTTGAACTATTGATTTACATTTAACCCTCGTCCTTTTCTTCTCTCATCTCTCTCCTCTGCCCTCCCTCAGGTCTCTGAAGGATCTGTGCTGCTATTGTGAATTCTGAAGCACCTTCTGTGACATTTGGTCCCATATTTAATATGAACACTATGTGCAGTTTTACTTTGTCTGTATATCTTGGCAACTGGAAGGGGGGGTGGGGGGAGAAGGATGGAAGAATCGAGGTGACATTTCCATTTACTATAAAAAATTGATGTTCGAGAGAACAGTGCAAGATGTGAAGAAATCAACGCAGTGTATTCCTGTCTGTCTTAGGCCCTGTACAGATACGCAATGACATACACATGATCTTGAAGGCATTTTAGACATTGCAAGCCTTGTGGTTTTGTGTGGCAGTTTGTTAATAAAATAAATCAATGTTACAAAACAAAATAGAGTTTCAAAGATAATGCGAGCCTCCGTTCAGTATTTGTTCAGCCGTGACCGCGGGTATCAATAATTAAGATGGCAATCTCGAGGACAACAGATGCTGCCACTTTGTGAAAATCCTACACTTGTCATGATTTATTTAACTGGGGCATGTTTTGTATTGATGCCCAGTTCACTGTGTTCAAAGCCAGCAATAAATTACTGAGTAATGTTGTGGTCCGTTTACAGCTTAAAAAAAAATTAGCTCCTGAGAATCTCTTATCAAGGCATCGCAATGCCCTGGAGCATCTTTGTACTCTTTCGAATATATTTCGGATCTACAGATATTTCGGGAAATCGATTGAAGTTTGGAGAAGCGAAATTTAAGCACTGTTCCAGGAATTCTGCATCTGTATTTACTTGATTTTGCTGTAATCTGTCAAGTGTTTGTTTCCGAATTATTCTTGAGCTCACTGACTCTGTGCCAAGCGAGGCATCAGTTGAAATATTGTTTTACAATAATAAATCCTCATCCAAACCATCTCAAAGCCCTTCACAGGATTTACTATAAAGTGTAGAGACCGTGTAATTTGCTTGCATATCTATACCTTTTTACTTTTAATCCTGGTTACTGTCATGGTTACCTTGTTTTTTTTGTACCCCTCAGTAATATGTTAACATATATAATATTATGTAAGAGAAGTGGGGAGTCCTGTCCCTTTAATTAGATTATGGTTAAGCAAAAGATTTAGTTGTAAAACTGTTTGCAAAAGAAGTAGTAAACAACATATACAAAGTCCCCAACTTGCAACTTGATCTGGGCTCGAGGTTGTTCGATTGATGGGCAGTTAGCAAACAGTGTAGAAGGTCACATGGACACTGGTGTACCCAAATTATTTGGCGGGCAGGTGTGCCTCGTGGTTGCTATCTAATGGTTGTCATCTGGTACGTACTGACCTGTACTGGACCACGGTGCAAGTCAGGTTGGTTTAAATTACTTTATACTAATGTAATATTGTGCTGCTTTGTTTGTTATAGTTCTGTGTTAGTTATATTTAATCCCATTGTTGTATATCTTAAACCGTTGTGTTCCTTATCTGCCAAGCTAGCCTAGGATTACTAGAGCAACAACATCAAAATTACATGTGTAAAGCGCCTTTCATGTCCAGAGGACGTCCCAAGGTACTGGACAGACAGAGTTACGGCAGGGCGGGAAGTAGGGAGATCGAAAGCACGGTCGAAGAGGTGGGTCTTGAAGGAGGCGCGAGAGGGGGCGAGGCGGAGGGATTGCGGGATTGAGTTCCAGAGGATGGGGGCAGTGGGGTGAGCGAGGCGGGGGATGTGAAGCAGGCTGGAGGTCGCTGAATGGAGGGAGCGAGCAGGATGGTAAAGCTTTGGAGGTCGTAGAGGTGGGGGGAGCAAGACCATGGAAGGCTTTGAAGGTGAGGACCAGGATCTTGAACTGAATCCTCTGTGTGATGGGAAGCCAGTGGAGTTGGGCAAAGATGGGAGTGATAAGGTCATGGAGCCTGATGCGGGAGAGGACACGGGCTGCAGAGTTTTGAATGCAGGGAGGAGTTGGGGAGGCCGACAAGCAGTGAGTTTGCATAGTCGAACCTCGATGTAATGAAGGCGTGTATGAGGCATTGGTGAGCTGGGCGACGGTACGGAGATGGGGGAAGGCAGAGTGGATCAAGGCGCAGATGCGGGGTAGAAAGGATAGTTGAGGGTCAAACAAGGCACCAAGGTTCCCGGACTGGCTTAGCAAAGTGGAGTTTGCAACCATGGATGGTGAGGAGGCGCTGACGGGAGCCTCGGTCTTGTTGATGTTCAACTGAAGAAAATTAGCTCTCATCCAGAATTATATTTAATCAGGACTGCTGTGCAAGTCGGATACTGTGCAGCTCGGGTCCATAATTCTGTCTGTCCAGCACCTTGGGACGTCCTCCCGACATGAAAGGCCCTATACAAATGTAATTTTGTTGTTGTTGTAGTAATCCTAGGCTATCTTGTCCGACAGACATTCAGTCAGAGCAGCAATAGTCCTGGAGTCAAGGGTGGAGACAGAGAGATAGAGTTGGGTGTCATTCGCATGTGGAAGTTGACCAAGAGGGGGCTTTGTTTTTATTTCCCTTCCTCTCTCTGAGCTTTGAGATTGATGCTGCAATATTTGTCACCGTACGACAAATGCTAATGCTGAAATATTTTGCCACGAAGCTTTGGATCTGTGACAGGAAACAGGAGCATTTTAATAAGAATTAACATTAAGAACAACGGCAACAAATTACATTTGTATAGCGCCTTTCATGTCACATCGCGCCTGTAAGTACTTCTCTGTACATTCCCCAGCCCTCTCCAATACAATTTGAAGCTTGAACAGGAATGAAAAACTTCAAATGGATGAATAATACTTGCGTTTGATACAACAACAACAAAATTTATAGAGCGCCTTTCAAGTTGGAAGGACATCCCAAGGCGTTGGACTGTCAGGGGTCTTGAGACTGGCCTTGAAGGAAGTGAGGCAAAGGGACTGGGATGGAGTTCCAATTGTTTGGAGGCAGAGATGCTGAAAGCTCGGCCACTGATGGCAGGGAAGGTTGGGCGGGAGACATGGAGCAGGCGGGAGCCCACTGAACGGAGGGAGCGGGCAGGTTGGTAGGGAGTCAGCAGGTCAGAGAGGTAGGAGGGGGCATGGCCATGGATGGCCCTGAATTCGATCCTCTGAGGGATGCGGGGCCAGTGGAGTCGGTCGAGGGTGGGAATGATGGGGTCACGGAGCCTGGTGCGTGAGAGTACACGAGCTGCAGAGTTCTGGACGATCTGCAGCTTGTGAAGGCAAGAGTTGGGAAGGCCGATGAGGAAGGAGTTTCCATAATCGAGCCTTAATGTGACGAATGTGTGGGTGAGGATTTTGGCAGCCTGAGGGGTGAGGCAGTGGCGGAGTCTGGCAATGTTGCGGAGGTGGTGGTAGGCAGGTTCCTGACTGGCTTAGTGAGGTTGAGTGTGTAGCTGTGGATGCTGATGCTGCCAGTGCCCGCGGTCCGCAGAAGCTGGGGTGAGCCAACCAGGACACCAGTAGTCCTGGAACTGAGGGTGGACACTCAATGTGTCCACAGGCGTATTTCTTCCTCTGAACCGGTCAAACAGATCTCTGTAATGAGTAGGTTTTGCTGCCTGATCATAAGAAGCACCCAGAAAAAAATGTTTGCCCGCAGGCTCAAGCTTGTGCCTCGAGGGTCAAAATGAATTCTTTCGCACCCGCTCCTGTTATTCCTCATTTTTGGATGTTAGCGCATTGTTGAGACGTCTCAAAGCGCTGCACAGAATATACTGTGAAGTGAATTGATCGTACATTTTGTGAGGGAAAAAAATGTAGCAGCCAATTGCCCGCAGCAGACATGGAAGAACTTTTTTTTAAAAAAAAATTAGACGCTGTCTATGGTTAAGTATGAGGGTTTGTCTTGCAAATCTTGTGCTTGAAGCTGTCTGGCCTTGCTAAACCAGATCAGCTCCACTCACTGTGTTATAAACGGCCTTATTCCTCCCTCTGAACCAGTCGAACAGATGATCTCTATAATGAGTGGGTTTTGCTGTCTGAACGTAAGAAGCACCCAAAAAAAAAAGCAGTTCAGTTTCCTTTGAGCTCAAGCTTGTGGCTCAAGGATCAAAGTGAATCCTTCCACACCTGCTCGTGTTATTCCTCATTTCTGCTGACATATCAAGTCCCTTTTATCCAATCTCCCTGAACCCCACAGTTTGGAGTTTGAAGGCGAGACTCTTGGTTGTGATACGTTGGTTGACGGGGAGTAGAATCTTCTACCTGTTTGTTTTTGCTCATATTTTAACACAAAGACGCACGTTTGATTGGCTAAGTGCAACCTTGACACCGCCCTGAAAGTCAACAGGTCTGACTAGTTCATATCTTTCCAACTCTCTGTCTCTCAGTCTGTCTCTCTCTTTCACTCTCTCTCTGTCTATCTGCCTCTGCCGTTCAGTGCACTTGCTGTGAGCTCTGACAATGGGTACTTTCATCGGCCACATCTCCCCTGGTCTGGCCTTCTTCTCCTTCGGTCTTCTCTACGGCATCAGGTACGGCTTTGATTCCAACCTCCAGTTCGGGGTGGTGGGGAGGGGAACACTTTGACCATCCAGTGCCTCCCGACGTGAAAGGCGCTCTATGAATGCTATTTGTTGTTGTTCAGGTACTCCCTGATGGTGCTGAGGGGGGAGATGGGGCCACAAGTAGCCCCCACCCGGTCGCCGGGGCTGTGTGGCTGGTGGAGGCGTGTGCCAGCCGAGGGGGTGATGAAGGTGTTGTATGGCACGGCAGCGGCCATGGCTGAGCTATTCTACCCCCCGGGGGTGAACAAGGCGGTGCTCTACAACACCCAGAATCCTGATTACCCCTTCATCCACCCCAATGAGTGGCAGCACCTCACCATGTACTCGTACTTTGCCCTGAGCGGTTGGATGGACATCCTCAGCCAGACCTGCCTGCCCAAGCGCTTGGTCCTCTTGGAGCGTGTCGCAATCGCGGTGGCCTTTTACGTCGAAGCCTTGATACTTGCCTTTCACATGCACGGCAAGGGCCACGTAGAGAACTCCGTCCACCTCCTGCTGTTCCTCATTACCTCCCTGGTCTGCCTAGTCCTCACCGTCGAACTGTGGAGACCCCACGACCCAATCCTCTGGTTCTCCAAGACCTGCCTGGTGATGATCCAGGGCACTTGGCTGTTCCACGCCGCCTTCATCCTCTACCGCCCGCCCACGGGTAAACCCTGGAAGAGCGAAGATATGGCCAACCAGATGTTTGTCACCAACTTCTTCTGCTGGCACATCGCTCTCAATCTACTGTTCCTGGCCTTGCTCTTCTCCCTCGCCTATCTGTGGCACAGACTGGGGCTCGCTGCCCAGCGCAGGTCGGGGGTCCTACACAAAACCAAAGTCCACCTGCACCTGAATGGTGAAGCCCTCCACTCGAGACCAGAAGCCAGAGAGGAGGAGATTCAATTGCTTCAAGTAGATGAATTTTGATAGTTCCCATCCCTCACCCAGTCCTACTCTATTCTTGATGTCAAGATGACTACAATCTGATTTTTGATCTGTATTATTCATTTATTTTTGTGCGTGAGTGGTTTATTTTGTTTTAAAGCAACCATTTTGTTCAGCATCTGCTGACCTACCTGTATTTGAAGATCAAATTGACTTTTTAGGGCTATATTTTATGCCTCTCATTCTCGCACTTCTCTGATCATGCACATGATTTTGTTTTTGAAGTAACCAGAGAATTAACTTATCCAAACCCTTTCGACAGCCAGGAATGTGTCGTTATTTATTATCATGTTTTTTTTATATATGCCTTGACAATCTCTCCTCAATTGCACATGAGGCAAAAATGCCTCTGCTAAGTTTTAGCAAGCAACCAAAAAATCTAATTTGTGGTTTCACTTTGAAAAAGTGGCCATTGCTTTCTTTTTAGGATGGAGGGATGGGGTAGGGGGTGGGGTGTGGGAGAGGAAACAAAATCTGTCAAACTTCATGGTCTTAACCACTTTGTCTGAAATTTGAACTGCCGTTCTTGTCTAAATCACTGCAACAAGTGTTTTTAATGTCCCAAAGATTCAGCTTGTAAAACATTGGTCAGCTGCTGCGGAAACTGAGCCGTTTTCAACTCCAGTTTGTTACAAGTCGACTGAAATCATTTGGAGACTCAACCAAAAAAAAACCACCCTTTTCCCCAAGCGATGACTTCCAATCTGCCGTATGACGTGATTCGAAAGGTGCTGTGTAAATTGTTTGGGAACATGTAATTGCGAGAAATTTTGGAAAATTGTTCAAATTAATCTCGATTCAGAAGCTGGTTTCTTTTCAAAAGAACTGAATGGGGAAAATAGCTTCTAAACTGAACTTGAATCTTGGGAATTAGGAGCAGGAGTTGGCCATTCCACAAATTCACTACCCTCTGAGTTAAGAAATGTTTCCTCAACTCAGTTCGAAATGGCTGACCGTTAATCTTAAAACTGTGACCACTAGTTATAGATTCTCCAACCAGGGGAAACAGCCTCACACTGTCAAGCTCCATAAGAATCTTATATGTTTCTATAAGATCATCCCTAATTCTTCTATATTCTAGAGAATATAAGCCTAGTTTACTCAACCTATCCTCATAGGTCAACCCCCTCATCTCAGGAACTAACCTAGTAAATCTACACTGCACCCCCTCTCAGGCAAGTATGTCTTTCTTAAATAAGGAGACCAAAACTGCACACAATATTCTAGGTGCGGTCTCACCAAGACCTTATACAACTGCAGCAAGACTTCCCTACTCTTATATTCTAACCCTTTGGCAATAAACACCAACATGCCATTAGCCTTCGATGAGTTCCACACCTTAAAATGGTCTTGTAGGCTAAGACTAGGTGGAATTTCAGGTCTGACTGCGATTTAATGAACCATGTACTATATTTGAATGTCTGTGTCAGTCACCGATATTTGGTCAGTAAAATCAAAGCGTTAAAAGTTACAAAGCAAATGTTGTAAGTCTCGTTACTGATTAGCTTGGTTGATTAATAAGTATTTGTTATGTGTGTGTTTTAACGAATTATCTTCCTGTGTGGGGTTTTTTTGAATGCCAAATTAATTTTTTAAAATCAAAACCCACCCCTGCATACGACTGGTTTTACAACAACTTTCAAGTATTCTGTAAACTTTGAATAAAAACTGTTTGTTTCCATTTGAATGTGTGTAATTGGAGGGGTTAAGGATTGTGACAGTATGATACATTACAATCTTGGGAGTGGCTCCAAGCCATTATAGTTACACAAGATTGATTTCAATCTTGCAGTGCTAAGGACAAGGCGGGAGAAAGATTCATAAACTGTGTACAGGAAAATCTTCTTGAGCAGTATGTCTGCAGTCATACGAGGAAGGAAGCGTTGCTGGATCTAGTCCTGGGGAATGATATAGATCAGGTTGGACAGGTTTCGGTAGGGGAGCATCAAGGTAACAGTGACCATAATATGATTAGATTTAGATTACTCATGAACAGGGACAAAGTACAGTCAAGGGTGAAAATTCTTGACTGGAAAAGTACTAATATTGATGGGCTAAAAAGGGACCTAGAGTTGGTGGACTGACAAGTAAGACTAGCAGGTAAAATGACTCATGAGCAATGGGAGATCTTCAAAGATATGATAGCTCAAGGTCTAAATAGAGGGAAAGGGAAATGTGTGACAACCAAGCTGGCCTGGAAGATGCAAGATACTGAGCATAGCAAAGCGCATTATAGAGAATGAAGGAGTGATCTTAAAAGAGTGATAAGACAGGCTAAAAGATCGCATGAGAAGAGGTTAGCGGGTAACATAAAGGGGAATCCTAAAATATTTTACAAGCACATGAAGGAAAAAAGGTTAAAGGTAGGGTGGGGCTAATCAAAGGCAATGATGGCAATCTTGATGTGGAGGCAGAGGGCATGGTAATGTACTGAACGAGTTCTTTGCATCTGTCTTCACAACGGAAATGGATGCCCCAAACCTGCAGTATTGGATGAGAGGGTAGAGGACATAGATCAGATTACTATAGACAAAGAGGAAGTTCTGAAAAGATTGACTGGGCTCAAAATTGATAAGTCACCAGGACCAGACAGGTTTCACCCAAGGTTGCTGTGGGAGATACGGGTTCAAATAGCGGAGGCTTTGGCCATTATATTTCAATCTTCATTGGACACAGGAGTGGTGCCAAGAGACTGGAGAGTGGCTAATGTTACCCCCTCTACAAAAAGGGGCAGAAAGACAAACCCGGAAATTACAGGCCAGTCAGCCTAACTTCGGTAATAGGAAAACTACTGGAGACCATAATCCGGGACAGAATAAATCTCTACTTAGAGGAACATGAGGTAATTAGAGACAGCCAACATGGATTTGTTAAAGGCAAATCTTGCCTAACAAATCTAATAGAATTTTTTGAAGAGGTGACTGCGAGGGTTGATGAGGGAAATGCGGTGGATGTTATTTACATGGATTTCAAAAAGGCTTTTGACACAGTACCGCATAAGAGATTAATAAAAAAATTAGAGGCCCACGGTATTAAGGGGACAGTGACAGTTTGGATTAAGAACTGGCTGAGTGACAGAAAGCAGAGAGTGGTGGTTAATGGGTGTTTCTTGAAATGGAAGGAGGTGTGCAGCAGTGTCCCCCAGAGATCGGTATTGGGACCACTGCTCTTTCTAATATATATTAATGATCTGGACTTGGGCATAGAGAGCACTATTTCCAAGTTTGCAGATGATACAAAGTTAGGTAGGGTAGTAAATAGTGAGGAGGACTGTAACCAACTGCAAGCAGACATACACAGAATGGTGGGCTGACATGTGGCAGATGGATTTCAATGTGGATAAGTGTGAGGTGATACACTTAGGTAGGAAAAATGATAGGAGGCAATATAGACTTGGTAGCTCAATCTTAAGGGGGGTGAACGTACAGAGAGATCTGGGTGTTCAAGTAAGCGAATCATTAAAGGTAGCGGGGCAGGTAGATAAGGCAGTAAAAAAGGCATTTGGTGTACTGAGCTTTATTAGTAGGGGCATAGAGTATAAGAGTAGGGGTTATGGTTAATCTATACAAAACACTGGTTAGGCCTCAGCTGGAGTACTGCGTCCAGTTCTGGGCACCTTACTTCAGGAAGGACATTAAGGCACTGGAAAGGGTGCAGAGGAGATTCACGAGAATGATACCAGGAATGGGGAACCTTAGCTATGAGGACAGGCTGGAGAAGTTAGGACTTTTCCCATTAGAGCAGAGAAGGTTACGCGGGGACCTGATAGAGGTCTTCAAGATCATGAAAGGTTTCGACAGGCGAGATAGGGAAAAGCTGTTTCCGCTGGTAGGTGTGTCTGTGACCCGTGGTCACAGTCTTAAGATATCTACCAAAAGAAGCAGAGGGGAGGTTAGAAGAAATTTTTTCACTCAGCGAGTTGTTAGAATTTGGAATGATCTGCTTGAAAGGGTAGTGAAGTCCAATTCGGTAACAGCTTTCAAGAGAGAACTCGATAGGTATCTGGGGAAGAGGGATTTGCAGGGTTATGGGGAGAAAGCTGGTGATTGGGGTTAGTGAAAGTGACTTACTCTGTCAAAGAGCAGACTCGATGGGCCGAATGGCCTCCTTCTGTGCCGTAACATTCTATGAATCTATGAAGAAATAAAGAAAGCCCTTTGACCCATTTGATCTCACCTTTCCAGAGTAGCCATTTTACCACCTTCCCATCACAGCATCAAACTGTTTCTTATATGAGTCTAGTGCCCTGCCCCCAATGACCCTTCTTGGCAATCTATTTCAGTTATTTATTACCCTCTGGATAAAGAAAAACTTCCTGAAGTCTCCCTGGCCTTCCTAAAGGCTTGTCTGAAAACCTTCCTCATTGACCATGTCTTCAGTCACTCTCGTTCCCTCACCCTCGCTGCCCTCCACCCCTCCTGATGCCAACCCCCAGCTTGGGTGCAAACCTTCAACTGTCCAGCGCCTTGGGACATGCTTATGACGTGAAAGGCGCTATACAAATGTAATTTGTTGTTGTTGTCTTGAAATTGTCCTTTATAACTCTGACCCTATGCCTTCTTGTTCATGGTCTTGGTGTTTCTGAAAGTATTGTTCTGGGTTTACTGTTTCGATCCCATTTAACTTCATGAAAAACTTATCTCTGAGAGAAGCCTTGCAATGTATCTTATCGGTCTTCTGTTATGGAAGCAAATTGCAGCCTTCCCTGCAGACTCTGACTACTTGACTACTTCCATGTAATTGTAACTAAATGGGAGTTGAAAGTGCCCTTAATCATGTAGTTAATGGAAGTAACTAATTGGGGTGAATGATTTGTATTCCCAACAGGAATTTGCAAGGAGCTTCTCTGTTCACTATCCGGGACCTGCAGGAACTCAGCTCCGGGTTGAAACTTATCGTGCCAGGATTGTAGCAGTGACAGACATTTGGCTCACTCAGTTTAGACGGTGCCTGTTCATCAACTGGAGTGAACCACTCCATTCCTTGTTCTTTGTGCAATCCTAGCTCGTTGCACTGAGTAAGAAAGTTGTGGGTTCAAGCCCCATGTCGGGGATTTTGAGAATTGGTTGCAGGTGTTATCTTTGAGGAAGTTTGTTGTTCCAGGGTTGGGATGGGTGGGGTGAAGGCAGTAAGCTTTTGTTGCTATTTGGCCAAGCGAGGGAGCAGCTGGTCGCACAGATCTAGTCCAGATTCAACAATTCAAGTATTCAAACCAGTTCGGCAGCTTTGTGCTGGGTGAGCCACATTAAGTGAGCCACATTCCTACCCTTTCAGCTGCCTGAGTAATGCTACTTGTGATCAAGCGATGATCTTGATAACATGACAGTGAGATCCAGAACATGCGCTATTTGCAAACCCACCTTATCCAAGAGAAATACATTAGGAAATCTCTGCTTTCTAAGTGGAGATAAATACCTTTTTAAAGGAGTTGTCTACAAAGATAATGGAAAGGGCAGCAAAATGGGACTGAAAGGATTGCTCTTAAAGAAGCCAGCACAGACACGATGGGCCATTTGGATGCCTTCTGTGGCCTTAAACTTGTATGGTCTGCAGAAATTAAGGTTGTATTTAAGGATCTGCCAAATTCTGGGTGTTCTTGAATGCAAGTCACAAATTCGGTTCAGATAAAGAAGTGCATTTCAAAATTGCTACCCAAAATGCTACCCCATTGCCCTCTCATCACAGCATTCGAGCTGTTTCACAAGAAACAACTGCAAACTATCTGCCGAAAGGCCATTGACCTGAAGAGTTAACTTACATTCCACTCTCCATAAGTGCTGCCTGACCTGCTGAGTGATCCCAGCGATTTTGGTTTTATTATAGGACTGTGTGTTTTGTGGGCAGTGAAGTCCTGCAAACAGCTGTTGAAGGTGGCCCTGCAGCCTAAGACTGGGTGGAATTTGTGCGACAGTCATACGGAACCTTTCTGTTTTGGCGAATCTTTCCCATGTAGAACCGAACTGAACATGTGGCCAGTGAAATAATTGCTCAGTTCCAACAGGCTCTACATAAATGCCAAGT